ATATATATATATATAATATAATATATAAAAGTGTGTATAAAAATTATAAATATAAGTAACAAACAAAATTATTAAAGCGGAAACTTCTTTACAGCTTATTTGGTTTATCGTAATAAATATAGCATTGCGTTAAGGAGAAGGTGTAAGGTCAGCTTTATCATAAAAACCATATCTATATACATATAGTAACTTGGGCGAAGCGGTTATCAATTGAATACATAATAATATATATACATATATATCCATAATTCATATATTCCTTAAACTAATTATAATCAATTGTGCTATTTATGCACGAGTTGTCAAATCCGAGATAATGAATTAATTTAAGAACGAAACTGCAAAAAAACTAGATTACAAGAAAATCACCAAAAATAAAAGAAATTTAGAGATATAAAAATGAAATATTTAATACAACGAGTAATTAAATTGTCCCGTTTCTTTATACAGACAACTGTTTTATAATAAAATAGTCCAAGATGTCAAAACTTTTCTTATCGTAAAAATTTCAGAGGGAAACAGCCGTTTATCACAATATTAATGCTTTCATTGTCGTGTATCGTCGTAATTAAATAACAAATTAAGATTCCGTTGAAATAAAGTCTGCTCGAAGAAAGTATATGACTTTGCACAATCTTGTTTGTTTCATATATAACGTCATAAACATATTTATTTCAATAAATTTACTATTCAACTGATAAGTGGCGTAATATGTTTTCACTTTTCACATAATCTGTTTTCACAGAGAGACAAGATCGACTCGAGTATAGACTGAAGAAAACTAATGCAATGGAAAAATAAAATATTCTAAAAAATAAAGCAAAATTAAAAAATATTATAAAATTTAGAAGTGAACATTTTCAAACTGGCGATCCACAATTATAATATTATTTATCTTTTAATTTATAGTAGTACAGTATACATAATATAATAATATACATAGAGAATACATTTCAATTTTATCCTTAAAACTTTTTTATACATTTCAAATTTTAATCTTTTAAATACACAGATATTAAAAAACATTATAAAATTTATTTAATTAAAAAGTTATATGAAGTTTAATAAATTTAAAGATAAAATGTATTTTCTTAATCAAAGAGCGAGAGAGAAAGAGAGAGAGGGGGGGGGAGGGGGAAGAGAAACAATTTCTATTATCATAGTACATATCTGAAGGCACGTGTTTTTCTTAAACTCAAACAATGAAGACTCGGTGCAACGCACGAAAATATCACTTCCCTCTGAGAATCTATCAGCCGAAGATACATATCTCTCTGGATTAGATTAGTGCGTATGTACTTAGTGTACTCATAAGAATGATAAACATGATCGAGCAGTTTAGATAGTCGCGTACACGGAGAACAGACCGTTTACAATCGAGATCAACTGGGATTGAGCAGTTCGTACCTCGCTGCCAAACATTGTCAGATCGTAAACTCTGAAAGAAGGGAAATTTTAAAGAAAATTAATATTAAAATTGCTAATGAAATAATAGCAACGTGTAGTGCGCGATGGTGTCGATCACGGATATATTATAATTGGAAATGTTCGAGCATTCATTTGAGAAACCATAATCAGATTTACATAACAATCAGATTCGTCCTTATAAAGTAGTACGGAGCTGTTGGCTCTCAGGGAAGATTGTATATCACTCAGTACGTAATAAAGTTGCTTTCAGAGTGTATAATATTCTCGAAAAAAAGTTTCCGTTTCACGTCCATCCCCATTGAGTCGTCGAATTCTGTTTCAGAAATCATGAATGTTAAAGGTTCCAGTGACAACTTTCCTGAGAAAGATGAAGATGGTAAGTAAAGGGATTAATCGTAAAACGCTTGGCAATTCTAAGACATTGATAAAGCTAAGGAAAAATCAATAGTTTACGAGATACTTCATACTTTTTTTTCTAGCAAATTTTGACATGAAATATAAACTATCTTGTAAAGTATTAATTTTTTATGTTTTAAAGTAAAGTATTAATTTTTTATGTTTTAATATTTTTATGCACAAAACGATGAGATAAAGAAAATACATTGTTGCTTTAAAAAAATTAGGAAATTGCATACTTTTTATCTCTGTTATTTCTATTTTAATAATCAAATTTTGTATCAAAATAATTAATAAGATCATATTAGATGAACAAATTTATGTAATATTTTACTAAAAAAATGGAAATAATCTATCTTTTTATCGCTTCTATTTAAAAAAATACAGTATAACTAAAATACATTTTCTTCGAAACTATTCTATTTTTAATTAATTTTTTAGATCATTTTTTGTATCATTGTTAATTTAAAAAATAGTTGACAGGATTGATTAAAATGCGACAGTCTATATATGTATTTCTCTTTTTAGCGGACAATAAAAACGCGTTTACAGATGTTTTATGTGAAACGACCGCTGATGTATTGCGAAACAGAATACAGGTGCGAAAGATACATACTCGACTCAATCTGTGATTGAACAATGGATTGATCTGTTAAATTCAATCTGTGATTGAATAATGGAATGTCAATAAAGTTTTGTTAAATATATCAAATTAAGCGCCATGGAGTCTGATAACCCATTAAAAGCATAAACCGAGAATATACGATTTCGTAAGAGAAACATGGCTCTCCAATATATTATTTTTTTGTTGTAAAACTTTTTTATCTTTTTGCAGAAAATAAGAGAGGATGTTTTGGAATACGTTAATAATCATATTAACGATATGATGTCTGAGATTTTGCGGAAGATGCAAATGCCTTTGGCAAAGAATGGAGAATTTTTGTATACCGTAGACAAATATCGAGATAAAAGGTGAGAAATAATCAAAACAGAGAGAAAACTTCGAGCAGAAAATGCTCATAAAAGTATATGGTACAGATAGGGTACATCTATACGGTAGATAGATTTAAAAATATAATATTTGATAATAAAAATATTAGATAGCAATTTTAAGCGAAAAACATCAACTTGAAAAGATACTGCAACATTGTTGCTTAGATCTAATTTGTTTTCTAAAAAATATAATTGTGTACCACAAAAGTACAAATAAAATACAATTTTTACTATATAATTTCATATTTTTATGCTTTAATATTAAAAATATTGTATTAAAACTGTCACATCTAATAAAGTATTATATATTGATTTTTATAATATAATTAAGAAGCTAAGAATCTTAAGAAAAATATGTGATATCAGATTTTAAGATAAGAACCAATCACATTCGACTGTTATTTAGCTACTCAATGAGCAACTGTGTCAGTGAATGCATCCATAGTTACAATTAACATAAGAATAACGCGTATAAACTGAGAATTTGCAATGTATCAATAAAATATATCAATAAATATAATTATAATATGTTGATCATATTTGCATTTTTGTTATCTTTTTAGGAAATCTAGCAATAAAGATGCATTACCAGATAAAGTGTTTGTTGAGAGAAATTCTTTGTTCACTGATCTCTTAAAGATTTCGCATATTCGTGCGATTTACAATTTGTTCTTAATGACCTTTATAATTTTGCTTATCAACACCGTCGCATTCGATATCATGGAGACTGGAACGTAAGTTTGCAATTAAGGAATCTAACTCGTCTTTATTGTGGAATCATTAAGATTTCGTCATTTCGTGAAAAAAAAAATAGAAATATCGCTCTCTTCATGAAATATTTATTTTTATATCATTTAAAAAATATATAAAAATGTATGTTTTTAATAAATATAATATTACTTAAATAAATATCTTTAATAAAAAATTCTAAATATATAATTTTAGTTTTTTTTAAATTTTGCTAACAAATATCAAGTTTTTAAAATATTTTAATATTGTTAGTTTTAAACTTATAAAAACATTTTGCGATGTCACGTGGATCGTAACTTTATTATATACTATCTCACCAATCAAACTGTGCACTTATTAATTGATTATGAGAAACAACGAATTATCAGAATTGAAGTAAATGACATAATATAGTTATTTCATAATTACGTCTAGAAAACCACTTACGATAACAAAGATGGTGATTAAGATATTTACCACTTATTTCAAGTGTGGTGAATCTTCTGTTGAAAGAAAAACTTGTTTAATTATCTGATAATTTGGTTAGATTTTGGACATTCGTTGTTTGCGACATAAACACATTTGTTTCCTATTGACTATATATGCTTTGATTCTAATCATATAAATTTTCCTTTTTTTAATTCACGATTCTTAAGGATTCGCCTTGGTTCCAACACGTTATGGGTTAGTTTCGCAAAGTTTCCAACATGCATTTACATTTGGTCGTTCATGCAAGCTTCGACAATCAGTGTCTACGTGGTTTTTACCCTCTGGGCACATCAACGACTTCGATTTTTGCCAAAATGTAACAATCTCTTCAACTTAGACTTAAATAAATGTGCTAAATTTAAACGTTAAAAAAGTTAAATTAACTGAGAAATTTAAAATTGGAAGTAAATCGCTTAAATTAAAGAATAGTTTGATTGACATAAATATATAAAATAAAATTTCAATTTTTTAAATAATCCTTTTCGTGGTAACATAATAATTGACTAATTGAGTAGAAATTATAATACGACATCATGCAAAAATAATTGAACAAATAATTGTAAAGACCATTAGATAACATTAAATGATTAAAACAATTTTACATTAAATAACATTAATTAATTTAATTCAAATAACTTAGCTATATCTTTCTGTACAGCCTCCATTCAGAAATTGTGGGATTACAGCTGGCTATCCATGATTATACTATATCAAATTCTCTTCATTATTTTTCCTATTAAGGCGATGCTTGAGGCGAATCTTTCTATAGGTTGCAATATGATTATTATTTTTGAACAAGTATGTATCTTTAAAAATCTATGATTATAGCATTTCTCAAATTATGTTAGAAGTAAAAAGTTCGAATCTTTTTTGCAAAGTATACACCAAAGATAAATTTTCTTATTTCATACATTTGATAGTACAAATAAATAAAACGTGTTAATAATTTCTTCTTATTATCGAAGACATTAAAGTAATTTATATTTGAGTTCGAACGATTTACATATAAATATTACATATAAAATCATTGATATAGAATATTTTCAATTATTCCAACATTACAGTAGATGATAGAGTAAAAATTTTTGTACTTAAAGCAATATTTGTTTTTTTAGATACGCATGTTGATGAAGAGTCACGCTTTTGTCAGAAGCGCAGCACCTAGATTTTTGTCATACAAGCCTCACACCGAAACTCCGCGACCGAATGGCCCCAGATTCACGCAATATCTGTATTTCTTGTTCGCACCAACTCTTGTATACCGCGATGAATATCCTAGGTACAGATATTTTATTTTTTGGAGATTATCTCTAAAATTTACAAATATTTTTAAACTCTTCACTTTCCCAATAATGTAATTCTATAATTAAACTCTTTTATTTATCGTCATATTTAAAAGACAATTTAATTACCAGGTATTATCAGGTTGGCTACATTTAATTAGTACTAAGAAACTTTAGAAAAAGAAGATCTTTATTTGAGAGCAATTGATTATTTTAGGACGAAAAGAATTAGATGGAAGGTGGTGATTCAAAATTTCATTGAAGTGGGCCTAGCAATCTTATATCTCGTCTTTGTTTTGGAACGCTTTGTAATACCGGTCTATCACGTGTTCGGTACACAACATTTGGAACGGAAATGGTTTGTCACGAGTGCTATTGAGTCTAGTATTCCCGGCTTTCTCTACTTTATCACTGGACAATACTTACTGCTGCACTCATGGTTGAATGCTTGGGCGGAAATGTTGCAGTTTGCCGATCGATTGTTTTACAAGGTAAATACATACGTTTCTTTATCTACATCTTATTAAAAGTTAAACGAAGAATATGCATAAGTACCTATTTTTACGAGTTATATCGTAGACAATAGCTTTGACATAAACAATAGCTTTTATACAAGCGGTAGCTTAATATAAATATATACATCAAGTCAAGTGAAAGTAAAAATGATCTTATTTTGACGTCATAAAAATCAAAATGATGATTTTAGTTACGAAATTTGACTATTCATTGACGTTAAGGATCAAAATAAAGTCATTTTGATTTTTTAAACGTTTCTTGAGAGTCCAGAATTGACCCTATGATTTATTCACATAGTAATTTTATTTAAAAAATACAGCTGCGAGGAAGCTACTTCCCTTACACGAGAGTATTTGCGATAACTTCGGAAGCACAGTGTAGATTATAGACTTTTGTAAATTATAGCTTCATGAATTACTGTGTCGCTTATTATATTACAGGACTGGTGGAACAGCACGAACTATTACACGTTCTATCGTACGTGGAATCTGGTGGTGCACGACTGGCTGTACACGTACATTTATAAGGACATGTACGAGATCTTGGTGCCGAACAATCGATTATTATCAGCCGCCACTGTGTTCCTCATTTCCGCCATCTTCCACGAATATATACTCGCATTTGGACTCGGCTTCTTCTATCCGATGTTGTTCATCTTTTTCAGTGCCATAGGTTTCCCTATGTTCTTCATCAAGGTCAACAGCGTCGTGATGTGGTTTAGTTGGAGCATGGGCAACGGCCTCCTATTTTATTTATACGCGATGGAGTTCTACGCCCGGCACAACTGTCCGCCTCATCCTAATTACTACGTGGACCTATTCATATCGCGAAGCTGGAACTGTCAACAGCAATTTAACGCTTAGATTTTTTTCGTTTACATTAGCGATACAATTTTTTAATGGGTCGATATATTCCCTGCTCTGCAGCCAGAGCGACTATGTGTATGTAAGAACTGTTATCTACAAATTGGAGCAATTGGTTTAATGTTAAACTAGAATAGAGCAAAGAACAATTGTTGACGTAAAATCGTATTAATAGAGGTCCACGCAATTGTTAATAAAAGATTATTTATTTATGGAATTTTTTTGCACGGCGTTTATTTTTGATGTATTTTTAAATAGCAAAAATAAACTGCAATTCTTCACATCTTTAATGAAAAAAGTTGAAATGGACGAAAACGTTAAATTTTTTTTCATCTTTACTGAAATCTACGTTTATAACCGATAATGATTTTCAAGTTGCACTGTACAAAACGACGTAATATCGCTCTATTGTGATTCTCAGTGAAAATTATTATTACTGTTGAAAACGAAGAAAACTGTCAATTTAACTTATTTTTCAAATATTCTAGTCTATACCAGCATATTCTAGTAACATTACAGCAATTGCTGTAATATTGCAAACGTTGCAGCATTGCTACTGTTAACTTCCATGTTGTATATGGGAGACTGATTGTCTCATTTATTTATTATTATTCCAAATTTATCGTGTCTAATTTTTTCGGAAAAAAGGCTTTCAAACTTCTTTTTTATTTTAAATTTAATTAAATTAGTACTACGGTTGAATAAATTCGTGGTATTTGCAGAGCGATTAGAGTAGAAAGTAGTATTGTTTACAAGAAAAAATATTAATTTTGTAATGAATGTGATATAAAGCGAAATGGACAAATACAACTTATACCGTACAAAAATCTATTAACTTTTCTAACTTTACACGATTTTTTCTTCCTATTTTCGATCTCAATGTCGAGGAAATATTTAGTTTTATCTGTAAAAATATGCGCCATATAAGATCTACAAGTGTATAACGATTCAAGAATAATATCTTATTAAAATTTTATTTCAGTGGAAAGTCACTCTCGCTCGTTCTACTGAGATAAGATGACCGTCAACATATTAATTCAAAAATTCATAATACGTAATACAAGTATGTAATACGAATCGTCCGCATAAATACATATAATGTGTATTTGTATACATATGTGTGTATAAAAATTAATTCGCTCTCCGATCTGGGTCATCTAACTTAGGCATAATATATCGCGCTTAAGATATTAAATTTAGCTAAATGGTTAAATATAATAATGACGTACATATAATGTCACGCCGTGACGGCAGATTGTCAGTACTTGATTATGTCAGATCATGTTGTATTTTTACCGCGTTTTCGCTGTCACGATGTGATAGCAAATAATGATTGATTTTTGTTGTTTATTTCTATTGTTGTGTTAAGTTGGCAGGATAAGCTGTTAGAAACTAAGCTTAATGAGGAAGCAGCAGCTTAATATCTGCTGCACGCCATGATCATGTTTGCTGGCATACTGCTAGCATACTACTAACATTTTGCTATCTGGGTTAAGAAAAACGTCAAAAAAACCAGTATATTTTGAAATTGATAAACTATTATAAATTTAAGAAATAAAACACATAATTTTTTAATTGATGATTACAATATATTTGATATAAGCATTAAATTTATTCTCAACGATCCAAATTTGTATTATAATTGTTTAGAAAATAAAATAAAATTTTAATTTTACTAAATTTCAAAATAAATTTTAATTTCTAAATTAGAAACAGACACAGACAATTTTTCTAAATCAGTAATGAGTGCGCGTGTTCTATTTAAACAACGATAAGTCGTAAAGATTTATTGATGAGACCCACGAAAAACACTTGAGACTTGGGATATGACGATGTCCGTCAAAGAATCATCCAAGGTACACATGTCCTCTGAAGCTAGTTCAGTGCGCACTGTACTCATGAAGAGATAATACGATATCGACCTATTTAAATAATCCGCGTGCACGCAGCAATGTATGCACAGTTGAGATCGGGATCGAACATTTCGTGTTTCACTACCAAACACTGTCAACCGTGTGTTTAAGAAATCTTAAAAAAAGTTAAAACAATTGCTAATTATAAAGAAATAGTAATGTATGGTGCGGCGTGAATTGCAGGTGTATTATGATCGGAGATCTTCGATTATTTAAAAATCCGATTTATTTTTATAAATCAGCACGGAGCCGTTGATTTTCTGGGAGGATCACAAATCACAGAGTTTCATATTCTCGAAGTAGTTCTAGTAAAATCCATAGATCATCTTTATTTAGACATGAGTCCTGTTATAGAAACCATAGATCTGTCCGAGAAGAATAAAAATGCAGGTAACTCATACAGTATAAAATATTTCTGAATTATTTTCAAAATATATATATATATATATATATATGTAAGAAATCAAAGTGTTTTTAAAATATCTTTTGTTCATACAAAATATATTTGTATGTTTTGAAAAATATTCACAAATATTTTTAAAAAATATTTTTGTGAAATAGTTTAAAATGTTTTACAAATTTTTAGGAAGTATATTTGAAATATGAAAAAAATAATTTATATAAACATTCGTTGTCTGGAAAGTAAATTTTTTTTATTAATAGTAAGATGCACGAAAATATTAATTCTGAGACAATTAAATTATATTCGGCTATACAAAATTTTGAATCATACTTCAAATTTACACGCAAATTTTTTCAAAAACAATGACAATTATTTTGGAAATAAAAACCATCATGTTCAATATATAAATAAATTTACCATCAATCTATGTGTTGTCTGATTACATTCAATAATAACTAGAAAAAATAATTTTGCAATAGCGAAAATTATCTGGAAACGATAAATTAATTAAAATATATAAATAAATTTCTAATAAGAGAGTACTGTGATATTGGATATGTTTTGCATCTAATCAGATTACGTAATAGAGATAGAATTTAGATGTGTGCCATAAATTCTATGCGTACGGTACACAATTTTTTATTAGATATAATAATAATTCTAACTGGAGCAAAATATTTGTTTACGCGAAGAATAGAAACGTGAAAAACGAAAATTTTTGTATCTACGTGTATATACATATATGTACATATATATAGGTAGTTCAAAAAGTTCTCGGCCTAATAAAAAAAATAATATTTGACAATTTGTTTATTTATCAATATAGTCTCCTTTCATTTCAATAATCTTATTTTAATATTTTAACTCGTTATACTGTTTATATATGATTTTTCTTCAGTATGTGTCTGTACTTATAATATTTGAGCAGAATCTTTTTTTTGCGAACTATATTTCTTTATACTATCTAGAAAAAGAAGTTTCGGCAATAATTCATGACATATTTACATTAACGAATTAGCGACGATGTTATTACTACACATAGTGATTATGAAAATTTTAACTGTCGCCAAGTTGTCACGAATTATCACGATGTCAAAGTTCAAATTATTTTAACAAAACGCAACGGAAGTAAATACTAAAAAATTTTAGAAAATTTTAATAAATATTTAATAAATAGTACCAATGAAACATCTGTTATCTTACATAAATAAATATGTATTCAATTAAAAAAAAATTGCACTTAATAATTGAAGTATTTTTTAAATTGAATAAATATTTATTTACTGTACGCAAATGTTCCATTAGTATTATCTGAAGTAAACAAATATTTACTAAAATTTTGTAAATATTTTCAGTTCAAATATTTCAGTAGAATTTTAAAAAAAAGATTTGAAAATTTACTGCTTAATTTAAATAACTCGCCATAACTCAATATAACTAGTAATCGTAATATGACTAAAAATTATATTTTTTTAAATTTATATTTATATAATATGATTGAAGAAACTTGTAGAAAAAATTTTGTTCTCTCCGTATGTATGTCATCAAAGTATATACATACAAATACGTCTCTGCATTTCTTATTTCAGCAACCAACGAAAATGCATTCACGGATTTATATGAAGCGACCGCTGATGTATTGCGAAAAAAAATACAGGTGCGAAAAACACCACTGATCTCGACTTGATCCGCGTAATTGGAATATAAATTTAAATAATTTTGTTAAGTTTATCGAGTTAGTACCGTTCAGGTCAAACAAGCACGATCATGTTTCACTACTTATCATTTAAATGTATAAATCGAGAGGATACAATGTTGTGACTCTCTAGTTTATTTTGTTTAATGTAAAACGTATTTCTTCGTAGGAAATAAGACACGATGTTTTGGGATATCTTAACCACTGCATTAATGACATGATGTCCGACGTTCTGCAGAAGATAACGATATCTTTGGTGAAAAATGGAGAATTCTTGTACAGAACGAACAAATATCGCGACAAAAGGTAAAAAATTATTAGAGTAGAGAGAAAATAAATACAGCACAATATTGTTGGGTAAATTTAGAGTTCTCTCTTTCCTTAAAAAAAAGTAAAAGTTTCACAAAGTCCAAATAAAAAAAATTGAATTTTTATCGTGTAACGTTTCTACTATATAGTATATGTCTTGATATTAAAAGTATCACATTAAAATATGATATTTAATAAAAGTATAAATACGACTCTATAATATCTGTAAAACTGAGAATAAAGAAAAATATATAATATAGTTATAAATATATAAATCAGTTCTTCATATATTGATCATATTTTCATCTCTGATATTCTTATAGGCTATCCAGCAAGAAAGATGCGCTGTCGAATAAGGAGTTCATAGAAAGAAACTCCTTGCTCACTGATCTTTTCAAGATTTCGCATATTCGCACAGTTTATAATCTGTTCATGATGTCTTTCATACTTTTCCTTCTCAACACTATCGCATGCGATATCATAGAGTTTGGAACGTAAGTTTGCAACGAGAATCTAATTTGTTTCGTTTCTAGAATCATTAATTTTTTTTATTTTGAGGAAAAACATAGTAATTATCATATGAAATATATATTTGTGGATATATAGAAATATATATTTTTAATTTTTTAACGCTGTGGTTTAATAAATATTTTTAGTCAAGATTTCTAAATTAATTCTTTTTTAATTTTTAACATATTTTGATTTAAATTTTCCAAATTAAATTTTTTAAATGAAGATTTTAATGTCTTAGATTTTTAAAAGAAATTTAGTGATATTACGCAGATTATAATTTCATACTGTTTGACTAATCAGAATCGTTTTTATTATCTGACTGTAAAATATGACGTATTATCGAGGTTGAAGAAAACGGTATAATCACTTCATTATTGCGTTTGGAAAACTACTCATGATAAAAGACGATAATTAAAATGTCTACGCACTCTAAGTACAATGAACCTTCGTTGGAAAATAGAAAAATTTCATTAACAAATTAATTATCATTCAACTCGTTAATCACATATTTTTCATGACATATTTATTTCCTGTTGATTATGCTTTGGTTCCCGCTTTATTTCCCTTTATTAATTACTGATTCTTAAAGGATCCGCGTTGGAACCAACACGTTACGGAATGGCTTTGCAAAGTTCACATCGTGCATCTTCATTTGGTTGTTTATGCAAGCTTCGACACTCGGTGTCTACGCGGCTTTCATCCTCTGGGCATACCGACGATTCCGGTTCTTGCCAAAATGTAACGATCTCTTCAATTCAAGTTTAGAAAAATATATACTTAATTTAAACATTATAAAAGTTAAATGAACTGAGAAATTGGAAATAAATTGTTTGGTTAAAAAGCAGTTTGACGAAAAACAATATATATGTATAAAATAAAATCTCATTCTTTTTATATAATCTTTTTTGTAGTGTAATAATTAATTAATTAAGTTGAGATTATATTACAATAATGACATGGTGCAATAATAATTGACCAAAGTAATTGTAAAAGCTGTTAAATAATATTAACAGATTAGATTATATTATATTAATTAAGTCAAATTATCTATATCTTTTATTTTTGCAGCCTCCATCCGAAAATTATGGGATTACAGCTGGCTAGCAATATTTATATTGTATCAAATTCTCTTTATTATTTTTTCTCTTAAGGCGATGCTCAGCATGAATTTGTTCATATGTTGTAGGATGATTATTATTATGGAACAAGTACGCACTTTTAAAAATTTGCACTTTTTGCGTCTTAATTCAATTATGATATTAGAAGTAAGAAATATGAATTCTTTTCGTAAAGTATACGTCGAAATAAATCAATTTTCTTGTTTCGTACATTTTATGGTACAGATAAATAAAACATATAGTGATCTCTTCTTATTGTCGAAGATATTAAGTAATTTGTGTCTAAATTTGTTTGGACATTTCATATATAAATGTATAGAATAATTTAATGTTATTCATTATTCCAACATTATAGGTGGAGCATAAATTGTTTCACTAAGATAATGTTTGTTTCTTTATAGATACGCATGGTAATGAAAAGTTATGCTTTTGTCAGAAGCGCAGCACCTAGATTTCTGTCGTACAAACCTCATAGCGAAACTCCGCCACCGAGTAGGCCCAAATTCTCGCAATATTTGTATTTCCTTTTCGCACCGACTCTTGTGTATCGCAACGAATATCCCAGGTAAAGATATTTCAAAATTTCTTCGGAAAGATAACAATGTGAGTTTCTATAATTAAGAGATAGAAAAGGCAACTTTAGCGCTACATACTTATTAATTATAAAATTTAACTAGTGTTATTCGGCAGTAATGGATTTTTGTATATCTTAAAAAAACTTTAACAAAAACTTAGAATTAAATTTGTTCACGAAATGTATGTACAAACAGTATATTCTAATCTTTCATAATACAATTCGATACAGCTTAAATATTTATCCTGATATTCAAAAAAAGATAATTTAAAAGTATTCATGTTGGCTACTTTAATTTGATGTTAGAAGAGAAAGGAAACGTGTATTTGAACATAAATAATTTTTTTTAGGACAAAAAGAGTTAGGTGGATGGTGGTAATTCGTAATTTTATTGAATTTGGCCTATCGATCTTCTATCTCACCTTTATCTTAGAAAACCAGGTAATGCCGATTTATCGTGTATTCGGCACACAATATCTGGATTGGAGGTGGTTCGTCAAGAATACCATCAAGCTTAATATTCCCGGCATTATCTCCCTTATGACCATAAATTATCTTCTGTTGCACACGTGGATGAACGCTTGGGCGGAAATGCTACAGTTTGCCGACCGAATGTTTTACAAAGTAAATATGCCTACATTTTTGCAGTAATCTGCCTCACAAAAATTACATGTTGGATATGCGAGTCCATTTCACGTAATATATCACATTTTCATAGTTTCGATGTACGTAATGCGTTATACAAGAACGTGTGTTAAAATTTTTTTATATTGTAATTTCGTGAAGGGAGCAAAGAACCCAATGGCCAGACATGCACCTATATTTGAACACTTTTACACAAAATTTATTATTGTTACTCTTAAATGATTTTTTAATTCCAATATTTAAGAAAGCATTAGATATTAATAATAATAAAAAAAAAAAAAAAAGTTTTTAATAAATATCTGGACACAGACATAATTCTGGTCAAGAGGCAAATATTTTTCTGAAACAAGAGGATCTTGACATTATATAATTATGGATTATCTATTTCTGCAAACTCATTTCATGAATTATTGTATCTTGTGTTACACAGGACTGGTGGAACAGCACGACTTACCACGTGTTTTTCCGCACATGGAACGTGATAGTGCACGACTGGCTGTACATGTATATCTACAAGGATTTATACGAAATCGTCCTATCTCATCGGATGTTGTCAGCTACTGCTGTATTCTTCACCTCCGCCGTCGTCCACGAATACATACTCGCGTTTGCATTTGGCTTTTTCTATCCTGTAGTATTTACCTTATTCAGCACCGTAGGTTTTCCCATGTTTTTCGTCCGCAAGACCAGCAACCTTCTTATGTGGATAACACTGTCCCTTGGAACCGGCATCATTTTTAGTCTACTAACAATAGAGGTATATGCTCGGCAAAACTGTCCGCCTCATCCCGATTACTTCCTGGACCTGTTCATACCGCGAAGCTGGAGCTGTCAGGAAAAATTTAATGTGTAGATCTTTCCATTTGCATTGGCGAGGAAATCAGAAATTTGAAATTATTTTAAAAAATGAGACGATGTACTTTTATTCTGCAGTCAAAAACTATTTTTCAAAACTAATATTAACGTGCAAGTTTGTGTTAAATTGGAATAGAGCAAAAATTTGTTTGTTGAGAGAACATACAATAATAAGAGGATCAGTGAGGATTTAGTAGAAGTATACTAATAGATATACTAATTAGTAGAAGCACATTTTCTTGAGAAGTATATTCTTATTATACTATTATTTTTTAATAAAGTACCAAAAATTAATTGATGTAAAAATATCCTAATGATGTCTACCAGAAATGCGTTGCTTATTTTAAAATTAGAAAACGCATAACAAACTTGATTTAAAATATATATAAGATATATCAACTATCTGGTTTTGGTATTAAATATTCACATTATAAATGAGAAAAGGTCTGTGCCGCTCTAAATTTTGAGAATCATTGTTGGAGCTACATCATACCGAGCATGATCAGCAATATGAACCCACTTATTCCAATTTTATTGTACAATATCAAAAAACAACAGGACCATTGTTGTAATCTGCACCATTGATCAACTTGAAGAAAAATTTTTAGCATTCATGTTAGAAAACAAAAAATGTTTGTTAATTTTTTTGGACACGTGGCAGGCTCATAAAGTAAGAAAAAATCTTCAAATTTTGTTCCGATCAGTTTTCTATATACAAAAATTACTAAACTCACAGCAGCTTAAAAGACATAACGACCTTTCACAAAAGAATAGATTCTTCCCCCCCCCCTTCTCTAAAATCCTTCCTTTAATTTCAATTTTGTTCATTTTGAACGAAATCACAGCTTGAATTTTGAAGTTCGTAGCGCTATGAACTTTTGTTCCGACCCAAATTCGTATACATATGCACGTATATAAAAATTGATTCGCCCTCGGATCTGGGGCATCTAATATATTCATATGTCGAGCGTATGTACGTGTACGTATGCATTTACATCATCAGAATCATAGGTCACTCCTCGCGCTGTTAAGATATTATGGCACACAGTGGCAGAATAATAATAGAGTATATGTATACTGCTCGATGCAAAAACCGATTGCCGCGAATGCATTTCAATTGCTTTAATTACTTTCGTCACCCAGACACAGCGATTACGTAGAATCTAATTATCCAACTGTATTATTATTCTGTTAAACGTAATGATAACATAATTAATGCGCGTTCCTGCAGAAAATCGACAATTCTTTGCCGATTGGTCTATAATCTTAATTATAATAAGTCGACAGATAATTCCTTACGTTTTAATTCGAATTCTTGCGATTTTTGATCTATAAAAATTGCACTCGAGCTTTATATAATGACAACAAAATCATTGAGTCATAATTAAGTGATTAATATTTATAAATATAGTACCCAGATAACACAAAGTTTGAAAAAATTCAGTCATATCTTATCAATTCTAAGTTCATTTCAAGTAACAAAACAATATATATAAATACTTACATAGGCCTCTAATTATAATATATTTATAATTATAAAGCGATAAGATGTAATTCGCAAACAATACGTAATAATTTGTACTTGACTTCCGCACTAAGGAGAATTCAAATACAAAGTCTCGTTTACAATTAACTCCGTTGGAAGTATAGTTTAATTGTTTGCAAATTCTATTTTATAGTCTTATATCAAATATACACATATTATATTATTTATTTATCAATAACCATGGAGGTTCAGTTCACTTATATTCAAGATTCTTATATTTATTCTTTTTATTTTCAATTTATATTTATTTTCTTTTTATTTTTGTATATATTTTATATATAAATGTGCGTAGAAATCGCGGATGCTATCGTAACAAATAAAGTTTCCAAAGAGAGAAACTTCTTAATTTTTCTCGTAGAGGATACCAGCGACTGTAACAATCACAAAAAGACGGTATATAAAAAAATTTGAAAGACCTGTATCAAGAGTTCCTTATCGTTTATCACAATATGCGCATGCACTTGTTGCATACACTCGTACTGTGTTACGAAGGAGGTTTAAAGGTCAAGTAAATCATAAGGATTAGTGTGGATCATTCAAATAATTCATTGTGAGTATATCTAGCATTTTGTAAAGAGTTCATTAAAACTCTGCGTCAACTGATTATCGGTGAATGACGCTTGTAATTAACTAATTAATTACGGACAGAATATCAAATGTTACTAATGTAAACTATTTCAATAACGTAGATAATTATTGATGCAGCTAATTCTTTTTTTCAATGCTCGCATACGCACTCGTCGTTTTGCGATGAGTCAATGAAATCCGAGACGGCAAATTAATTTAAGAGCGAAATTGTGGAAAAAACAAATGTCGTTAAGAATGTTAGGAGATATAAAGATATGAGCAATAAATATGTAATAAGGTGTAATTAGATTATGTTGCATTTCTTTCCGGCCATCATTTCATCATAATATAGTATTTAACGTCAAAAATTTATTTATCAAATGTCAGAAGATCAACCATTTATCGTAATATTCACGCATAGTTATTGCGTATCTATGTATAATTAAGCAACAAATTAAGTTTCATTGAGGAAAAGTCTGATCGAAGTTAATTGTAGCGTATAATTTTGCAATTTCATTTGTTTCATAAAAATTTATCAGAGAAGCTTTTTAATTTGATCAAATTTACTATTTGATCATGATAAGTAGTGCAATATACTTTTGCAGAAAAAAACATCGACACGAGTAGAATCGACTGAAAAAAATAATACAATAGAAAAAATTAAAAATAAAATAAAAAATTGTTATAAAATTTAAAAATAATATAGAAATTTAATTTGAATTAACAGTTATAATACAGTAGTATTTTAATTGATGGGTATGCATAAAATATATTTCAATCTTACTTTTAAAAATTTTATATTTCAAATTTCAAGTTCTTCATATACCTACAAAAATGTAAATTGAAATACATTTTACCTTTAAATCTTATTTTTATAATTTTTTTATTAAATAAAATTTACAATTTTTCAAAATTGGATAAGTATTATAAACTTTTAATTAAATAAATTTTACAATATGTAATTTAAAAAATTACACTTGTATAATTTTAAAATTTACAATTTGAAGAATTATAAAGTTACTAAATTTAAAAAAAAAACGTTTCCTTAAATCATCAGAAAAAACGAGAGAGGAATCATTTTTTTATTACTACGTACTTGGGAGTACGTGTACTCCTTTATATTTTTGTAAACTCAAACGATGACGAGTCGTTAGAATTAAATTTGTGCGACGCACGAAAAACAATTGGAATAGGTACATACATACGTACGACGTCATATTTCACCCGAGGATCTATCACCCAAAGTACACATATTCCCTCAAGCTATATATATCAGTATATACTGTATTCATGGTGGGATGATAAGTACGATCGAGTCGTTTAGATAATCCGCGTGCATGAAGAGGAGCGTGTACAGTCGAGACCGGGATCGAGCAGCTTACGCTTCGCTGTCAAATACCGTCAGATCGTGTCGTACTCTCGAGAAATTTAAAAGAAAATTATCAGTTGTTAATTTATACGTAATAGCAACGTCTTGTGCGCGACGGCGTGGATTGTGGATATGTTATGATTGGAGATCTTCGTTCGTTTCGAAATCCGAGAGAATTTATCAGAGTTCGTTTTTATATTATTTTTATAAACTAACATCACGGAAACGTTGACTTTCTGGAAGGATAGCAAATTACTCAAAACGTGACAGAGTTGCTCGCAGTATAATATTCTTGAAGGAGAGTTTCCATAAGATCCACCTTCATCCCCTTTTTAGTCATGAGTTCAATTATAGAAACTATAAACAGTAAAGATGTTGCAAACAGCCTTCACGAGAAGAGTAAAGATGGTAAGTAAATTTGCTGGCTTAAATAAAAAGTAAGATGTATAACAGTCTTAATTTCTATTCTAATGTGTCTATTATAAATTAAATTTTTTTTCTATAATTCATGTTATATATAATCTCAACAAAATTACCTTTTTAAAAAAAAGGAAAAAAAGGCGCCAAGTGTGTTAGCCTCACAAAATAAAATGAAATCTTTTTAAATTGCGCCAATTATGAAAGAAATATATTTTCTTGACACATATACATAACATACTTTATTTCAAAAAGTAAAAGTACAAAAAACTTGGCGCTGCTAGACCTCAAAATATATAATAATAAGATGGTTATTAAATAATTCCGAATATGAAAAATAATAAGAAATTAATAGAAAAAGAAATAAGGACTCGTTATATAAAAATAAACAATATGAAGAGTCAAGGGCGATATTTTTTTTCTATAATTCATGTTATATATAATTTATATTTTTTATATATATGAAATTAAATTCTCTCTATTATATATTAAAATAATTTAATTCCACAAAAGAAGCTTAAAGTTTCATAACATAAATGTTTTCCTTTAATTTCTAGCGTTTTTTAACTCTAGTTTTCTAATCTTTTATTTAAAATAGGCAGATAAATATAAATATATTTTTATTAATGCATATTTAAGAGAGATCTGATTTTTTTTACATTTACTAATATATATATTTAATAAACTTCTAATGTTAGAGATTAATATAAATATTTCTTTTAAATTAAAATTTATTGAAAACGTTTTTAAATTATTTATTTTAATTGTTTTGATCTTTTAAATAAATAAATTTGATGAAGAAATTATAGTGTTTTTTTTTTTTGGAATTAATTCTTTCTATTCAAAGTTTATCAAATTTTAACAAACTTGTTATTCGCAATCATATGTGTCATGTTTTAAATATCATAAAGGTTTACGAAAATATTATGTATGTTTTATTACGTATATTTGATCAAGTATGTATACAACAAGCTGAGCTTTTGTGTGTTTACTATGCCGTCTGTATCTATCGGTTGACCTCTCTGCAATCGCGGTAACACTTCAAAGTTGATAATTGGACGTTGATACAAATATATATACGTTACGTTGTCACGATTTCATTGCATAAAAATTCACTTTGTTTGAAAATGCTTAATGATTCAAAAATTCTGCCGCTTTTGCATTAACCTTACATCAGCAATGTGAAATTTTCGATCATCGTTTGTAGTTTTAGGCACTGAGATTTACAGCAGTAAATTCTTTTTTGAAGTGACATTTCACTTCGACGAATTTAAAGAGTATACGCGTTTTTCTAATTTAACAAGTTAGAGAAATTTCTTCTCCAATTTTAAATTTATGTATTTATTTTGTCAATTATAAAAGTCCAATGTATCTATTGATCTCGATTAATGTTGATGTTACAATTACATCAGTAAAAAAATAGATGTAAAATACAGAAAAATCTATTAATCTTTATATACTTATTGAAATGTTATCGTCAAAAAACATAAAATACAAAAAAAAACTTCAAATTTTTTATTTGCACAAAATCTTACGCGATTTACTACAATATAGGTCGTCGAGGGCACAAGCATGATACTTCTAGTTGTCCTTGCAACAAAACAAATAATTGGATATTGACAATCTTAACATTATCAAGTTTTTTTAAGACGATATCGAATCCCGGTACCTATCAATTTTTTTAAGTTCGTACTCAAAAAATCGGCTGCGTCTTTATTTTGTCTATTTAAAGTTACTTAGTTTTATTTTCTAAATTACTCTCTCAATTTGTATGAAACTTGGTATGTAGGGTAATTTGATAGATTATTTTTTTGAAATTTGAATTTTAAAAGTCTGAGATCTCAAAGTTGAATTCAACGATATCGAAAATTTTGAAAAAACATATAGGTTAAAAAAGTCCGCATTGCCGGTGGAGGCTTACTATTTCAATTAACTTTCAAAGATTTCTAGTTTCTAATTTTTAAAGAAATAAGTTAAATAAAATAAATAATAATATTTGTATTTTTCTCGACAATCTTACAATTCTAAATGGTAATAAAATTCCAAAATAATTATAAGAAATAAATTATTCTTTTACATTAATTTATATTTCATTACTATTGCCATATTTTTTTTTTTTTTTTTATTATGATGTACAAAATGAAATTTATCTTCATATTGTAACTTCAAAATTAATCAATAAAGACATAAATTTTAAAACATGATGATATCAAAATAAACAATTAATTTGTAAGTAACAATTGAAAGTTTTAAATTTTATTTCAAATATTATTATTATAACAACGTATGTAGAGAAGAAGAGCAAAGAGCCAATATACTGGCTCTATAATTTTTTATTATATTATTATTATCATAATCTTTTTTAATTAGAAAACCGATACATTTTGTTCTGCAATGGAACAATTAAGTCAACGGCCCATTTATAAAAGTTACTCAGCATGAACTTATTAAGTCTCGATAAATATAAATATATTCTTGTGCTAAATATTATCTGCTATCTTTACTTATAGTGTATCTGCGTTTTCTCTTTTTCAGTAGCCAATCGAAACGAGTTTACGGATGTTTTACGTGAAACGACTGCTGATGTATTGCGAAAAAGAATACAGGTGCGAAATAATATACTATTGACCTCGACTTAATCGGTGATTGAACTTAATATAATGTGAATTAAAGTAGTTTCACTAAATGTATCAATAAAATATCGTCTGTGATAGAAAAATAAAACACAATGACATCCAAGAGCACATATTCGAAGATTAAACCGATAAGATACCGTATTCGAGAGATAACGTACCTCTCTAGCATATTCTTTGTTTGTTGTAAGGAGTATTTCCTCGCAGGAAATAAGAGAGGATGTTTTGGAGCACGTTAACAACCGCTTTAACGACATGATGTCCGAGGTTCTGCAGAAGTTAGAAGTGCCTTCAACAAAGAATGGGGAACTTTTGTACAATTTGGATAAATATCGGGATAAAAGGTGAGAAGTGATCAAAAAGGAATGAAAGTTTCGAGCAGGAAATACTTACAAAAATATAAGATAAAGATAGGATAGATTTAAAAATATTTGAAGGTATATAACAATTAAAAAACGTATCAGTGTAAAAAATAATGTAGTATTGTTGCTTAAATTTATTTTTTTAAGTGCCATAAAATCTAAAAATTTTCATTAAATTTATAATAACTTTCACAACAGAATATTAATATTAAAAATATTACATATCAAATAAAGTATGTGTGATATGAGTATATTATATGATATAATTGTGAAGCTAAAAGTTCCAAGAAAATATTTAAAAAATTCCTGACTACGTATTTCTTACGGTTGTCATAGTATTTCGCAACTATTACGCATTGGCGTTGAGTCGCGAACATGTTTCTTTTCGTCTATTAACATAAGAATGTACAGGCGCGAAAAATTGCAATGTAATTAATGAAATATCCCAAGGATTGTATATATATATATACAATACGCCAATACGCGTATAAATGTGCTTTAAATGTAAATTTAAATGCACATTAAAAGCGGATTGCACATTTAAAGCACATATATTTGTTCTACATTATATGCGAATTTAATATGCACTTTATGATAACGTAATTCAAAAAGCGTATCTATATGCTTATTAAAAAGCCCAATTAAATTTCATCAACTTGTTGAAGCTGCAAGCATAGACTTTTGCATAATGTATAAAATACATAATATACAATAAAAATCAACTAATCAAAGTCCATTCTTTTTATGAAGTAAAAGGAGAAGATTAAAGGATTGATTTTCTTATGTCGTGTATGCATTGTGAAAAAGTCTATGCTTGGGCATATATAAAATTTAATAGTAGATCTAAGGACCACACATTGACACTTTGATACAAAAATATGAACAAAGATAATTAATTAGTAAAACCGTTTATTATGTTAATCAGTTTGTAAAATTAAGTAAATATTAATACGTAAGTTTACAGCAAATAGATGCTCACCTTTGGAAAAAATATCACTTCTAAAATATTACTCTAATTTACTACCAATAAAAAAAAGTTAGGACTTGCCCTTAAAAATCTCAATCAATACAGGTATTTTTGGTATAATATATTAATACAACATCACGCTCACAATTAGCGCTGTGTGTGTCAAAGTTATACATTGACTTATTAAATATGTATGTTACGTAAAGAAATATTTCTTAAAATATTTTTGAAGTACGTACATACTTTTAATTTATAATGCTTAAAAAATATTATTTTATATTAAAAAATCAACACATATTACATTTACAATTATTGTAAAAATAAAAATAGAACATTTTTTATTTATACATATAAAATGTAAATAAATTCAAATATGGATTAGGCTACAATCTACTTGATGCTACAAAATTTAAATGCTCGAAGTATATGAATTTTTCGATCGGACTATTATAGTAATATTTTTTCATTTAATTGATTCAATCAAATGAAGCAGTCTAACTCAAAATCCAAGTTGACATTATTTGTCGAAATGATGTCAGCTTGTTACTTAATATGATAACGCCAATTGTAATGAATCGCATGCTGAAATCTGCAAATGCGTAAAAATATCGCATTAGAAAATATGTGCATTTTAAATGCTTAATTAATATGGTTTTGAAACTCAATGCAATATCATACGCGAATTAAAAGCGCATTATACGCGTGTTGGCGCTCCTTGGGATTTACAATAGTATTTCTGTCATTTCTTCAGAGAATCCAGCAAAAAAGGTGCACTACCGGATAAGGAGTTCCTCGAAAGAAATTCATTGCTCACCGATCTCTTCGAGATCCCGCATATTCGCACAGTTTACAATCTGTTCATGGTCACTCTCATACTCTTATTTTTCAACACCGTCGTATCCGATATCATGGAATCCGGAACGTAAGTTCACAATGGATGACATAATCCGTTTCTCGCTGAATCATCGATTTTATGGAAAACTAAACATATCATTTCGTAAAATGTACATTTAAAAAAGTTTTTTTTAAAAAACATTTATAATAACAATTAACTAAATATTTTTAATAAATTCCAAATTTAATTATTTTATTTTTTAAATATCTATTGAATTTTCTTGTCAAATTTTATTACCAAATTGTTAAAAGATATTTTGCGATGTGATGCAGATCGTAATTTTATACAAACTCTCATTAATCAAAACTGCACATTTCTTATTTCTGAATGAGTTATCGTGATTGAAAAGTAAACGGTTACTCATTAGTAATAAAAGAGAACAATGAGATTTATCTATTTACTTATTCGAAGTATAGTGAATCTCAATTGAAAAATACAAGAATCTGATTAATGAATTAAATATCGGATAAATCAATAAGATTTTGATTATTTTTTATTTGTCGTACATACAGTATTAGTTTCATGTCAATATGACAACTTTGATTTCTACCACCTAATGTTCCTGTTTTAATTAATGATTATTAAGGTTTCACGTTGGCACCAACACGTTATGGATTGGTTTCGCAAAGTTTCCAACGTGTATCTATATTTGGTTATTCATGCAAGTCTCGACACTTGGTGTCTACGTGGCTTTCAACCTCTGGGCGTATCAACGACTCCGATTCTTGCCAAAACGTAACAATCTCTTCAACTTAAACTCAAATAAATGTGCTTAATTTAAATATTAAAAAAGTTAAATTAATTGAAAAATTCAAAATTGGAAATAAATTGCTTAAATTAAAGAACAGTTTGATTGAAATAAATATATAAAGTAAAATCTAAATTTTTTCCAATGTTCTCCTTTGTGATGTAAAATAATATACAATTGATTAATTCGGTTAAAATTATAATACGAGATAACGAGAAAATAAATAATCAAAATAATTGTAAAAAATGTTAGGTAACATTAACCAAAAGCAATTTATATTAGATAATATTAATTTTAATAAAATTTAATTCAAAAATTACTTAATTATATCTTTTCTTTTTGCAGCCTCCGTCCTAAAATTGTGGGATTATAACTGGCTATCAACATTTATATCGTATCTAATTCTCTTCATCATATTCCCCATTAAGGCGATGATCGATTCGAATCTCTCCATAGGTTGCAGTATGATTGTTATTATGGAACAAGTACGTATTTTTAAAAACCTGCTTTTATAGTATCTTGAATTAGGACTTGAAAAGTTTAACAAAGTTTAAATGAATTTTTTTACATGTCATCACACACATTCAGTAATGTAAATTAATAAAACGTGTTAGAGAATTTTCTTCGGACTCGCGAATTAATAAAGACTGTGAATCATGAGTTTTTTCGGTAAGATCAAATTTTTGTGCTCTCTAGAATCCGTGGGATGGATCGAAATATCTGTGAGATTGGATGTTTCATCTTACTTAGGGTAGATCTATTTTTGTTTTAAAATTTAATATATTAATCGATGCGTTTAGAGAGGCGCTATTAGCGCTATTCTTTACTCTTCTTGATTATTAGATATAAGACAAGGATAGAATGACACAGATAGTGCTAATAGCATCTCCCCGAACGCATCTCTTGAGAGATGTTGGTTATTATAGAACGCCGCACTAGCTATGCGTGTTGGCGAATCTTGAATAAAACATGTGATGGATACTAAATAAAATGATTAGAATTATGGTTAAAAGGGACATGATTTTTTTTCTGGAGAAGGGCGCAAAGGAGAAACCATGGCTTACGTAGGAATACAAGATCGCTTATTCTAAAGTATAGATCTGTCCCTATATTAGGATAGTAGAGGAGTACCTACACGCTACCTTATGATACAGACTACCTTAACGATGATGATGTGAATTATGAGATTTGTTCCTGCTAAAATTTTTTCCACTCTAAAAAATGTTTGTTTTTTTAGATACGCATGATGATGAAGACTCACGCTTTCGTCAGAAGCGCGTCGCCCAGATTTTTGTCGTACAAGCCTCACAGCGATATTCCGCAACCGAGTGGCCCCACATTCTCGCAATACCTATATTTCCTGTTCGCACCAACTCTTGTGTACCGCGATGAATATCCCAGGTAATATATCGTAATTTCTCTGATAATAGTGTGAGCTTTTAACTGTGCGATAAAGGAGACAACTTTTGCTACATAATTTTATTAATTATAAAATATAACTTATTATTCAGTAGTAATAGATTTTTATATCTTAAAAAACATTTGAAATAAGAAATAACATCAAACACTATTTATGAAATGTAAAAACAAAATGTCGTTCCTCAATAAGGCAATTTGATGATATAGCTTCGTGTTCCAAATTTATCTCATTTAAAAGATAATTTTATATTATAATATCTTTATGGCGATATATCAAATTAATACTAAGGGATTTTAGAAGATTTATTTGAATACAATCGATTTTTTTAGAACGAAAAGAATCAGATGGATGGTGGTAATTCGAAATTTCGCTGAAGTCGGTTTAGCAATCTTTTATCTTGCTTTTATCCTGGAACGGCTTGTATTACCGGTCTATCACGTATACGGTACACAGCACTTGGAACGGAAATGGTTCGTCAAGAATATCATCGAATGTTGTATCCCTGGTATTCTCTATTTCATTACTGGACAATACCTCCTGCTGCACGCGTGGTTGAACGCTTGGGCGGAAATGCTGCAGTTCGCCGATCGTTTGTTTTACAAGGTAAAGAAAACGAGTCTTCAATATTTTACCTTGTAAACCTTGTACTTTGTCATATATGTATATATTCTACGTATAATTTTTATAATTTTAACCCTAGCTGTACAGAGTGGGGTTCCAAAAACTCCAATGCAATTTGTTAAATCGAGCTTTTCTCTCCAATGTGGAGGGAAAAAGACGAAATATAAACCATGCAGAAAACCTTAGTTTAAAAAAACAGATGCGTTGTGTCGTTTGTGTTACAGGATTGGTGGAACAGCACGACTTACCATACTTATTACCGCAAATGGAACGTGGTGGTGCATGATTGGTTGTATACGTACATCTACAAGGACATGTATGAAATCTTGGTGCCACGCAACCGGATGATATCAGCTATCGCCGTATTCCTCGTCTCCGCCATCGTCCACGAGTATATCCTTGCATTCGGATTTGGCTTCTTCTACCCTGTGATGTTCATGTTATTCGGAGTCGTAGGTTTCGCCATGTTCTACGTGCGCAAGGTCGTCACCAGTAACGTCTTTATGTGGTTGAGCTGGAGCGTTGGCAACGGTATTATGTTCAGTCTGTACGCGATGGAGTTCTACGCCCGGCACAATTGTCCGCCTCATTCTAATTATTACCTGGATCTGCTCATACCACGGAGCTGGAGATGTCAAAAACAATTTAACGTGTAAATTATCTCGCTCGCATTAACAATAAATTTTTTTTTTAGACGATGCGTCCCACATGTAATTTCCTTTTTGCAATCAAAGACTATATATTTATGAGACTGTTACGAATTTGTGTAATCAGTTTAGCTTTAAACTGGAATACAACAAGGAGTCGTTTGACTTCTTGAGAACAAAATCGCAATAAAAGGATCAATTAAGATCCAAACGCAATTGTTAGAGAGTAACATTGATTTATGAAATTCCGCACGTATCAATTTATTTTGGATAATTTTTTGATAATAAAAGTAATTGGCAACTTTTTCTCTAAGCCATCGATAAAAAATGTGAAATAAATAAAAACATTTTTTAATCTTTTTTCTGAAGCTTACAGTCATCGTAATCAATGATTCTTTTAACGATTTTCAAGTTGCACCGTAGAAATCAAAGTTACATCATTCTATCACGTTTCATAATAAAAGTTATTTATGGTGACGTAAACAAAACTCAATCCAACTTATTCTTTTGAATTCTGGACAATTCAATTATTAATTATTTTAGATTTGTCGTGTCTTTTCGCAAGAAGACATCTGAGCTTTACTTCTATAGTTACTTTTTTATTTGAGATTTTAATAAATTTCTGTTTATTATACATTTCTGTTTCTACTTTTTATAAAATTGTTTATAAAAGTGTTTTAATAAAATTATGTAATTGTATTTGAAATTTTAATAAAGTAAATGCGTAATATTATCACAGATTAACTATAAGGAGAGAAAAATAGTACTCTGTTTATAAAAAGAAATTAATTTTTGTAATAAAAATAATAAAAATAAAAAATTAATAAAACTTGTCAATGCAAGGTAATTATGTGTAATTTTTTCAATAATTTAAAACTTATTATTTAATTATTTTATTGGTAGCAAATTTTATATACAAAAAGTTTATCTTGAGTTTGTAACTAATTGTAATTAACTCATAAAGTTCCAGAAAATTACTATATGCTTTTTTTTTAAATCCTTATAATTTATTAGATCATAATCAACATTTTTTGTTATTGATATTTATTTCGTTATTGATATTATAGAAATAAGAAAAATTAAAATCTAAAATTTAAATTAAATACATAAAAATATGTTGAAAATCAACACACGTAGGTTTTGTCGACGTAACATAATTTTAAACTTCAAATAGTTATTTATTCGCTCATAATACTGATGTCTTGTTACATGTGAACTAAACTTTCTTATACAATAATTGAAAAATTGTGGAAAGAAGTTTCCTTCAATCCAATACAATTGTGTTGTGTTGTGTGTGTTGTGTAAGAAAATTTAATTTTACAAGGTTATACATGGTTTATGGTAAATGGTTAACATGTAATGAATTTATGATGTAACGAAAGAAATTTTGTAATTATAAGAAATATTCGCTAATACTATCTTGCGTGTGGTTGAATGCTCTATTTCTGTATATCATTTTAAGAAAATTTAGTTTACATGTAACGAGACACCAGTATTATGAGCGAATAACCATATGAAGTTTAAAATATATCACGTCGAAAACTTACGTGTGTTAATTTTCAATGTATTTTTATATAATAAATTTAAATTTGGTATACTAATGACCCAATAAAGGGCAAAACGTTTATATTTATGTTAAAAAATATTTTAAACTTTAAAAATAAATTATAATCTTTAATTATAAATTTCGCAGAACTCTGATATTGGCTTCTATGCTTTTTTATAACATACAACTGTCTCGTTGTTAAAACAAACTTTGAAAAAAAGCTTATTTAAAAAAAAACATATTAATTATCCAAGACATATAAAATAAAATAAAAGTGACTAAAGTCCCAATCCTAGTGACTCTTGTAATTAGTCATTAAAGATTCACAAGAATTACAAGTTACTGATGTAAATTGATTCAATATCGTCAATTGCTAATGCAGCTGATTAGTTTTTTTTCTTAAGGTATGCATCCATCATTTTGAGTCAGCCGAGAGATTTGCACATAAGTTGCGAAATCCGAGACATCAAATTAATTTTATAAGCAAAACTGTAAAAAAAGCAGGTGGTAGCCAAAAATGTCAAAAGATATAAAAAATAATTATAAAGCGTAATTAGAGTTTCTCGTAAAGCAATCATTTTGTGATAAAAGATTCTTTAACGTCAAATCATTAATTAATATTCATAAAATACATTTTAATTTTACTTTTAAAAATAAAAGTTCTTTTTCAAATTTTAATCTATTTTTAAATACAAATTCCTTTGTCTAAATTCTTCTCTAAAATTCATTTGAAAGTACGAAGATTGCTAATTAAATTAGATAGTTAGAGAGAGATCTTGTTTTTATTAGCACGTGTGTTTCCTCAAAAGTCGAACGATAATGACATGGAGAAATTAATCGGTGCGATGAAAAACAATGAGCACAAGTATATATGTGTGCGACATCACACGTCTCTCCAAGTATCTATCAGCCAAAGAACACATGTTTCTTAAGACTAAATCAGTGCGTAGTGTACTACATAGTAGGATGAACACTCGAGCCGTTTAGATAGTCCGCGTATAGGAAGTCGAGACCGGAATCGGGTAACTCGTGCCTCGCTGCAAACCAACACCACCAACATCAGTGTTGTACTCTAGGAAGTCGAAAAGAAAATTAACAATTACTATAATTAAGAAATAACAGTAATGTGCGAGGCGTGAATTGCGGATGTATTTGATCGAAAATTTTCCATCTCTTGAAAATCCAAGAGACTTTATAATTCGTTTTTATAATATTGGTTCGGAGTTATTAATTTTCTAAGAAAATCATAAATCACATTCGAAACGTGACACAGAGTTGCTCAGAGTGTAATACAATATTTTCGGAAAGAAATTTTTGTAAGATCCACAGGCCATTCTCAATGTTGGCCGTTCTCTAGTCTTTGTTCTGTTACAGAAACCATAGACTGTAAAGATTCCGGTGTAATAAATGCAGACCTTCACGAGAGAGATAAAAATGGTAAATAAAAAGTTCAATTTATCATGAGATAAATAACAATCTTAATTTCTGTGAAATAATTAAATTCCATAAAAAATGTAGAATTTCACGAAAAACATTTCTTTTATTCAAAGAAACCTTTTTCTGGGTATTTTCAATATGCAGTTTTCTAATTTTCTAATTAAAATAGACAAGTAAATATAAATAATAAGAATAATAAGGAAATTCCCATCCTCAGTCCTCGATTCTTCTTACAAGAGACATTCTCAACGCACGTGAACAATAAGTAAATATAAATAACGTTTTTGGAAACTTCAAAATAGCAATTTCATAAAAAAGTAAAGAAATATTTAAAGTATTATTATATGTATTTACATAAATGCAAACATTATATCTATGCGTTTCTTTTTTCAGCGACTAATGGAAACGCGGATGTTTTATGTGAAACGACGGTTGTTGTAATGCAAAAAAGAATACAAGTATGAGAAAATAACCCGTGTGAAGCTGGTCTTCCAATATTATAAATAAAAATCGATTTTTTTTCTTTATGCATTTGTTTGCTCATCGTTTGCTCACCCTTAGTTCAAAAGATGTATGAAAATTATGTTTTAGGGGGCCATCTTCACACTAGCCCCCCAATATTAAAAAATCGATTTTTTTCTTCATGCATTCGTTTGCTCACAAATGCTCAGTTGGAATTTTCGTTGCTCACCCTTAGTTCAAAAGATATACGAAAATTATGTTTTGGGGGGCCAACTTCACACTAGCTCCCCAATATTGAAAAATCGATTTTTTAATCGATTTTTCGTCCGCAAGATCGTCACTAGCAATATCTTTATGTGGGTAAGCTGGGGCATTGGCGATGGCATTATGGTGAGTCTGTACTCAATAGAGTGCTACGCCCGGCAGAATTGTCCACCTCATTCCAATTATTACTTAAACCTTTTCATACCGCGAAGCTGGAACTGTTATGAACAATTTAACGCGTAGATCGTCTCGTTTGCGTTAGAAATGAATTTTTTCGCGGAACAACGTGTTTCCCGATTATTCTACAGTCGAAGATTGTATTATGATTAGATTCGTGCTATAAATATAAACAGCGAAACTAGAAGGAAAAGTAGTGGCGTTTCCAAAAAAATTCGTAAAAAAAATGAAGATAAAAAATTAATAAAATTTTCGAAGTGTAGCAGCATTGTATTATATACAAATCTTCAGATAATTAAGTACTTTATTGGTTTTAATTTTAAATTCTCTATAAAGGAAACGTCAAGAAAATCCAAAAGTCTTCTTAGAATTAACTAATGACATTGGATATTTCGAATTTATAATTAATTGTAATTAATTCATTAAGTCAGAAAACTACTACGTACTTTTCTTTTAAATCCTTATAATTTAGATAATAAACAAAACTTTTAGATCACAATATTCAGATCGTAATCATTCTTTTTACCTCTTTTTCAATCTTTATCTTTCTTTTCATTAGATATCTCTTCCTATTGCCAACTAATTTCAAAAAGAGCAATTTTTTTATCTGGTAAATTGCACCCTAAAAACTTTGATAAAGACTCGAGTTGCAAAGAATAAAAATTAAAATTAAAAAAAGTGCGTAGAGACTTAATGTGTTAAATTATGTATAAAAAGGAATGGAATCATTAAAAGAACAATACACGAAAGTTTTTATATAAAAAGGGATAATTTTTATAATCAAAGCTCCACATACGCTTTCCAATTTCCACGTGGCAATAAAGAAGACGTACGTATATATCTTCCGTCCTATATAAATTAATTTATGTCATACAGTTGATACACATGTACAATCCTCTTTCATAATTATTTCTTTTTTCACATTATATATATTTATATATTTACATCGCTTTATATCCTTTTCTCCCTCTTCTCCTCACGCTTGATACAAAGAACGACAAGAAAAAGTAAAAGACGAGCACATACATCCACGCACACATATAATACACATATTGATTTTCATAATTTTATATGATTTTTGATTCCCGTTTTCGATCTCTGCCGCAACGAAGTTATTTCTTCATCCGCAAAAATAATTTATACAACGAGAATATTCGCTGAACATTCGGCATTTTCTCTCATAGTCTTCCTTCATCCCTGACATCTTTTCTTCTTCTCCTATTTGGATAGAAACAGACAATAACACAAAAAGGATGACCGTATCTTATTATGGGATTGCATACATCTTATTTATAAACATTTGTACCTAGATCTGCGCTTGTTCGCTCAGGCAGCCGCATATTACATTACGATGCGATACGATTAATGATTTTGACAGCTCCACGGAAGGAAAGTTTGTTGTAATATCTAAAAGTTAAGTATCATATATAATTTACTTCAACTTAAGTATCATGTATAATTTTATTTTGATAGTTTTCAACAAAAATTATTTTCAGAACTGTATCTAGCTAAAAAATGTTTAGATACTTCAACAAAACTTCTTTCCGTATCCAAATCGGATTTCCTTTGTCTAGGTCGATCCTCTATTCCAATCTTTTCTAAATGAACTTTTTTCTATAAACTTTCTTTCTACTTTATCTCGTTTTTTTCATAAACAATGAAAACGCAGAAACGCTCCCTTAAATATTGATAAAAAGAACATTATGATAAATAATATGAAGTGACAAGTAAATGTATAATATAATCTATAATTTCTAACTGAGAAAATAAGACATTTTAATTGTAACATGCTATTAAATTAAGGATCGGGACCGAAAGGAAAATCTTGGAATACAGGAAAGACTCTTCCTTAATATTACTCTCTATTCTTTGGAGTACAAATCTTACTCTAAACAGTGAAAATCAAACCCGTCTTGAAAAAGAATGACTCAATCATCAATCGTTAAGAGTAAGATTTAGCTCTGCTGACAATAAATGAGAATCACTCTGACGATCGTTTCTACCATTACAGATAAATTTTAATTTCATTCAGCTAATTCCTCATCTGTTTCTAGTTTTAAAAATTTGAACAAAGTTAAAATTACATTGGCAGGTATGAAAGTTTTAGAGAGTAAAGGAAATCGCCACTTGTCAATCGCCAAAAGTCAATTGTCCAACGTGACCTCCCGCTTCGAACAATGCGAAGATCCAATTAATCAAACGTGCAAACCTTCGCATTGTTAGAGGAAAAAAATGTACGACAAAAACGAACACGGAAGCGCAATGTTTATTATTAGCACCGCTCTAAAATTTGTTAACCACAAATGGAAACAACAATTCTTGCTCTCTCCGACATTTTATCTTGAAATTATACAGAAAGAATTTTTTGCTGATGGATATACGAGCTATATCTTAACAAGATACCTCGTCAATGCGAACTGTTTGAAAGAATGAATTGTATACCCAGAATACATACTCTCTAAATTATTTGGAATAGGATCTCACTCTAAAAAGTGAAAATTGAGCCACTTTTCTTCAAGTGAATCAATTTTTGATTTATAAGAGATTTTACTCTCGAGAGTAAAATCTCTAAGTTTAGGAGTAGAAAAACTTTCTATCTTTTTATTAGTACTTATTCCAAAACATTTATTACACATAACAATGCATTCCTTCCCTGATTGAGATCAGCAAGATCGTTCATTGTTCTGGCTTCCAAAATATTATATTCTAAGTCCAGGAGAATAGTAAAATTACTCAGTAAACAAACTTATTTGCTGGGTAATTCACATACATCTGTTAAATATATTATGTATATACTAAATTAATATTCTTTTTTTTTCCCATTCTTGTTGGAATCGAATAATTCACCTCGTTTCCCTATCATTCATTCCTCTTGAATTTTTTCTTTTTTTTTTCAAATACTCGTTTTGACATAAAGATATAATACGTTTTTACTTTTTTTTATCAACGAATTTCGGATAGTCTGACTCGCAATAACTAATTCTGTTTTTTTTAAATTTTTTTCTTAATTATAATATATAGATTTCCGTTTTTCAAAAGAGTATTTTACCCTGTTAACTTGGAATTTGAATTTTTTTCCTTTTTGTAGCAGAGTAGGAAAAAAAAAATTTATTTTTATTAAAAATCCTTACGTCGTATACTTCTGTAGATTTCCTGATAAATCACACACGAACTTCGGGAAAAAGAGAAGAGATAGAAAGTAGGAGATAGAAAGAGAAAAAATGTCACAATTTACGTTCCTCTGCTTTCCTCCTTTTTTTTTAATGCACAGCCTTTGTAACACTATCATTAACGTTCGTATCAAAAGTGCATATCGTGCAGCTGGCATTCTCACTTGCATCGTTAAAACGAAATCTTCGAGAGAACTATCAGACGAAAGGAACGAATAACATCTCTCATGAAATTCCACAGAAAGAGAGAGAAAATCTTTCTTGGGGAATTTAAAAGCAATCGATATACACTTGGCAGTGTTAGAGAATACTTAATATATATGGCTTGACACGAGTGATCGCATCATCAGAAACCAACTAACTTGGAGCAATATACTCAAATATTCCGGAAGCGCGACATCTAAAGACAGAACATGAGAAACGACGGAAGAATACCGTTGAAAGGAAGATTTGCAACCATCAGTCCTCGCAGACTGAAGTGGAGAAGTCGGTACTTCGGTGCAATCGATCTTGACTCGTTTAGACTTCATTCACGCTGCAGTAATAATTTTTCAATTTGCGTCTTGTCCTAACTTTCTCAAAATATACAGTGAATGTATAAGTTTCGTAATTAATAAATAATTAAGAAATATAAAAACTTGAGAAATATATATATATATCTATATACTCTTTTCCTAATATTTTACCTAAATTTATATATCTTTAATTTAATATTATTTATTTTTTAATAAAGCTAAGAAATTTTAATTTATAAAAAATATTTAATATTATATGAAAATAACAAAGTTATATGAAAAATATTAATAGATGTCAAATCTTTAAAAACTGCACCGTTTATTTTACAATTGAATTATATATATATCTATATACGATTTTCCTAATATTTTACCTAAATTTATATATCTTTAATTTAATATTATTTATTTTTTAATAAAGCTAAGAAATTTTAATTTATAAAAAATATTTAATATTATATGAAAATAACAAAGTTATATGAAAAATATTAATAGATGTCAAATCTTTAAAAACTGCACCGTTTATTTTACAATTGAAGAATGCAGTTTTCATTACAAACTTAATTTAAAGTAACACATTACTAGCTAAAAGTTTGAAACTACATATAAAATTTAGAAATATTAAAACACTATTTAAAAGTTCAATTCACATTTCACTCAATATTTTTTCTTAATTAAAAAATGGATATTATATTTAAAACAATTATGATTAACATAGCATTGTTTAATTTAAAAAAGTAGGCTACAGTTGTGAAGCCTTTTTTCCCCAAAACTGAATTATAGGCTATTTTAGAAGATGAATGGAAAATTCTTAAAAAAATAAATAAAAATGTAGCTATATTATTTACATTACTTAAAAAATTAATTAAATAAAGCTAGCTATTTCGATAAAACAAGTATTTAATTAATTCTTCTTGAATTTCACTGAAAAATGTCAAAAAGCAACGTGTAATTTGCATAGTAGAATCAACTCGGCGAATACGATGCTGAAAAGATGACGAGGGATGCATGTTCCAAACAAGATTGCGAACAAATACGAAGAAACGATTTGCTTCAATATAGTATACGAACAGTGTCGCAAATTTAAACGAGTCAAAGATCAATTACATCGACGAACACATTTTCATCTTTTATCAGAAGAAAATAAGCTCACTGCATTCGTTCATATTCTCATACGTTTGTCTTACTAATTTAATCTAGATCGATCCATCTTTTTATATCTATCGTCATACAATTAAAATCTTACAAGTCTCGATAAACCGATCTCAGTGCTCATCAATTTTGCAGTTATTTTTTCACTCTTTTTTGTGATACACACACATACACACACATATATATATATATATTTTCATCCATCTCTCTAAACAGAAAGTAGAACCTAAAACACTCTAGTGTTATTCTTACACTCATATTTCAAGTACACCGAGTTGAACGTCTCAGAAATACGAAATATTTTTATGTAGCCTTTCCGAGTCGGTCACACACATAACAAATATAATACGTTTATCGAAATACGATCATTGATGAACTTTAACAGGTCAATACGGAGACTACAATCAAAGATTTAGTCAATAACGTATGTAAAATGGTCCACCAGAGTAGAGAGAAAGAGAGAAAGAGAGAGGGAGAGAACACGTGAATAACTTCTAAATTCGAAGAAAAAGTTGGATACAATTTGTACAATTTTGAGAGAAAAGTCCAGAGAGAGTTTTATTCGGATATTCCCGTTCCCGGTGGGACTTCTTCTCTGATCTAGAACATTGGAGAACATGAAAGAAACGAGTATTCTCTCTTTGTCTTACAGTTTTAGTAATCTTCATTTGCCCATACCGACCAGCGCCTCGTCCATGAGTTCGTCATCGGTAATACAAGGTGACGCGGACGAATGGGGTGAGGGTGGGATCACTCGGGGACTCGGTGCTGGACTTTTGACGATGTGTACACTAACGGACGGACTAGCAGCAGGCGGAAACGGAGCAGGAAGCGGCGGTGGAGGCGGCGGTGGTGGCGGTGTATTGCGACGCACCGTCTGCGCTGCCTGGGTCATCGCCCGCTCCGGAATCGTCGTTAAATGATGCTGCGTTAAGGATGCTGGTAGACCATGGCTTCCCTTCGTTAAAGAATCCTTGTTCGCCGCAGAGAAGTCCAGCAGCATTTCCGCCGCGGCCGCGGCTGCTGCTGCCGCTACTTCCTGTTCACCACCACCACTGCCACCGCCACTACCGCTGTCGGACGTCATGACGGAATTGCCGTCTGATGAAGTCCCGACACTAGTCAGCGACGAGAAAATTGACGATGATGAAGATGACGACGTAGAGGAAGTTGACGATAACGATGCCGATGACGTCTGCTGCTGTTTCTTCTCCTCGACGGTGATCTTATTATATTTGGTTTGTAGGACTGCCTGGTCAGCAGGCTTGGTACTCAGATTCAAACTCTCGGTAACGATGGCGCCGCTCGATGCGGTCGACGTACTTGTCATCGTACCGTAAGACTTGGCGCCTGATGACGCCAACTGATCGGATACGTTACTTTTGGAGAGAATCCCACCAGCACTTGTGTCGTCCATCTTACCGAGGAACTGCTGACCAGTGGATGTTTGCCTCATTCCTAGATCCTTGCACGAATCACGGGATGGTTCATTGTCCATCGGTTGGATGCACAGATTCGTAGGTACATCAGAATCGGCAGTCGACTGTGGAGGCAGCATCAAACCGGTGTTCTCCCCAACGAGATTCAAAGACATCGCGCCGGTGGCGGATGTTGTGATCGACAGATTGTCCGATTTATTCTGCGAATGGTCCCGTCTCGATTGGTCGTCCGGCAGCGATGATTTGGATATAGACACGGTAACATTGGACAAACCAGCGATTTTGCCCTGTTCCTGTTTCAGACCATCCAAGGTCTGTTTGCTGGAATCAGACAGTACCGACAGTTTATCCGATGACTTATTCTTATCAGCGTCAGCTACATTTGCGCGAGCCGATAGTTTCGGTATCTGAAACTTGGTGTCCAACTGCTTCATTAGGCCTTCCATCATTAGCTGAGGCGGTAGACTCGGCGAAAGGCTAGAGATAGACGCGTGCGCGGCCAGCAGCTTGAATGCTCGCTCACTCTCGCTCTCTTCCCGCAGAGCAGATGGGCTCGATTTTCTGGCATCACCGAGGCCTTTCGATGCGAATATTCCCTTGTCGCCGGATTTCGGAATCCTAGGCTTATCTCGACCACGACTCAGATCAGTTACACCTGAACTCGTCTTCGGTGAACCGGAAGCTTTAGATGAACCACTCTTCGATAACGGGTTTCCTCCAATACCTCCCGTTGTAGTCGCCGTGATACCCGCACCACTGCCGGTATTCGTAGTGCCCGAAGAGATGGTGGATTTCATACCGGCGGCCAACATCATCTTCGTGGGTAGCATTTTCTGTGCAGCCTGTAACGTTTGTGGCTTCTTCGATGCCGGTCCAGAGTTTACGCCAGGTTTAAGACCTGTATGTGTCTTTGGCGAACCATTACTGCCGATAATTACGTTACTGGATGATGAAGAAGCCACGGACGATAAAGAGCTCGAAGATGAAGTCGCCGCCATCGATCCCGATGACGACAACTTCAAATTGGCGGCTTGCTTGGAATCTTTAGTACGAGTTTTATTGATGGTGATCTTTATTCCGTCTGAGCTGTGCTTCACCATATATTCGGCAGGATTCTTCGTATCTACGGACGCATTTTTGGTAACACAAGACTTTCCTCCTTCACCAATAGTCTTCCCTCCACTTGACGACGACGAGCCACCGCCGCCAATATTCTTCTCCTTTTGTCCAGCGCTACTCATTCCACCAGTACCGCTAAGGCCAGAGGATCCACTACCTTTCACGTTACTGCCACCGTTCCCACAAACATCCGTTTCGGTACAATGTTGCGCATTCTTCAACTTATCGATCACGGCGTTGAGAGAACTCTTGCGATTCCGCGCCTGCTGGGCTGCGATTGCGGATTTGCTCGCTGCATCGACCTGACCAGATGGTGGAGTGCTTCCGCCAGAAGCTTGCAGAGACGAGACTTGAGCTTCGCTACTGGGGGAGATCATCTCTAGCTGCTTCATCTTACCACTAGAGGACTTGGTCTTGGGACTCTGATGGCCACCACCTGAACCGCCGGATGAACTGACGGATGATGTTCGTCTGTCTTTATCCCCACGACCGGAGGAATCCTTACTGGAGGACGACGAAGAAGACTTGACTTTGGATGAGGTCGTTGTTGAGTCGGAAGAACTACTGCTGCTGGTCTTACTAGATGGCGAATTTGCCGCTGATTTTAGGGCGGACATGCTAGGTTTGCCACTACTCGCGGCCGAGCTACCATGTTTCGGAGACGAAGTATTACCATGTTTCGGGCTCGCGCTAGCAGGTACCGGGACTGGAACAGACACCGCTACGGACGGCACGTTGCCTACTGTGTTAGGCACCGTGGACACAGATAGCGACATCGGAACCGACATAGGAACCACTGAGACATTCGGCGCGTTGTGCTTCGGACTACTGCCGTAAACGGGTGAGTGCTTCGGGCTTTGTACTGGTTTGCCACAGGTTGCTGCTGCCGACTGACCAGCCTTCAAAGTAGGACTGGACTTACCTACAAGCGTGGCGAGCGAACTGGAATGTGTGGGTGACGGACTGAACTTCCTTACAGCTGCGGGCGAAGTAGGCCGCGAAGATGAGCAGCTCAAACCAACACCAGTACTACCACCACTCGGTGGTGATTGCTCGGGGCTCGGTTTGATGCTCACTGACACTGGTTTCGAGAGTGGATCCTGTTGTTTGCCACTCGATGGAACTTTTTCCGGTGGACCCATCGGACCACCGTCCTCCCGTTTACGTTTGCGCCGTTTCTCCAGTTTGTTCCCACCACTCTTGATATCCTCAGAACTGCTTTTACTACTGCTGCTGCTGCTGCTTTTTCCACCACCACTTTTCCGTTCGCTTCGCTGCCGATCTTCCGTTGCACTCGTTAGACCGCTGGTTTTCGGAGACGATGTTGGACCGGCAATCGGCGTGATGGTAATTGAGCTCGGTAGATTAGTCTGCGACGGCGACGAGGCGATGGGTATGATCTCGATGCCAGGTCTCCTTTCCAAACCCATACCAGTCAGTACGGAGTTATAGTTGGTGGTGCTCGCTTGATCCAGATTACCACACGAAATTGGAGTGATACTTACTGATGGTGGTACCGGCAGACCTTTGTTACTACTATTCGTTGTCGATGTCTCGTCAACAAATATATTCGTTGGGCTCGACTTCTTGTCCTCGCTACCACCACTACTTCGATTTTTTTTAGACTTGCGTGTCGATGAGGATTCGCGTATCTTTATCAATTCCTCTACGTCTTGTTGCGGTTGTTGCTGCTGTTGCTCTACACTAGTGTGTTGCACTTCCATGATCTCACTATCTTTCTCGGAATTGTCGAGATCGTAATCTGAAGTACTCTTATCGAGTATATCGGTAGTATCCAAATTTGAAAAATCCATACCGCTTGTTAAACTAGTAGCTGAAGTTGGTGTAGACGTTCTGGTCTCTGACGCAAGATTCTCTCGACTCGTAGGCGTTCCCAGTGGTGTTGAATTTTCTGAACTTGAACTCTCCAGCAGGATTTCCGTTGCGGTACTATCTCCGCCGTCGTTTTTTCGTTTGGGACTACGCCAAAGACCGTCCGTGCCAGTCTTTCTTTTACGCGTCTTCTTGCCACGCTCATTCGTATTTGAGTTACTAGTTAGGGAGTTTTTTGGTTGTCCCAGCAATGCACCAAGCTGTAACGGGTTCAACATAGAAGTAGAAGTATTGTTCGTTCCAGTAGTACTCATCGTCATCGTCGTCGTATCGGATTGGCCGGAATACGACGGAAAACCGATACTATTTTCCGTTCCGGCATCTAAAAAAGACTGCTGTTGCTGTTGCTGCAATTGATTCGATGACAGTTGCTGTTGTTGTTGCGTTTGTCTACCTCCCATACACCCATTGCTGCCGTTATTCAAACCGGGCTCTTGCTTTATTTTCGTCTCGCCATTCGTAAAGTCGGGCATACCGGACGCGGTACCGGACGCGTTTTGTCCGGTCTGATCTTTATTACCGGATCCTAAATTGAGATTGTAGCTACCATTACTACTGCCACTGCCGCTGGTTAAACTGTTCATTACCGCGGGCAAGGAACGACCCTCCCAGATCTTCAGCAGCATTCGCATGGTTAACGGGATGCTGAGGCAACGTTGTAGCACCCTACCACTGAGATCCGATGTCTGCTCCGCGTTCGTTGTCATACTCACGCCGTATAACCGGCATTTAAGCGTTGATATGTCCGTCAAGTCCAGTTCTGCGGTGGCCATTGTCTCCTCGTACGGATGCTCCACGCTCACGCTGATGTGTTGCCACGAAAGGGCGCTTACCTCGAGTATAGTAGTATGTTCCGGATCCTGGCGTGCCATCGGCCGCACGCAACTCGCAATTAGACAATTGAACAGCGCCTGCTGCCGAAGGTATACCAAAATCTGTGGAACATGTGCGGGATGCGTAAATGGGATACTACACACCAGCACACCCTCCATATTCTTGTTTTCCGTCATGAAGTAACAATGCTGTTGATCCGGCAAGGTCTGCAAGTGAGAGTAGCATGGTTAATCACAGGATATAAAATGATATTTCTTTTATATATATAATCTTGTCACTTACCACATATAAACCTCTGTTGTTCCGACAATCCAGCTGACCGTCGCTTGCATGTTGTATTATCAGACTAAGTAACGGATGTGGCGCGGAGATGTCGCCGCATTCGAGCTCCGTGACTTTCTGTATCCTCTTCACCAACTCCATGCAAATAGGCATCTTCTTGACGAGCTTCAGCACAAAACAGGCAGGCAGCATGGAGGAATTTGTACTAGTCAGGGGAGCATATGAAGGAGTGCTGAAAGAAAAGGGCAATGATAAAATGGCAAATTTGTTTTACTTAAACTAGAATAAATTCAAAAATAAATAATATAAAAAAATGAAAATATAATGGTAGTATAGAACGACTCAAGTAATACAAAATAAATAAAGGTATGTTGAGAAAGACTCTACGAGTCAAAAAAGAAAACAGATTTAATGTTTTTTTTTTTTAAATAAAAGTGAAAATGACAGTATAAACATAGTTACAAACGTTTCGACTCCGATCGGGTCATTATCAATTATTATACAAATATATTATACTTTCGGCGGTTGAGTGTAAAAGCAAAAGAAATAAAACTTGCTCTTACCTCTTGCCTGTGGGACTTCGGTTTACAGTTATAATACTAGAAGTAGGCAACTTGTGACCCGTTGAACCTTCCATACAAACAGTCACTGAATGTCCGATTTTTCTTTTAATAATAGTATCAGGATTCAAAGTGTCATAAGTTCGATTTTCTTCGTCTATTAAATCGTACGGCGACACAAAATATGTCAATTTCATTGGATGACCGCCTCTTCTTCTTTCTAGGATTCCTAGATACAAAAACATATAATTGAGTCACATAATACATAACAGAAGTATTAATATAAATATGCAAATTCACTGCGCAAAAAACAAATAATATAGAAGATAGATATAATAAAAACTAGTATATAACAAGACGCTAACCGACGGGACTCTTGTGAACCAGATTAAACGGTTCTTTCATGAATGTCTGCAGCTGTGCCAGAACACCCAGGTCAGCCTCGAGGGATTGCAGAGCGCTGAATGCCTTGCATTTTACTTTCTTATCGGCATTCAGCTGATAGATCGAAGCCAGTCCTTCTAACTGTGTGGTGAAATCGACGAAGTCACCGCGCGACAGAGCCGAGGCAAGCGCTTCGCAACTCTGCAACAGCAATTTTCAGAATTAATGACGACACTTTAAGAAGAAATAACGTAATAACGTCTGTAGTTCTTACCTGTTGTTCACTTTTTCCCTCATGATGGATTTTAACATCCCTAACAAGTCCTGACGGAGGTTCTAACAAGACCTCCAAGAAGAACATGTCAGAGGATATGAATATTTCCGTGCCTGGAGGACCAGACATCATGAACTTTAATCTGTGCAATGAGATAATTGTTTACATTTAAGTACAATTTATTTTACATGATTTATAAGAGTTATGAAACATTAAATAAATCCTACTCTTACCAAATGACAGATACTCACCCTAACTGCCTTGCTAAGCTCTCTAAACGCTCTACCATAGACTGGAAGGAAGTAACCTTGATAGAATGCTGCAGAGTGTCCAAACATTTCTGCAATTGATTCTTCTCTATGCTGTCGATCGCGAATCGCTTGTCCTGTGTATCAAAAAATCGTATTCATATCTCGATAAGCTTTTAAATGATAAAGTAAGTAGAAATCACTCACTAGCATGGCCATACGCATGTTCTTAGCTGTTTCCACCAAGGGTTTATATGTGGAAGACTTGGAACGCAATTTTTCCATCAGAAACTCCATTTGCCATTCCTTGCCCTTATCAGAGGCAGGTCCTCCTCCAGGTGAAGGTTGCCCCGCTATAAAAAGGTTTCCAATATATTAAAGATATTGCTGTATTAAATATCCAACTAAATACATATTGCTATAAACTAATTCCTCTCTTACTGATTCATAGATCTTGTTTTTCATAATAGATATATAAATACAATTGTATTAATAAAAATTATATTTATATGTATATACTTATATAAATACAAATTATATAAAGAAAAATAATATATAAAGATAAATACATAGTCATAGACTATAAACGTCTTTAAAGAATACATATCATTTTAAGGAGGTTTTCTTGTTTGATGAAATATAATATAAAACAAGTCAATAATATACAATACATGTAATACAAAAGTTAATAATATCAATATCCAGAAAAAAATTCATTGACTTTTACTGTATCATTTTGAAGATATTTAATTCTAAATTTATAGAATTTGACATTACAAGTTAAAGGTATAACCTTAATCTCTAGTTATTCTGTTTTAAATTAAGATATATTTATAAGACAACAATTTTTAAAATTATTATAATTATAAAGTAAACACTTAAGTTTGTTCTCGTAAAGTTTCATTTAAACTGACTGTACAGTTTGAAAAATTTTATATTTTTCAATGAAAAAAGCGAGAATGTATGTCAAATGGACAATATGCATATAAACTGTATAATACTTCAAATGAACATCTTATAACTTTTTTTCATTTAAAAAATATTTAGTAACATATAAAATTAACAGTATAATTATGTATAATGGCATGGTATTGCTGATAACTTTTTTAGTCTATTATTTTAATCAATTTATATATTTTTATGAATAAATCGTCTATTGACCAGGAGATAGTAAGAAAACCTTCTTAAATAAGATATATGAATAATCAGGAGCCACTTTTTAATTATATCAGTGATCCTTTTATTTTTTTGTTGTTTCTATACTTAATTAGGTGAGCATAGCATGGCAGATAGCCCATTGATCTATAAGCCAGAAGTCCTAGGTTCGATCCTAGTGGGAATCAAAATATTTATGCTAATGTCTCCTCTCGGAAAAAATCAGCAACCTCTCGAGTGTTTTTGTTCATAGTAACACCTCTCAAAAAATCCGCCATTCAGAATCGGTATTAAAACTATAGGTTCCATGTACTTGTGGCAATTAAATAGTGTGCGTAATAACATGAGAAAAATATAACACAGGTCAGAGACCTGATGTAAGAGGAAGAAGAAGACACTTAACCATCTAAAGTATAATATATTTAATTTTGTTGTAATGACCTAATCGGAGTCAAAACATCTAAATATAACTATGTTTATATTGTTATTTTATTTTATTTACGAACATTAAATCTATTGTTTTTGGCTCATAGTCCTTCTTAACATACTTTTATTCAATTCATATGAATAATTCCATCAATTATAACTAATTCCTCACTGATTCATAATTTCACATGTTGACAACAAGACTTAGAAAGTCAAATTGAGATTTCCTGTACATAAAAGATATAAATACAGGTGTTGAGAGAATACCCTGCTAAACACACTGCTAAATTACAAAACATCCACATTTGGTAATAAAAGAAAAATTATACAAATACAATTGCGCACAGTTGCATACTGTAAACTGTTTTGCAGGACACATCATTTTAAGTAGGACATATTAATAATTCTGTCAATTAATTAATCTATCACAAAGACTTATATTTCACATATTGCAAAACGATTTTCGAGATTTAAGCAGGTAACATTGATACGAGTTCACGCCTCGTGAAAAAGATCTTCCTCCGAATAAAAAGTATCTCTCACCTTGGAGCTTCTGCCCGTTGGTCGCATCCATGTGCTTCGGTGATTGGCACGGATGCATCCGCGATAGTCCGCGGTGTTTTGCGTTCCTTATGCAGCACGCTATCGCGAAATCGCGACGCTACGTGCAGTAGCCTGACCGGCCATGGCGAATTACAGAGCGGCCAAAGCGAACGAAGAACGACGTGATCGCAAATGCAATCCTTCGGATAGTATCAGGATGCCAGATTCGTGATAATCACCGGGATATTACAACATCAGTTCTAGCCTGGCGATGCCTGCGACTGCTCGCTAAATTCTTCCACCCAGCCTAACCTAATCAAACGTAATCCTGACCTTACCTTACCCTGCAAGACGCGTGTCGCTAGGTGGCGTTACCAGAATTGTCAGATGTGGCGATTTATCCATGAACTTGGTGATTTTTTACTTGATTGGGCGACTTATTTTCAAATTTGACTCATTTGACTGATCCATCTCATTTTGACATATTTAACTCCCTCCTTCTCTCTCTCTCTCTCTCTCTCCTGTTACAAAATATGCTGGGAAATTTTTAGGTGAGTGGTTTACCCCAATTTTCAGTTGACTAACCGACCAATCAACGTTCTACGTTGATTGAAATTGATTTAATTCGATTTTTTGTATTATTCTGTGTAAAAACATCTATACAGACTTTATTTTTTTTATATGGTTGTTAAAATTTAGATACATTTATGTTTAAAAAATTTAAACTTTAAATAAAATTTCCAAAAAATTATATGTAAGTTTAATTGGATCAAAATAAACATTTTTTGTCTGTTAGACTTTTTTTAAAAACCATAATTTTCGAGACAAAAAATACTTAAATTTGAAAAATGTTTATTTTTATGATTTTTTTCTCACAAACTGTTTATAATTGTTTCGATTTTGTGTTCGCCATATCCACCATATTGAATTTTTATTTATTTTAATTTGACATCAGATTCGTAATCAAAAATTTAAATAAAATCCACAAGTATTGATTTTCGAAAAAATTCAACAAAAATTCATGCTATAAGTAAAAATTGATTATGAAGTAACATCATAGATCGAACACACATTAAACACAATAATTAATAATATTAAAAGTAAAAACCGCAGAACATTCTTCTTTATACTGAGAGCCATATTAAAACTAGATAAGAGCAGAATTACAGATTTAAAATTCATGAAATAATAGAACACTTAATTTAACAAACATTTTCTATATTACACGATATACGAAATTACACATAAATTTTTAATCTCGAATTCTATTATTGTAAATTACAAAATAGACTCGAGAAAGTCAAGATAGTTTTTTCGATATATATAATCATTAATGCGTAATGATCGCAACAACATTACAAGAAATGCATGAATGCTTCTGTTACACAGAGTTTCTTTATTGTACATAGTAAAAATTGCGTATAAAAATAATCTCGGTGCGAGATGTAAAATATAAGTCATTTTTTTATATACACTGATTGCAAAAGCGCAATACTAGACTTAATTCATTATAACTTTGTCTTGTAACAATCAGACGGCGCGTATCACACGCTTACATCGCGTTTACTTTACGTCATTTATAAAAGTAAACGCGGCGCAGCTTAAAATCATGGATAAAAATTAAGATGTGTGCCTAATTAACGAGTGACGTTATATATATTGTGATATTTGTACTGTGGTGTTTTTCTTAACTCTTTCCAACATAAATTATCCTTCTGATTTATTTGTGACCGGATGTGTGCAGCAAAAATATATCATTTTCTCGTTAAAAAATATCCAATATCATGATGGGCTAAGATTAATTTCCTAAAATAAATTTTCTATCGTGACTTACAGACTTTTAGTAAACGAGAGAAAATCTTAAAACTTATAAAAAATTCCTATAAATTATAAATGAAAAAATACACTTGAGTAAGATAAAATTGAGCTGCCATACAGTTCTTCATGAAAAACAACAGTATCGAATATAAAAAAGTTCTTCGTTACAAATTTTTGGTTCGATAAAAGTGAGTTTTGTTTCACGTTTGATTGTAAAACGTGATCAAATTCCCTGTAAATGATATAATAACGTAATAAAATTCGCTGTCAATACATAATAAAAAAAAATAATCGATAAAAATGAGTTTTGAATCGATATTCGACTATGAGGCATTCTACGTTAAACCGGGCACTTTTGAAATATTATTCTATTTTTTTTTTAAATTTTTTAATTTGCAATATTTTAAATAAAAATAAAACATGTTTCGCGAAGAAATTGAGACTTTTTTATGAAGTTATTCACGCTAGTAAGTTATAGAAATTCATAAAGAACGTTACTTATACGAACATTCAAATTATTATGTCGTTAAAACCATTAATCGTACAAAAAAAAACGCAAGAAATCGATTTTAATGATCTTAAATTGTTCTATGGATGGGTTATTTTTAATTTATCGTTTTCATATGAATAAATCATTGTCCATTAGTTTATGATTTTTATTAACATTTTTCATCAACTCACCGATTAAAAAATTTTATTTCAATTAATCTCGAAATGGGAATATGATATTTTTACAAAACTTTTTAATTAAATTAAGCTTTAAAAATTTTAAAAAAGAATTCGAATGGACGGTATAGTTTCAAAAAATTATGTTGTGATGGCGCGATTCCATGGCACATACGGTTTTGACGATATACATTGAATGTTGTATGAGCGACGTTTTTAATGAATTTCTGCAACTTCCAAAGGTGAATAACTTTACAAAAAATTTTCAAATTTTTTTCGCAAAATATGTTTTATATTTTTATTTGAAGAATATGTCAGCAAATTAAAAAATATAAAAATACCGATGTTTCAAAGATGCCAAGTTTGACGTGGAATGCCTTCTATGAAACAGGAGTGAAAAAATCAAAGAATGCGTTTATTATAAATTTTTGGTGCTTGGGTGAAAGGAGATCCGTTTGTTCCAGAGTTTTGGAACCGGCGAGAGAACCTGCTCCAAAAATAAGTGCCTCTTCTCCTTCAGATTGAAACGCATGTTGCACAGCGATTTGTCAGTTTTCTCATCTTTTTCTATAGTCCAAGCGTGACTATCATTATTGTCCCTGTTATCGTCTATATTATTAATCTGCCTGTTGTTGTTCGACAAGCTCGGTGACAGATTCTCTTTATTTGGCGATTTTTTCGATACTGTGGGAAGAGTGTTTCTCTTGATGACGCTTTCCGTCTCGGCAGTTTTAGCGTCAATAGACCTGGCTTGACACAGATTATCGCCGTTTTCAACGGATACCAAGGGACTCATTTCAACGTAAAGGTCACTCTCATTCGTGTCAAAATCGTTCTTGCAATCCGCGAACGTGACTTGTCGCATGAGCTTGCTCGCCTTGTCCAAAATCGGTGAATCGGACAAGACAGCGTCTATTAAAGGCGTCTTCTTGATGGATTCGATAGCACAGCACCGAACAAACTCCCTGAATGCGTCTATTTCGCGTTTCTCGACGTCCCATGCGGTCAGATCGATCGAACCGGTCGTCGTCGAGGCGTTCCTGAGATCATTATTGAACAATACTTTGGCAAAGCGCGCCTGCGTCATCAAATTCTTGGGATTCAGGTCTTCCCAATGAGTCCCAGTGGTGTGATAGATATGTCGTGGCGAATTATCCGCTGTATACCGCCTAATCTGATCTATCGTGCTCACGAGAGTACTCGCGGAATCGCGCGATGGCTCTGTCCCGTGTTGAAACTTCTCATCCGACAAATCATCGCGCTCCTCCAATATCGTGTCCAACGCAAGCATACCGCCCCGGTCATCGAACACCACTGGCTTGGCTACATATAGACTGGCATTTTGATCATCAGCGGATGTGGAGAATGTGCTATCGCCGTAAGATGATTTATTGCCCTTAGATTCCACCAAATCGTAAGTCAGAGCGTCCGCGTAATCATCCTGCTTTAATATTCCTCGTGAGATCATACCGTCAGAGTATTCCGAGCTGTATGTTGTGCCGGTCGTGCTCGTTAGAGTATCTCGCCGCCTATCACGCACCACACTATCATCGTGGATGTATGTCTCAATGTCTGTATAGCCCTTCCAGCTGCGGATACACCAAGGCGGCCGAGCGATTCCTAGCGGGCACACATTTTCATAATCGTGAATCGACGTCACGCAGCTCATCGTTTCGTCCCGCTGCTGTAAGAAAAAAATATACATGAAGGAAAAACAGCATAACGAAATAATAAGCAGAAAGCAATAAATTCAATATAATAAATAAATAAAAAGATATAGTGCAAGTCAAAAATATTGCATTATTTATAGAAATAAGGAAATTGTTATTTTAGTACTACTACTTTATACTTTGATAGAAATGCATTTTGAGGGAAAAAGGTAAAGAATTTATAATAATCTCTTAATATATAAATAATAATTAATAATAACAAAAAATACAAAGAATCCATGATAAATAAGCTATGATTGATTTGCATTTTCTATATTATTGGGGATAATGCAAAACTTTTGATCGAGATTACAGATTTAAAATATTGTTAAACCTGCAGTTGCAGGTCTTTCGACACCTTCTCTATATCGAATATCCTGCTGCTTTCCAATGGCGTTGGAGTCGTAAGCTTTTCTCTGTTCTTAATAATGTCCAACGCGCCGATCACTTTACTGCAAGAATCCAGCGTAAGAGAATTGCTCCGCTCGCAGTTATCGAAACCAAGTTTGTCCAAATTGATATTCAATATATCTGGCGCATGCCAGTCTAATTGGGGTGTAATATCGTGCTCGTAAATGCCACGACGTTTACGGGATGAGTCGATGTCAGGTAAGCCAGAATACGGAGAGTTCAACGGCGCACTACTTGTAGTCACGTTGTCCGGATTATCATTAACTGATGTGACTTCCTCCTTGTGTTTGACACCAACGCGACTGTGTGGCCTCTCGCATTCTGTAGAGAGGCGCAAGGCGCTCGCGTTGGACTCATTCTCCGAGCTGTAGTTGCAATTGACAATGCCTTCTTCTACGCAATCGGAAATTTGCGCAATATTTGTAAGCAAAGATTGCTTGTCAGTAGGCACTTCCTCGGTCTTCGGCGATATGTCCATGGAGTGGTGCAACGACACCAAGGAGTCGCGATGGAACAGTTTAAAAGATCTGGATGCGTCAACCTTCGTAATTGTAGAATGCTCGCTGATATTTCGAGAGATGTTTGTCGTCGTTTTTGATGGATGAAACTTGCCGTAATATAGTGACATGCTTGCCAGACTGATGAGCATAAAGCCGATTATCACGGACACAATCATAATCATCGTGATACTCTCGATAGTTCCCCCGAAATGTAATATATACATGATCAGGAAGAACAGATTCTGTGCTGCGACCACCGAATAAAAGATAAGCACGCGATAGCGCGATCTATCGTCGCGCAAGTTGAAGAAGTCAAAGCAGTAGATTAGCCCGATGACACAATTGTAGATGCGCTCCTCCCACGCGGTAGAACAGAACTTTGTCTTCTGCAAGATCACCCAGACTGTCATAGACAACCAATGCAGACCTGAAAAACAACAATTCCTTGAAAATTCAAGCATTACAGCAAGATATTTAGACAATCGACTCAACGTATTATAACTTATAATCACTTAAATCTCTCTTCTATAAAGATCGACTTTCCTCTTTATCTAAAATAGATCTGATTAATAATTACAATTATTTCACATAAACATAACATGGGCTTCTACGTTCTAGTTACAGGACTTTCTCGGTAAAAACTCACCCAGAAATAAAAAGAACCATGCTTTCAGGAAAATAAGCGCTAGTACCAGAACTACGACTCTCGACAACAGCATACCGCTGCGCCAGACAGCCTGAAGAGCGAGAGCGACCCAAGTCACACTGCTGCGCTCTCGATTGATATTGTACATAGCCTTAACGTATGTACTCACTGCCCATGTTAAGGAGCAGAAGGAGGTCACGGCGGAGGCACCTGTGCAAAAATTGCATATGTTAATTTAATTATATTAATAACAATATTTTAATATTTTAATTCTTGGTGGTGGCTGGATCACTTAAGATCCGGACCTTCGTTGATTTTAAAAAATTATAACTTTTTTATATCGCAAGAATATAAAAACCTAAACTTGAAAATTATTACGTTTTTATTGCTGTTGTATGTACTATTTATATGAGAGTAACCAATAGATAGTCCGGATCAAGAATAATCCAACCACAGTCTTTCGAAGAGTTGAGCCTGTAAATATATAAAAATATATACTTTTTAATTTAAATGCAAATATATATTAAGGATATATTTTTTATAATCTATTATAATTTTTATATATACATCTTCCGTAATGCTAAAAAAAAGAACATCAACAATTATAGATATTTGTTTAACAATGTCGAAGTTCTCAATATTCATTAAACAAAACTGGAATGTAATCATATTGAAAAGTGTGATAAAACATAAAATAAAAGATACCAAAGCACTCCTTACTGAAAAAAATCATATCACAAAGTTATACATAACGAAATCATATAATTAAAACAAGTAAATAAATAATAAATGCCTTTGACCAAGTCAACGAATTAAAACAAGCTATGAATTAGATGTACATTAAGTTTACTTTATTGTAATATTTTTATCAAATTCATGGTGTGTTTCGTCTTCACTTAGTCTTTATCAAAAAACACATATAAATAATAACCCTATATATTACATTAGAGCAACACATTATCGATTATTATTTTAATTATAATACAAATACCAAAAAAACAAAGATAGAATACAAACATATTAAGTATAAGGACTATCTCACCTTCAAATTACAAGTAACAATTACGGTAAAGAACAATCATATTATGTCTAATCATATTTATCCAATTATAAATGAAATAATACGTCATTAATCCAAGTTAATTCTTTGTACTGTGATATCAGTTACTACTATAGCAACACATAAAGACAGATCGTAAGAGAGTTTAAACACAAATGAAAAAATAAATAAATCTCATAACAAATTGTTCCAAATCAGTAATTTCTTAAAATCGTACATAATTTCTTAAAATCACATGATTTGAAAAATTACATACAATATTAGAAATTTCATCTATTATGATTTTATAATTATCAAATTTTAAATAATTAAATGACATAGAAATAGAAAAAAAATCATATCATCGTATGATTTCAAATTACGTGATTTTAAAAAATCACGTATTGATTTGGGACAATCCGTTATGTGATTTATAGTTTTTAAGTACGTGAATTTATTATGCAACATTGTGACGTGATTTTTTTTAGCAGGGCTACTATACATATATGTTTCCGTGACTATTGTCCGCGATGGGCTACTGCCTTCTTTTCGGCTATTTTTGAATACGCTTCGACTTTGCTTCGCTACGCTTCGCACTCTTAGTCGCTTTTATATTTAAAACCGTGGAAGAGGACGAGAGGGTCCCTCGCCTGCGGGATCCCTTAGAATTTGTTATCGTGTTGTTACGTTCATGCATTGTAGAGGATAAAATAGATAAACAGAGTGATATTCCTTGCTTCTTCCTGTTATCTGCGGAGGCGGATCACGAGAGAGGAAACGAAAAAATAATATGCATGACAACGATTCATTACGGATTCACGTTTTCGAGCTCAGCATCGATACAGCGGTACAACATAATTTCCAGCAGTTCAATCTTCAGCGATTTATTGAAATGGTGTATTATCTCAAGTGAATCATATATGTGACAAAACAGGAGGCACGATGCATATGTCACACAAAATACTAACGATCAACATATTAACGCCGAATGAAAATAAAAATTATTCGGGACTGAAAACCGGCTTTTATTATTCGAAAAGGCTCTTTTCGTCAATGCAGGTAGGAACACGAAGGTCTAGATTCATATCTCACTTTTATTGATAATTGCGCGCATTTAGTACACACAAAAAATAAAACTTTTTTGTTGATAAACAATGATAAACAATACTGCAAAAAAATTTCATATTCTAGCAACAATAAAATTATTTTCAATTCTTTATCCAGCACAGTTTTCGATCATCCAGTAAAATCGTTCTTTCTGTGTATGTCTCACATATACTGTAAAATCTAAAATATAAATTGCGCATTTATTGATAAAAGCGAGGTATGAATACAAACCACGAAGTGTCCCAAATCAACCGTGTCTTTCTCTTTGTGCCATGCAATCCGTGTATGATTTTTCCGTGCTTCTCGTCTTACAATTCTTCACATAGAGAGAAAAAATTATTTTTATTCGTAGAGACAAATCACGGTGATAGAGTCAGTCGCAATATTAGCGACGATTATGACATTGTTAATACTGATGAACTTAGCACATACGGAGACAAACATAGAGCCGGCCGCATCACTGAGGTATGCATCGCCGAAATATGCATCTGTTGCACGCGCCGTCGCGCCTGGAATAATGCCGCGAGCTCCGATGTCACGAAACCAGATGGAGGATGTCAGGCGTGAGTTGGACAAGAGGAGGTGGTGGGTGGCACGTATGTGTGAGACAATCGACACGAAGAAATCGCACACAGACGCCGCGCTGACAAATATGATCATCGACACGTAAGCAAGAAAGATGCTGAAAACTTCTTTTCGAAAGGACATTTTAGATAACGATTTTAATATCGTTCTAAAAAGTAGAGATAAGTTTTAAATGCTTTTTGAGTCCTCTCCACTATGATAATTTTTGTCAAAGTTACACTTTTTCGAAAATTACCTATTTTTGGAGGAAAAATACGTAATTTCTTAATTTTTTAGTGTAGTGTAGAAATTTAATTTAAAATAATTAAAAAATGTTTTTATCAGATTTTTACGTTAGATTGTGAAAAAATTTAACAATATTATAAAATGCAATAATTTTTTCTACAAATAATTTTATAAATATAATTTACAACAATTCGAAGGGAGCATAACGTGTCGTGGTGTCCAATATATAAGGCGGCGAGTTCCACGTGGATGAATTATTTCGCCGTTCTAAAAGGCACTTTGACGGACGCTACTATAGACTTGGTGCGGCGGAATCTTACGCAGATCAGCGATATCGTGAAACAAAAGTTTCAGCAAGATGCTGATTTTAATCAAACTTATGAGGTAAGAATTGTACTTCCCAACGCCTAAATCCACAACTAACTAATCATCAGCTGTAACTAGCAATAAAAAATTTTTACATAAATCTATAAACAGCAAAAAATCTGTACATATAACAATAAAAGAGAATTTCAAAAAACATTTTTTTTTTTAAGTATTCTTAATAAAAGAGTTAATTATTAAACACAGAATAATAGCTTTTTAGATAAAAGAATCGAATTCCAAAGAATTTAAATAAATAAAGAGAGTGACAATATATTAAATTACGAATTTAACGGGTAATTTTAGAAGATGGACAGAACAAAAAAATTCCTCATTGTGCGACATCCGCTGGAGCGTCTTTTATCCGCATACAGGGATAAGTTGGAACATATACAGAATCGTGAATATTATTACAAACGTTTCGGCCGACGCATCGTACTCAAGTACCGTCAATCCGGTAACACGACGAGATTGGAACCAACGTTTGCCGAATTTCTACGATTTATAGTCAGTGAGAAGTACTTTGATGAGCACTGGATGCCGTATTATCGCACCTGCGAACCGTGCATGATCAATTACGACTATATTCTTAAGTTTGAAACCCTGGACAGAGATCAAAACTTTTTCATCCAGGATGCCAATCTGAATGGATACTTGTATGAGACAAATTATCCGCGAAATATTAATCCATTGGGCACGACCACCAGGAAAACACTCGATGAGTACATCAAAGGAATCTCGCGATCGCTTCTCGATAAGGTTTACAAAATTTATGAGAACGATTATAAATTGTTTAATTACTCATCTGTTTAATATTATCTCTCTGTTGAACAGACAATTTTTACGATTTTTATTTTCTTACAACGTTTTTATACTGACAGTGCGAAGAGATGTTAAAACATCATGAACATTTTAAATGTGATATAACGTAAGAACTTTTTAAATATTTTCATTTTTTTCAGATTCTTAGAGAAAATTTTTTATTTGTTAAAATATATATGAAATAAATGTAATTTTAAAAATATGTTATACATTTTAATACCATTGGAACTTAAAAGGAAAGACCAGGGCTCGTTGACAAATTGGTATTGCGATCCATTTATTCATTGCAAAAAAAGAAAACAATGAAAAAGTTACTGTAAAATATCTCTTTTTATAACATAGATATTCTCTCCTCTCTCTCTTCCTAAATTTTATTTAAATCAAGCAAGTATTGCAAAAAGAAGAGAAATCTGATTCAAGAAGAGGCAAGCAAGATTTTCAGCGTTTTAATTTGTATTAATATATTCTTCAATTTTTCCCTTATTAGAAAAAAAGAAACTATACAATATAAACTATATTAATACTATACTAATACAGAACTGTTTCTGATATGAAAATGTATAGAAAACGAATCTCTCTATTATCTTAGTATATTTTAATGATAATAATTAATTATTTAGAAAGTCTAACGTTGTCCAACAAGCTCTGATCTTCCCTACTTCAATATTTATACATTCAAACACACATACACATATCATTGTACTATACAAAGTATAAAATAATACAATTTATTGAAGAGAACACTTACTCGTCCAAAACGGCGTGTGTTTTAACATCGCAATGATATACAGCTGCAATATCAACTGTGGAGCAGCCCCCATAAACGATTTAAACAAGTGCAACATACATATATCGCTTTCTTGCCGATACACCCAATTCTTGTCCTTGCTAAAGCCGGACTTATTTCTCAAAGAGTGCATCGCAGTGCAAAGTAAAGTTAAGTACCTGAAAATAAATATAAATTGGTAAATAATTTATTATTAGCAGAGAATATACGCTGTGCTCGTACACATTAATTTACGGACAATGACTCGCCGGAATTTAGGGAGAAAAAATTTACAAAAAGTACCTGTGCAAAAAGCCAAGTAGGAGGAAGTGCAGCAACCAGTGAACAGTCCGCAGGGAACCGTCGCTGCGATGCCATCTCAAACTAAATAGTTGGGTAACACAAGCGGGTAAGACGGTGAAACCCAATGCAAAGCATCCCCACGCTAAGTGGCCTTGCAAAAGGTATTCCACACATACAATGCTGTCTGTGTGTGCGAAAAATATTTTACAAGGTGTTCGGTTTACGAAGATAGAAGCTTTCCCGCGCATGCTTTGAGCAAGTGTGCAAAAACAAGTTTTACCACGTATGTGACAACATTTAGACAATTTCAGCACAAAAAGCACATTGAAAGACGTTAGCGAAAAGTATTGCGAGTTTCGTTACAATTATTTATGTTAATTATAATTATAAAATATAATTAATATAAAATTTCTATATACAAACATGATAATTGTTATAATTATTTATTGTGTTAATCATAGCTGTAAAAAAAAGATTAAAATATAATTAAATTCTTATCTCCTCTTGCTATTTTATCACTAAAAATGCAAATGCATAAAATAAACATTAATAATATAATATACAAATATAATTAAAAAAATGTAACTCTATGTTTTACTATTTAGTTTAATATAATATTTTATTTCCATTGTAATCTCGACATACATTTTGAAACTTTCAGAAAGAAAAGATTGCGATGTACTTTACAATGTTCTTTCGGAAAGTTATAGTTTTGCTGTCGCGATACTTTTTACCAACGTCATTGACATAAACAAAGCTGACGTAAAGCATTCGGGGTGTCCCACGATCTCAAATTTTAATGTAAAATTTCGTAAATTAGCTTACTGTGAAATGTCAATACAATAGATATCTTATTCATCGCGATTTTTTGCTATCATCTTTTTTATTTCTATCTAATTTCACTATACTTTATACATCTTCGGAAAGTTGAAGTTCTAGCTAAAATTTAAATTCTGCGTTTATTTTACCTTCGTTTGATAAGTACATCCCAATTGATTAAGAATTTATTGATAATTGAGTTATGTGAATCAATAATTTACACACCAACAACCGCGGAGGCTCCAATAGATACTTTAATAGTATTAAATTTTTTAAATTTCAAATTTTTCCTCAAAGTAAAATCGAAAATAATCGAAAAATACAAATTTTGCAATCGAACAGAAGTTCACTCCGTTCCGTTCAGCCGCAACTTCAGACGTTCGACAGCGCCTCAAAGTATTATTGTACCCTATCGAGTCATAAATACATAATTTAAGCGTCAACAATCGCGGAGGTTTCAATAAGTATTTCACTTTGTGTTAAATTTCTTAAATTTTAAATTTTCTGTCTTAGTAAAATCAAAAATAATGAAAAAATACGAATTTTGTAAACGGACTGAAGTTCGCTCCGTTTCGTTCGACTGCAACTTCAAGGCGTTCGACTGCGCGTCGAATGGACCTGTCAACCTAGATCGAAATTAGGAGGGTCGCAGGACACCCCGTGTCGCACGCACACACGTGTCGCCACGTGCACGTGTGTATGTGTGTGTGTGTGTGTGTGGTCACTCTTTGTTCACCTGTTGCTACGTCCGCGAAAAAGAAACCGACCGAGGACGCATAGTACAGCAGGTCGGCGGCGCGAAATCGGTAAAGCTCGACCTGTCGGCGCGGCGTCGCCGCGCGCGGCTCGTCCGCTTGATCCGTTGTCGCGTCCTCAATGTCGCGCGGAACATCGGCGCACTTCACCTCGCACGACTCCACCGCCGCCGCCATCTTCCCGCATCCTCGCCCGGCGTGACGCACCGGCCATTCGCAATCCCCGGCGCTTTTCGGATCCGTCCGCGCCCGGCACGATGTCGCGATCCGCAGACCGGCTTTTCCACTCGCACATGCGCAGTGCGCATCGCGTCTCCCCGTACCCCCCACTCATTAAACACTGGTCGTGTTCCGAAATGCACTGCCAGTACTGAAAATCTATAGTTCACGTTACATATACTATAAATTTTCAGTACTAGCAGTGCATATCGGAACATGCCTACTGTTGTATGTTGTATGGCGCTATTATCAAATGGTCTATTCGCATTATTCGCATTTTTTGCACTTAGAATATCTTTGTTTTCTCTCTTTTCAATAACCGAGTAAATATTTATTACTTTTTAAATGCATTTTAAACACTTGGATATTTCAATCAAAAGAGGATATGAGAGCCTTTTATCTGTCCTGAAACCACAAAATGTTTTACGCACTACTGCCCTCTGAAAAAATAAATGTTAACTTTTACGCAACACAATATCCATCTTTTTACGGCACTTCTTATGGAAATAAAACGCTGAAATCGTTAAAATCTTTATTAAGGGCCACTCCGATTAACTTAATCGGTCGATTAGTCCATGGGAATTGACCAATCGCGTCTGTCGTCAAAACGAAATGATAAATGCGATTGGTCTATCTTGGTCTATCTTGCAAAGTTATTGAAATGGTTAAGTTAACCGGAGTTTAGTGAAAGTCGCCCTAATTTGATGGATTTTAGTTATTTCAGAGATTTCGACGATTTAAACGATTTAAACCCAAGACACAGTGATCCCTTAATTTTTTTGTGTAATATAATTTATGTAATTATTTATTTAATCATGTGCTGAAGATGAAATTAAAAAATGGAAATATTTAACTTAGCTTTTTTAATTATTTTTTTTACTGATCCGCAGTTATTGATTTCAGTAAATAATATATATTTTTCAAATTATACAAAGTAGAAAAAACATAACATACCTCGCATAACGCAGAACAATAATTGAAGCTTTTATTTTCCATTTCACAATTTATCAGTTATATACGTAATTGCTGTGGATCTCTTGAAAAATTATAATTTATTTTCGAATCATTTGCGTTAAATTGAGTTCTCTTGCATCTTTTAACAGCACATGTGACCATATTGTGAAGATATTCTGAATACACAATCAAACATTTTAAGTATTTAAAAATTTGATTTTTAATAATTATATAATTAAGTGAAAATAAAAACTTACCACGTGACTTTAAATGAATACAAACATCACAAAAGTAAGCAAACATACTGTATGTCAGACACAGACGTTCAAGCTGCGAATCAGCCGGAAACTGATCGTAAAATGGCAGAACCAATCAGGAAGAAAAACCAGGACTGGCTTCACTCTCTTTATACCCACTGTAGGAAATAGAAGATTGGACCTAGATATCTATCATGCTACTTTTTCTCTTGAGAGGATACGTGAAAAGTGAAACTTATAAATTTATATGTATGAACATATACACACATATATACAGAAATTGTCATTTTCCACGTTTCTGCCCTAGGGAAAAATTTACATGATCGATACCTTAGACTTCGGAGTCGAGCAGACGGCACTGAATGTAGATTTTGCCTGGAGATTTGAGGGTCTCTTTTTGCCGAAGGGCCGAAACATGGCGACTGGCGAGTCTCGATGACTAGACGTGTGTAGTGACCATGAAGGAAGATATAAGGAGACTCCACTCGGTCTCGCCAGTCTACAAGACATGAACCCATTTTAGGTTTCGAGTTCCGTTTCCGATTCTCGACACTCGCAGCGCTCGTGAATTTAGTAGTGTGCGCATAATGAGTGCGAGTAAGAGAAATGATCATTTCTCTTACTCGCACTCATCAGAATCGGAAGCTGAACTCGAACCTAAAATGGGTCCACTTTTATTTTACGGAGTGGAGTCTCCTTATATCTTACTTCCTGGTAGTGACCCTCTGATAAGAGTCTGGACACGTGAAGTTCGCCATTATTCGTCGAAATTGTGCGAGAGAGAAAAAATCATGCTATCTCATTCTAGTGGCGCTGTAAGTTGTAGCTGATTGTAGCTCTACAAACTTCATAGTTTCTGTTTCTGTTTCGTCTCGCCTCATGCATCGTATCATTTTTAAGACCAGGACCATTAATATTCGAAGAAGAAGAAGAATCATTATTAATAATATTATTATATTATTATATTATATTATTATATTATTATATTATTATTATATTATTATTATATTATTATTATTTATTATTATTAATTATTATTATTATTATTATTATTAATATTATTATATTATTATGATTAATATTATTATTTATATTATTTTTATTATGCGTTAAAGGAATATATGTTTTTAAATATTTTTTTCTGCATAAATATACTACTTTATTTATTCCCTATTGGTGCTACCTAAGTATTTTTTGTTAAGAATTTTAAAGCATTAATTGTATTATTTGTATTTAAATTTAATTTTTATTAAAGTTTCTTAATCTTGTAATATTTTTATAAATTTTATATATTCTTAATATATTAATTTTTATATTTTCAATATATTTATAATACTTACTTAATTGTTGTTTTTATTTTATGAAAGACATATTGCAACGTTTTTTTTACATAAAAGTTTTTATAGAAAATATTTAATAATGTTAATATAAGTTAAATAATAATAAAAATAAAAATTGTAATTAATTCTACTTTAATTTTTACGAATTTATTAATTTTTACAATTTATAAATTTAAAGAAATTTGCGGGAATGGATGATAAATGTCGGACCAATCACAAACCGGGGAGAAGGTGGCCAGACTCTTATTAGAGGGTCACTAGACGTGTGCGGAGGAGATGCCCATATATGGAGATGCCATACACACATTCCTGACTTCCAGTCGCGACTCGCGAGTCATTCATGGTCGAAGTAACAAGGTCTGCTCGTATCCATGACAAATATTCGTCCGGTTCTGCGCAGGACTGAATTCCGCCATTTTTTATGTGTATGTGTCTGCACACAAAATCATTTTTAAATATATTTCATATATATGCGCGCAATATGGCGGAATTCAGTCTTGCTTGCTATTGGCTAGATATAAAAGGCTGCGCAATAGCAGACCTTGTTACTTCGACCATGGAGTCATTGTCTTTGCCCGGTGATGGACCGTGGAGGATCGACAGAGTATCGTACATTATCGCGGATCCGTCGTCGCGGCATCCGCTAGGTCAAGAACGTTTCATCGAGAACCTTGGATCGTGTTTAACCTTCGAACAGCAGCCGCAGTTTAAAAATTGACGAAACTTTCGTGAGAGAACTTTACGTTGAAAAGGGGGAACATGTGAATCCTAATTACAGAAAATGTCCCATCAATTTCTTGCAAGATAATGAAGACGGTTCACTTATCTCTGTAATTGTTACGAGTGTTTTGGATTTTTGCTGAAGGTGAGTTCTGAGTCTTACCAAGCATGATTAAGCAAGATACATCAACTTTATTATAAATCCTTAAAATTGCAGTACATTTAACAAAATAATTATATATGACATTCAATAGAGTCTGTTCCACAAGATCGTACGATTCCACATTTCATTAATAGATGACGTACAGATGTTAAGTTTGATTTTTTCGATTCTCTGAGCAATTCGGAAGAATGCTTTGAGGTTATATGGATAGTGTGACTTGTTTTATCTGTAACAGAGCAAATTAAGTACAATGAGTGCTGTGTATGGAAGTCATTTTGAAGCAGTATTTTTTTGCACATATTTGAAAAGAACTGAAAATGTAGCTGCCAGCTGCTATATGAAAATGTCAAAAGGGTTTGTTAAAAAGTGGGTAAAATATTATAACAAAACAAAAAGTGTTGACAATCTGCTGACACTTGGCACTCAACAACGAGAAAGGACGACAAAGCTATCATCAAGATACACTAAGAAGAATCCTGGGTATTCGTTACAGCGAGCAAAGACTTATTGAAAAAGAATGTAGAAGTGAGCCTTAATACTATTAAACAATTGTTTGATTCTGAAAACAGCTGGAGGTTCACAAAGAAAGCCCGTACGCTCTTGTGGAACAAACTGTACAAACAAATGTGACAAATTAAAATTTCTTGAGCTGTTAAATCAAATACAATAAAAATGTCAATGCAAAATAACACTGGATAGATGTGTATATAAAATGTATTTCTATCTACAAATCTACAAATATAAATAATAAAAATGTAAATGTTAAAACTTTATATTTTGAAGTCTTCTCAGGTACTTAAATAGTGATTACATATGTCGAGTTAACTATAAAATAATGCTAGTAAAAATTCTAGTAAACTGTTATCAAATAGAATGAGATACCATAATCAAGTGATAATTATTCATCATAAAAATTAGGAATCTAGAAATAAAATGATAGATTATATCCAAGTGTTTTTTTTTATTATGTAAAAAATATTTAATGTAGAAATAATTATTTTACACAGAAAGAGATAAAATTATTTAGAACAAATGCATAAAATAAATAATTGTATATTTTATGTGAAAAACTTGACATTGCTATTATATATTCAATATTTTATTTGTTTTATATATATATATATATAATTATTACAATATTTTTTTATTAATGATATATTTAATACATATTTCAGAGATAAACTCAAGGTGTTGGACAACTGATCATGAATCATGTATAGTTTTGAGGGAGATTATAGGCGCAAGCCACAGCAGAATTTATCAGGTGCTAGCAGACGAGACGAGAGGGCCGTTCTCCTGCAGCATGCACAGTTAGAGAGGTTAAAAAGGGAGCAACAGCGCAAGAAGCACGATGCGGCGCTGAAAATACAGGCGCGCATACGCAGCTTTGTCATTAGAAAGCTGGTGTGTGCGCAGAAGAGAAATGAGTTTGATGAGGCACAACAAGCAATTGGACGCAGGAACCTGAGCCTAGAAGAACTAGTGCCGTACCTGCGAAAGTTGTTATTCTTTTATAATCGCGCCTTGGACGCTAACAGACTGATATGGGTCCTTCAACATTTTTTGAAGCATCAGAGAGAAATTAAATTAAAGTCAATAAGTTCGTCGCAATGGCTGTGGAGATTGCGGTAAATTATTAATATAAATAAACTCAGTTCTAACGGATTCTCCAGATTCAAAAACATAAACTCTAGTAATAATCTAGATTACTGGTATTTATTAATATGAACATATCATATAGAGAAATTAGTATTATGGCTATTATAGATATAATCTTCTTCTTCTGCTTTAGTCTGTTCTTATCCATTCTTGGACATAGATCACTTCCATTTCTTTTCATATTTCTGAGTTCATTTTCCAGACTCTCTAGGTGTTTTTTCTGCTTCATTGTGCGGATATTATAACTTGCTATTAGGATGCTCTTGTTTGTTCGGCTTTTCTTTTTGGAGTGTATCGAAATTTTTTCCCTAGAATTCTTGAGACTATTTTCATGTTGATTTGAAAGGCTTTAATATTAAAACGCCACACTTGCTATTGCATGTTGGTGAGTTTTGTTTCTGTTTTACCGTTAGAAGTCTGTACGAATTACGAAATTTTTCGTAAATATGAGGTGCAGAACTCGTGACCTGTGATTACGAATCCATCGTTCTCACATCAAGCCACACGACCTAATAGAAATAATGACTCCTCTTAATATTTTTTATTATTTTTATTAAATATGAACAAATTCTAGTGATTACTTATGAAATTATTTAATTGACAGTAGCTCGATATTATGTTATGACGCCATAATACCATCTTCTCTACTATATTTAGAGAATATCAATTTTTATAAATACAATTATACTAAACAAATAATAGTTTACATTTCTATTCTGTAACTTTTAACGATACTGTTGTTAAGAGTTATAAAATAGGGATCTTCAATACAACGTTCATTATATATGTCGTACTTATTTTAAATAATACATTATTTGGTACAGATGGATTCTTCGGATGTGTATGCGATATAATACGGAGACGCTGCCAGATGGAGCATACTCCTTGGCGATACCGTTACGAGTTCTGGAGGTATTCACTACGCGAGAAGACACCGAGAAAGTGTTACGTGAACACAGTTATCGACATCTAGAAAGTATATTTGTCTACTTGATCCAACATAATTATTTCGAGCAGTTGAGAAAGCTGTTAGATGAGAAAGTACCACTGATGGCGAAGGTGACGCCGGTCGCGCCGACGCCGATCTCCAAGTGTTTACTGGACATGATCAAACGACCTGTCGATTTGATTTCTTACGTGAATCACGAGAATTTCTCCGCGCTCGTGTTACGAAAATTGTGCCGAAGCGTATTCTCGCCCAGACTGTCCGATCCGATTCGCATGTTTATCGTGCCCGCATTAGCAGAATTTAAAGAATTTCCATACGTCCAGTTAATCATCTGCATCAATCGATTTCAGTTGGTACCTACAATAAACTTACTCTATTGTTTGCTGTCATTGGATTCGTCTAATCAGTTTTGTAAGTTTAAAGAAAAACTCTATTAGCATTATTAGCTTTAATTCTAAAACAGACACATAAACAAACTATATTATTCAGTTTTCTTAATTAAATTATTTAAGCATTTTTTATTAATATTCTTATTCATGTTAATTATATTTTTATTTTTATATAATCTGATTAATATTTTTTATATTTCATAATGCTGACAAAGTCGCAATTTAATTTTATAACATTTATATTTTTAATAAATTAACATTATAATTTTACACTTAACTTTTTTCGTAGCATGGTGCAAATCCGAGGACGCGCTGACAAACTACTTGCAAGTACTCGCGTCTCTAAGTTCAACTATCGTGCCGTTGATGACCGAGCAAAGCGTTTCGGGGCGACAAACCGATAATGATTCAGACAACGAATCGAATGGTAATGTGACCGATCAGGAACAAGCTGATATTTTACGAAAGTGCATCGAGATATTAAATGAGCAGGAGCGTGTAAACGAAATTCTATCGGCGATTGAGCAGAGCCAATCGGACCCTCCTGTGCTGCTACAACCACTGTGTCGGTTATGTCATCATCTACTTATCACTAATAAGCTGGCCGTTCAAAAATATAAACTGCTGTATATGCTTGCATTCAAGCCAGTGTTTCTTAAACATCTATGGATCAGCTTAGCGTCAATTCGCCAGACATCGTTGTTTGGTGGTGGTACCGCCACATCTCTTTTACAGATTATATCGCGCGGAATCGCCCTTTCAACCGAGGACACCGACAGAATAGTCCCATTACTAGCGGTGTTCTGCTCATTGTTTAGCCTATTGATCGCGACATTGCACGACACGGAATTCTTCCTCGAACAAACTTCCGCAGAACATATGTCCAACGACTGCACATATATCCAGCAGAACGCAATGCCTTTTACCATCGCGGAGCTGGCAGTGATGTCCGGTCATCTAAAGGGTGTCTGTTTGGGTCTGGTGGAACTAGCATTTCCTGATACACGACCCACAGTGCGCGACGACTACAGAAACGCTGTACTGGGCCTTACGTCCGCTATTCAATGCCGACACGATACACAGATCTGGACACACTTGTTCAAGGTTCCACCAAGATTTTGATATTTTCGTAACATTTAAAAATCTATTGTTAATTATTGTTTAGCTTTTATACATATACATTCTTTTTCAAGACAGGCTCAGTTTTCACTCTGTAGAGTGAGGTTTCAATTTAAAGAACAGATTAGTTTTTCAGTTTAATTTACTCTTTATTTTTTCTGATTCTTAGAATTAGAACAGAAAATTGAAAATTATTAGCTAAGATTAAAATTAATCTACATTGAAAAAGGTCATGATACAATATTGCTATCGATACATAAATATTAATATACAAGGATCAGAACTGATGTATAACAGAATATTTAAAAGCTCGTCTCAGCTTGTCTTAGCTTTTAGCAGGACAGATTAGATTTATAATAACCATGAAAATATAGCTTAGCATTCATGACCTCACTCACTTGTAAAATTTATATATTGATAACATTCTAAGATTAATGATTCTCTGATTAATTTAGAATTAATCTTTATCTCAAAGAAAATGTTCGAGTTTTTATAAGTTTTATTAATTGCGATTAAAAAAGAGTTATTGTTATGATAAATAATGTTAAACGTAGTTACAAAAATCACATTTATAAATTTTATTATAAATTTACTCTTATACTTATGTATATTATAATTTTATCAAAGGTTACGGTGGGTCTTCTACGGCAATTACACACTCGTGACCTCAGACGGCAGTTCTGTCCGGAAGGCCACTGGATCGCGTCTAACGTCGTCATTCCCATTGACAAACCGCAGGACTTTGCATTCCGCAGACGCCGGCTACGTGGATACGTACCCTTTCAGAATCTGAGGGCTTTCACGAGGGAGGAATTCGAAGAAGGGCCACCGCTGTCGGCGACGGAAGTGCGGACATTGACGCTATTGCGCGAGATACCATTTGTTGTACCATTCAACAATCGTGTAGTGGTATTCCAGTCGTTAATTTACAAGGATAAAGCGGAACAACAGGGTGAACTCGCGCATTTCATGCAGGGTCCATCGATACAGATCTCCGTGAGACGAAACTACCTCTATGAAGACGCTTTCGATAAGTTGTCACTGGAAAACGAACCAGAACTGCGGTTGAAGATGCGAGTTCAGCTGGTTAACACCGCAGGATTGGAGGAAGCCGGTGTCGACGGCGGCGGTCTATTCAGAGAATTTTTATCCGAGTTATTGAAGACCAGTTTCGATCCTAATCGTGGCTTTTTCAAACTCACCAAGGACAACATGCTATACCCGAATCCCACGGTGCAGTTGTTATTTGACGATTTCCCGAAACATTATTACTTCATTGGCAGAATCTTGGGGAAGGCACTATACGAGAATCTGTTAGTAGAGTTACCATTCGCTGAGTTCTTCTTGTCGAAGATCGTCGGACGCCAATCAGACGTGGACGTGCATCATTTGGCCTCCCTTGATCCCGTCATGTATCGCAATCTCCTGTCTCTGAAGACATACACGGGTGATGTATCGGAACTCGGATTGGACTTTACCGTTCTTAGCGACGAGCTTGGCGAGAGACGAATTGACGAATTGAAGCCGAGTGGCGCCAACATCACCGTGACAGAACATAATCGCATTGAGTATATTCATCTGATGGCCGATTACAAACTGAACAAGCAGATACGCGCACAATGTTTCGCGTTCAAGAATGGTATCGGCAGCGTGGTACCGCTCGACTGGTTGCAGATGTTCAACAATAAGGAGTTGCAAGTACTCATCTCGGGCGCGCAGATCCCCGTGGATGTGAACGACTTGATGTTACATACAAATTATACCGGTGGATACGCGCCCGACCATCCGACTATCACTGCCTTCTGGGAGGTCGTTAACGAGTTCAACGATCAGCAGAAGGGCCAACTACTAAAGTTTGTTACCAGCTGTAGTCGCCCTCCTCTCCTAGGATTTAAGGTGCGTTGTAAATATGTGTGCGGTTTTATAATTCAGTATTTGGAAAACTAGATTGCAAAACTGAATCTTAGTCTAAATTTAATTAACAACAATCGGTATTCTAATCATACGTTTATGATATACGTTTCTCCGCTATTTCTCCAACCCTTGATTTTGTTTATAGGAACTCGATCCACCGTTTTGCATCCAGCATGCCGGCACCGTGGATCGTTTGCCGACCTCAAGTACCTGTATGAACTTACTGAAACTTCCCGAGTTTCCGGATGAGAAAATCCTGCGCGAGAAACTTCTATACGCAATACAGGCCGGCGCGGGCTTTGAGCTTAGTTAAAAACTTTAATTTCATCTTTGATTTGACCCAAATGTGTAAATACAAGATGTAAAACTGTGAGTACGTAAGATGTAATAAGGAGAAAATACCGTGAAGAATTTATTCATGCTGTATTTTACGTGGATTAGTATACATATATTAGGACTTCGTACAAGAATTCTCATAAGGAAACGTGGCGAAGATGTTAATATTATGTAACAGGAGGGGCCAACTATATATACACCAGGCAGTCCAATTTAAACTGTGGGACCAAAACAAAAGCCATTGACGCAAAAAAATTCAATGTGAGTAAGAGACTTTAAGGACTGCAGTGTTTGTGTCACTCAGATATATATCAACACCAGTCAACACCTTATATAGTCGCTGAAATCTTAAATTGAATTTTTTGCGTCGATGACTTTGCGTTTGAACTCCGGAGCTCAAATTGGATAGGCCTGTATACATTTAGCAAAAGTACCTATCAACGGAGATTATCATTGATGTCACTTTGATGTGCCGTTTGTAAAAAAAAAGAAGACACGAGACGTATGTATAAGTGTGTATAACGTATATCGGAGAGCATATGGATATTTTTTCGGTTTCAATTTTTCAAACCCTTGGCCTACAATTATATATAAATTATGTATATTTTTATTGTTTTATATTCGCCATGTGATGTGATTTTGTCACAACGACTGCTACTTTACTTCAAATATGTATGTAAGAATAGATGTATGTTTTTATGAGGTATATTGTTAAGTTGTGTAAATAAAATACCTGAAAGTGTTGAAAATGTTTGTTAATATTATTTTAAAGGACATTTATAAACATATATTAATTATTATATTTGCAATCGAATATCAATTATTCTGAATTAATTCAGTAATATATTAATTTGTACGTATACTTTTTCATTATATCTAAACTTGTATCTAAGTCAGATATAAGTATATTATACAGCTTCAATTTTTGATGTCACTCAATTGCGATTTTTAATACGTAATGACTTTTCGAAATTAATTACACATTAAATTAAAATGCAATTAATATGCGTGTCGCAATAAATACATAACGTTGTAACTATGTAATTATACACATACAAATATACATAATAATATAATAATAAATTTTCGAATGCGGCATATCGAAATGCGGTCGATGCAATAGATATGTTAGTATTCTTTTGTCCTCCCAAAGTATTTGACAAAAATTTGTGCCCAACATATTACGTACACATGTAGTACATAATAATGTTGATTAAGCAAGAAAATTTAATAAAATTTTAAATAAAGAGCAGAGGGAAAAATAAAATAGTTTTTAATACATAATAAACGATATTTTTGCAACTAAATTAAATATGAGAACTATATCCCAACAGGATTTAATTTCCTCTCTCTTAAAACAAATTGATATTTACGATTCAACAATTTTTTACACATTCTTATGAAATTATTGAAATTATTCAGAATTTCAGGGAGCACCCCCACAGCCTCCCTCCCCCCCTTAGCTATCCCACTGGATCACAGTATTATAAATTTCTAAAGATCAAAAAATCTAGTGCATGCTTCTCCATGAAGAAATTAGAGGTTTCTCTTCTGGATAATATTTTGATATAATAATAAAGTCCTATACGATCAAACAAAACAGTATGTAGCTTCGCATAACGAAGTCCGAAATTGATCGTATAGTACAGCGCCAATTGACTCTAAGAAATAAAAGCCCTCAGACGAAAGACTGACTTAAAAACCAATACAATTCAAATAGCCAAATTACTTTCTTTGGCAAAATCAATCAGATATTTCGTAAAAAAAAAAGAAAGACAAGAATTAAAGAAATCATGGGATTCGCAATTATGAAATGCGTTAATTATTTTCACAATATAAATATTGTATCAAATTTAAAGTTACCCCCAACAACTAAACTAGCACCAGAAAAGAGGGAAGGCAATTTAAATTAATCAAAGAAATAATTTGTTTTGAGTTGATGGACCAAAGCAGAGAGATCAGTAAGATATCGAGACGGTATTACCGTGGTAACAAGAGCGAGATGGTGAAAGGGTGCGTGAGAAGGGTGAGTTTTCGTTACCACCGCCACCACCGTCCACCAACGGCATCAGCATGGTACATATAAAGTGGTCGCGTGCTCGAAGCGCGGTCACTCTGTCGCGCGGAGACATCGAGGCGACGTTATCTGAAGAAAAGAAAGAAACAGGAAAGAAATTTTTACTCAAAGTATACCATTCTTCTGAGCTGAGGGTGGGAAACCAGGCGATACACCAGTCTGCACGAGGTAAACTTCCGTTTCCACAAACTTTCTCGCGATTTTCTGACTCTTTCTGTTCCGGCAAAAGTTTCTTCGCAAAAGAAAATAATTGCATCGATTATATGGACAAATATTAAACTATATATTTAAATTAATGTAAATTAAATTTTAAAAAATGTAGAAGAAATAAAAAGAAAAATATCATTCTACTGCTAAGGAAAGTGATTGCTTTATTAACTTTCTTTTTCTTATTATAAGTAATGTAATTTGGCAAAAAATATTTTCTTAATAATAATATATTTTGAAATATACTTACAAATTGTATGAAGACTCATTACTATATACTCGAAATAAAACTTTTTTTTGAAGAATAATTAAATTGATCGAACAAACGACTTTATACAGTAAAAGCATCGAATTTCTTTTAATTTATAATAATAATCTTGATTAAAGAATATTGAACTCTCTCGGTAGAATTTAGAATATATTTTTAATAAATTTTTATTTTTTTGATAAACTTATGATTTGCGGATACATGAAACATTTGAAAAAAAGAGTATGTTCTTAGTTAGATATAGTACATATTTTTCTGTAAGTAGAAATAATAACGCAGATGCTTACACGTGATGATCAGTAGAAAGAGACTTTCGTCATCGGACATTGCTTGCCCAGACAACACAAAATTGAGATGTAAGAGACATTCTGCAATGTGCTCTTTGTGTCCTGTTTCTTGCTTTTTATCTTTTGCTTTTCCCTCCTTTACAATTGTTTTATCGACAATTGTATTTCTTGCTACGTGTTTCTTGTTTCTTTCGAAATTTGTTAACTTTTATCTCGAATAATAGAAAACGAAAAACAGAATAACAAGCAAAAGGAAAAGCTATGAAAAATAACAAAAAGCACATTATAGAATGAACTTGAGATGTTTTTTTTTTTTTTTTGGAAAAAGATGTCTTATGTTCTCATTTTGGACACTGTGTCATCTGGATGCACATACGCGGAAAGAATATATTTTATTGAAGAAAAATTTTTTTGCTAGAAAACTTAAAGATTTATTAATCAAATACAGATTTAAAAATAACCTTATTATAAACATCAAAATAATTATGTAAGACGCACGAGCATGATAAGCAATATTGCAAGAAGTTTTGACATTATAGTAATCAATTTGAATGTCCTATCAATAAAAAAAGAATCTGGGAGGAATGGATAGTAGCTACTAAATGTTGAATAAGATAAACAATATTGAATGACATTTTAATCAAATGTTCGATTAATATATCCAAAAATAATTTTACTTTTCTAAATATATACTATATTTAATCAGTATTGTCAAACATGATAATATATATGAGTTGGGGAAAGTCTTTTTACATGTATGTAAAAGGATCTCTGTTTTGCAATATCTTCGTTAAAAATGTAAATTTAAAAAAGGGATTTAGCAAAGCTTGAAATCTTTACTTTTGAAAGGTTACTATATTTTTTTGAGTTTCTGCGTTAGTTTGATAATTTTTACATATAAAAAACTGCGAGCTGAAAAGATGATCAATTTTCCTTTTATTTTGTCGACTTCTTTCACATGCCCCCCAAAAAATCATGAAAATTGTCGACTACCTATCGTGAAAGCTTGAAACCTTCTCTCAAAATCGTTTTTTTTTTTTTAATATTCTTACGATTTTTTGTTCCTGAATTATACGTGAGTAAAGGAAAACCTTCTGATTTTAATTGCTCATAACTCTGTTGAAAATCATCATACCGCAATTAAAAAGCAGATTTTCAAAACTGACTTTATTCTATCTAAAGCTATAAACATTACTCTATCGAATGAAATAACTGAGACGAAAATTTTGCAACAATTAATGAATTGGGGAAGAATCCTTTTACAAGAACCCTTTACAACATTAATATAAAGACATTCTTATTTTCTTTTTTGTTCCTTGAGCCAAATCAAATATTTTTATCAAATCGTTCACAGTAAAAATAATATTATATATATCAGCGTAAAATGGAAAGCATACAAGGTTTTTCGTGTTCAAATGTCGTTCCTCTACGATTAATATACAAATTCAAAAGAATGTTTGAATTAAATGAACGTAAATTTAAATGAAAAGAGAGTGCTAGTTACATTTTTTCACTTGTAAGAAGATACGACTGGCAATCCATGACTGTAAACTTCTCGAATTACACACGACTTTTTTCGATAAAATAATATAATAATTAATAACAAATAGCTTATAAATTGGAACTCACGTTTGTGTTCGCGGCGGCAGTAGAAAAGGTCAGCTTATAATCGGACGTAGCTTCCGTAACATCGTAGCATGTTCGGAAACATGCGGAATTGAAATAATTCTTTTATCGCCAATCCTCGATGTAATTTGCAATAATATCTCAAATGGAGAAAAGTAAATTAATAGCGTTTTCGAGTGCAGAGAATTTGAATCTGACCCAGATCGGTTAATCCACGTTTGACCCGAAAATACCATGACCTTGTCCAATCAGAAATCGAAGTAGAGCATGTGACGTCGCATAGATCCGATTTGACAAGTGTGAGTCAAGTTCAAACTCACTGCACTCGAAAACGCTATATGATAGAATTAACTTGAGATGGAATAAAATAAATAAATGGCATTGTTTATAGTAATGAATGTATAATTTTGATGAATTTATGATGGATATAAAATCTACTATATCTGTTAATTCAATTAATTAAGTTCTTGTTGTTAAATAAATTTACTGATGTAATTTATTTTTCAAAAAAGGATCGAAAAATGAGGAAAAAGGTTCAGAAATCGGTAATATTTCAAATAAATATATTTACGCTCCGATTAAGACTTCATTATAGTTTCAACATACCTCATCAATTTTGCCTTAATAATTCGTCATGTTTGCTAAAATAATTCGTTCAACCGAAAAACTTTAATCTTTTCTTTGTAACTTCATCAAATAAAAATTTTAATTAAAAGATGTTGTATTCTTTCATATGATCGAATACTTTCGATTCCGAGGGGGTAATCACTAGCTGAAATGTCCCACTGATTACATTTTAATCGGTACCTGGATTGTATGCGGATCGGGTCGGAAAATAATGTAGATTGTATATTTCACGTTTAAAGCTGCGTCTTTATTAATTCGATCTTACATAATAAGTATGTTCGCACATGTCGAGAAACGGTAACACAGTCGCTGTCTCGCGAGCATTCACGTGATCTGTCTATACGGAGATCCGTTTCGTTTTGTCGTTATTCGAATTATTTTATCATCTAACTTTAAAACGGACGCGATTTTTACGTTTCTTTTATTTTTTGATTACCGCATGCACTATTGTCGACTAAAGCGCTCGATTGCCTAGTCTCCAGCTATGGACGACTTAGCCGAATCGAAAAATGTTTTATGATGCACCGTAATTACCCGCTTGCAAATTCTATGCCATTTAAGTATTCGGCAATCGTTATAGTTACTTTTATTCTTCGCTCGTTTACCAATTATTATGCTTATATTGCAACCGAGATAGTAGCGACGCTATATTATTTGCATGATATAATGTCATTTGATTTCATCTCTAATTAATATAGATTTTATTTAATTGCATATGAATTTATTATGATTTCTGGTGATTTCATATGATTGCATCCGATTTCATGATTACATCTGATCACAAAATGATTACGTAAGGATATTTTGTGAGTATTTCAGAATAATTTTGAAAACACACTGTTATATTATATTATAAAACCACGATTATATTAAGTTATCTTCTTGTCCGATTCATCGTGTGTGACCTCGAAGGTTAACTTTTAAAGCGTTTAATTTTGAATTCATCTTTTTTATCTCCGATTTTTTCTCTCTTCTCTTGGAATCTTGAACGCGCGTGTATTTTATCAATCATGTTTCTAGCCTTGTATTTTCGATATCAACGCGGCATTAGTAGACAGTTCCCGATAAATGCGTATTAGCCGGCGTTCGAATTATCGTGATGACCTTCTCTAATTAATGAATTAAATTCGCAACGTGCAAACCACCGTGGTGCTTTGTGATTCAAATATACTATTTCATGGCGTTGACGGCGACCAATAATGCGCATCGTTTGTTCCTCCAATTAGTGGATTGTGAAACGGACGGTTGGTGAGTTTCACTGGGCTTCGGTTTTCATTTAGCTCTCCCTCGCCCTCGCATCAATGTATTTGCATCCGATATCTATATACTTTTTTCGCTGACCTTTAATTACACTCCTCTATCGAGTGACGTAAAGAATCTTGATACTTCGATTATTTTTGCGTCGTTAAATTAATAGACACAAAATCCGTTTAAATATTTTTTTTTAATTATCGACTTTGATTCGATCAATCATTATTTTTTGTTTTGCTATATAATTTTTTTCTTTCTTTTTATATAATTATAATTCTTATGTTGGAGATATTATTTATACTGTATATCTTATATATATATATATATAAAGTTAAAAAGTAAGTAAGTAAGTAAGTAAATTCATTTAAAATAAATTTGATACTTTCGTAAACTTATGATAGATTTACAGATACATGAACATTTGAAATATAATACTTAATGTTCGTTTCAAGATGAAGAAAAAAAACATTATAAACTTTATTTGTTCTATTTTTGAAGAAAAAAAACTTGATGGATTGCATTAATTATTTTATTTTAAGTAGATAGGTTTAAGATACTCTTAAATCGATAGGTGAGATGCACAAAACCCTAAAAGAATTTAATTTTATAACCATATTTTTTTACTAGATACTACATTGTGTTATAAAATTAAATTTACATTAGTTGTTATACCTTATGAGATAGAAGAACGTAAAAATAATGAACTTTAAGACTTCTGGACAATATTTTTTATTTTTCTTTCAGAGAGAGAGAACAAGGTTTTAAAGAATTAAAGAAAATCGTACGGAGTACACTGTAGCCACTCTCAACCTACCCAATTAAAGGTTAATTGCGTTTTCTATATATTTATATCTGTACGTTATCAATAAATAAATTACTATGAAACAATTGTGGAACATTGCATTTTAATGTAGACATGCCAAATTTTTTCTTTATTGTAATCCACTTTAGTCATTTTTAGCACGTTTATATGGATCTATATAGGATTATATATGCGTTAATTTTACATATATATATTTCTCTTTCAAATCTCTAACTAATAAAAACAGATTTACCAATTTATTTTCATGCTTGTTCCCAGATTTGGAGCAATGTTGTCCATACAAAGTATTATTGTTCTAACACTAATGATCTTCATCTTAGCGGAATATTCGGGAGCGATGCCGATGCTCGACAAAGATAAAGACAGATTTTCGGACAACATAAATGTAAGTAGAAAGATAAAATCTTGCGATTCTAAAGGTTAGTGCGAGCCAGAAGGACTTCATGAATTTATGCAAAATTTTTTTGTAATCCCGTTTTTAAGATGCAATCGTCTTTTAGAATTATATTCGAAAACTGGTAAGCCGATGTTCGATGAACAAAACAAATTCCGAAGCTTTTGAATTTATGAAACGCTAAATCCACGAGCGACGTTTCGAATCCCAAGAGACCAAGAGACCGGATTTATTTATATTTTCCTGTTCAGGCTCACTTATTGCATGATTTTTATTTTTATTGTTATCATACAAGAGTATAATAACGTACGATGTCAATGTTTAAAACTTTCGAAAATTTTCGGTAAAATATGCCAAAATTAAAATAAGTATTATATATAAAATTTTTGTTCTCAAAAGTCTAAAAAAGAACCCCATATATATATTATAGGTAAATAAAGTTGCCAAGAATTATAAATTGCAAAAAATATTTAACAATAAATAAAAATGAATTTCTCAAAAAAATCACGAAAATCACGAAAAACGCAAATATTTTGAAAAAATATATTTTGCTTAAAATACAATAATTGTATTTGTATTTATATTTGTATCTCAAAAATTTATATCTACTTAAAATAAAAATATACACTTTTTTAACTTTAATTTTTCATAAACCTTTTTGTTGTGGTATTCTGATTCGCGAATTTCAGGATACCTGTATGTATATGTAGATATATATAATTGACGTCTTTCCCTTATTTTTATTTAATTTAAACAAGTTACTGCAAAATTCTCCAACTAAGGGCGGCTCGCGTGGCGAAGGCAACATTACTAATATCAAACTTAAATTGTGGTATTCAAACGCGATGACTCGTCTGATAAAGCGGAGTTTAAAAAAAGATGGGCGAGCGTTTTGCGTAAGCGTTGAACTTTCTTGCGCGACTTTGTTGAAGAAAGGCGAAGTAAGAAAGGCTTAAGGAAAAAGAAAAGAAAAATGTTTACCATCTCCGCAACAATCGCAACGACGACGGCGTCGCCATTACGCAACTCGTTTCCTCCGCGATCACCGCGTTCAATTGGAAATTCCACTTTGAGAGACTTTCAAGAGCTTGTAATAAAAATATGATTGTTGGTGATCAGAAACGTAAACTGACGCTAACGCGAGAAAGAAATAGGAAAATAAGAGGACATACTGTAGCCGTCGCGAAATCGGCAGTCATCAAAAGACACAGCGTCGGCAAATTGTTATGTTGTTACTCGATTTCCCGAGCTACCGGGGAGAATTTTTGTTCCGTTTCCATTTACAAAACGACAATGAACGGCGATACGATATATGATAAGGGAGCGGAGAGGAGGATGGGAAGCTTTATAAAAACGTTGATACTTTCTTCCCATTTGCAACACGCGGAAGAAACGGTTCGAAGAAATTAAATTACGCGTTGCGTAACTCTGTGTGACGCATCCCTGAATCTCGTCGCAAACGACGAGATATGAGTATGCAAGGTGGCACGTATAGGAGGCTAAAGGAGATGAAGAGATGCGAACATCATTTTGAACGTTAAAATCGAGAAAAACGGGGAAAAAATAATACCTTGTTCAATGTAATTTAGATTCATGTTTCCTATTAAAAATAGGAAAGATATCGCACAAAAAAGAGAAAGAGAGAGAGGGAGGGAGGGAGGGAGGGAGGAGAGAGAGAGAGGGGGGGGAGAGAGAATAGGTTTTATCGACATACATTTATGAATATTTATAAACTCTCGCGTTTGTGTGGCAATGAATATTTACCATTGCAGTTTATAAGATAATATTTTTCGCAATACATTACATTATTTATAATTTTTAAGATATTTGAATTGATATCCAATTATTATTATCCTTCGAAGATGCTTATAAGCATTAAATATTTTTAAGTTGTTTATCAATTTAATATGTGATGTTAGCAGGGTTTGGGAAGCACTTTAAGTTATTTTTTAGCTTACCTTATATGTGTTTGTTATAGAAATTGAATACAAACAGTAATACAAAATTAAAGCAAATAATAAAATATGTAATATAAGAAATAAAATACGTGAACTTATTGAACTCAATTTCTATAATAAAAAGTAACTGTTACGAAACTTGTAAAGTGATTTTTCCAACCGTGGATATTATTATATTTAGTTCTATTTGTGATTACGTTGCAAATCGAAAATAGTTTTTATTTCTCGTAATTTATTAATTTATTTCCGTTGACCTAACACAAGTTAAAATTGTAATTAATGAATGTTTGCCGTGTTAAAATAGATTCAAAAGTGTTAAAAAATTATTTTTACTTATTTTTATTACATTACTTTGAATTATTTTGAGGCTAAAGTAAAAAATGAGAATTTCTGACGTAACTATCGTTTTTCCATTCATGGAATTGTGTCATTATGTCTGCGTAAAACAAGTCAAGACCGCACAAAGAAATAAAAAAAATAATCAAGACAGCGCGAAAGTGACGATGGCCAATAAATCTACAGGTTGCAAACCGATAAATCGATAAACTGTGGTTGTCGACGACAATCGTATTTTTGTGGCGCTACCCGTGTGAAGCCTGTGCCCCCCCATATTAAAAAATCGATTTTTTTCTTCATGCATTCGTTTGCTCATCGTTTGATCACGAATGCTCAATTGGAATTTTCGTTTGCTCACCCTTAGTTGAAAAGATATACGAAAATTATGTTTTGGGGGGCCAACTTCACACTAGCCCCGATAAGCAAACGAATGCATAAAGAAAAAATCGATTTTTTAATATTGGGGCCTTTTTTTAAATCAAATTTAATAAATTTTTTTAGTAAAATTATTTAACTTTATTGTTTTAAATTAACGATATATCGAGTAGGAGCAACCTATAAAATGATTAAAAATAATTAACTCAAACTAGGTATAATAACTTTATTATGAATTTAATCAATAGACAATACAAGAAGAAAAGAAACTTTTCCAAATATTAGTCAAGGATTTAATTTTTTCTCTTAAAAAGCTGAAAAATTTAAATTTATATAATTTTTATATAATTTCTGTTTTTTTTAAATGATGAACACCTTTCGGTTTTAAAAAATTTCGACATTTTCGTAAGGTGTGCGAATACATTAACTATATACTTGCGTGACATTTAAACCGAATATTCTGAAAAACACGCGCGAATGTGTGTGACCCAGAAAAGTTTTCTAATATAAAATTGCATAAAGCGTAGTAATTTCGTAAAGGGCAGAGACGTGATAAAAGAAGAGAGAAACGATCCGAGAGAAAATTCCCCATACCAAATCACGTGATATCACGCGAGACGAGCTCATTATATCTTGTAGTACTTTATAATTTACTGTTAGGATTTCACTCCCTCGCTCGTGGCTCACTCCCTTGTTTTATTTAAGTGCATTTTATATAGATATAGTTTTTGTCTGATGGAGTCATTAATATTACTTTGAGGACACTTCGATTTTTTAAAAGATTCTTCGCCGCACAATACAGTTAAGAAGAAAAAAAAGATCGCGAGACTACATAGACTAGGCTCGCGATGTCCTTAGTTTATATTCAATTTTTTTCTTTCTAATTGTATTTTCTCCTTTTTGCATCACTCCTTCATTTCATCATACATTTACGTAAAGAAATTTTTATATCTACCCAAATTAAGTTACGACTTGTTCCGGTTTATCTAGAAAGGCGTGTTAACTTTTAAAAAAAGAAAAGGAAAAGGCATAGCCGGACTTTCAATTGTTCCAGCTGGTGGACGATGACGGCAGCATTGACAAGGCTCTGATGAATTACCTATTCACCAAACAGATCGTGAAGCGCCTCCGTAATCAGATGAACGTCAGCGACTTGCAGCGCAAACGGTACTTCTGGAAGCAGTGCTCCGTCAACGTGGTGGCTTGTTTTGGTAAATAAGTTCGCGAAGGAAAAGCCAGACGAGAGCGAGAGAGAGAGAGAGAGAGAGAGAGAGAGAGAGAGAGAGAGAGAGAGAGAGAGAGAGAGAGAGAGAGAGAGAGAGAGAGAGAGAGAGAGAGAGAGAGAGAGAGAGAGAGAGAGAGAGAGAGAGAGAGAGAGAGAGAGAGAGAGAGAGAGAGAGAGAGAGAGAGAAAGGCGCAAAAGAGTTCATTACGTCCGCGTAATTGCCAGAAAGTTCAAGAACCTCCGTGACATGATGGGTTACATTCGGAAATCTACTTGATTAAAGTAAGATTGAGCTTAAATATGGCTGACATTCATGATTAATATTTAATATATAAAAATAAAAATCGAATACGAATAACATTCAACCTTATTTTACTCAATGAGTATATTTCCGAATGCATCCCTGAGCAAAAGAAATCAGTTCGCGCTGATAAATGAAAAACGCAACGCGATTTGACATTAATATTATTTATTAATAATAACGATAACTATAATTTACCGCCGTTAAATTGTAACTCGATGCGCGTTCCTGATCCGCTTTGCGTGACTTAATTCGTGACCTAATAATGAAATAATTCGACACGAACCACGAAATAAGCCCCAACTGCGAAGTTTAACGCGAGTAATTCGTTTAATCGGGGACACCAAAAAATGTGTTTGGCGATGAGGAAGATCCAAGCTCCGATAATATTTACAATAAAAAGTTGAATGAGTTTTAATAAATACACTTACGCAGTCCAGCGTAATTCACGCGCAAGTGAATTTGCCGGAAATCGACTCCCACTCGAGTTTTCCATGTACCTAAAATAACATTTGTGAACATTATAAAAATGAACCAACCGGAAATGAGTGGCGCGAATAAAAAGCACGGGGCGTATAAAATCTCATCATCGGCGCGCAAGTAATCTCTTTGTTAAAACAATACTAAATAAATATTCCGCACTTTGAAAATGAATCAGTAACTTTAGTGCTGCACTTGTAACTGATGTAATCATCGGCGAATATTTATTGTTTTTCAGTAATAATACCGATTCACTTTTAGAGAGCGATCCGGCAACTGCATAGAGATTTTATAAAAATGTCTAAATCGTTAAAATGTTATAGTTTACGAATGAAGTTGAAGTCGAGATGCCATTTGTATCCAGTAATCATGTACAACCTCGAACAAAATGCTTTGTGAGTGAGTGTTGGTTTTAATCTATGAACATCATCTCGGATACAATTATATCTTTCGTAATTGTAAGTATTATAAATAAAACTAACAAATATTTTTCTTTTAGTATTTTATTTATTTTTTTTCTTTATTTTAATGTTATTTATTTCAGTATTATTTTAGTATAGAATTTGTCATTTTTTTATATTTTTTGGATAATTTCTGTTAATTGGTGTTTACTAGAATATAGTTAATATTTATTTCGGAATACTAATTTGATCGAGTAAAAATGAGCGTTATCCCTTCATTGGCAGAAGAATCTGCTTCACGCTTATAGAGATAGAGATCTAAATATTTCTATAGAAATCTGTAGGAGCAACGACCATTTTTTCGCGGAGTGTGTTCTCGAATCTTCTGGCAAAAACAAGACAAAGAAAGACAAAATCTTCTTTCTCATCCCCTCGCAAATTGTTCAAGCTTTCAAGATTTAGCTATGAAAGTCAGCTTTCGTCGTCTGTTCTTTCCGGACCCTTCCTATATCGCAAAGCGAGAGAGAGAGAGAGAGAGAGAGAGAGAGAGAGAGAGAGAGAGAGAAGAGAGATAACACAGAAAAATAAATTTGTTTACGTTGTGCTTGAAATTTTTGCACCTATAAGAAAAACGAGATAAATATAGATATATTCGGGCGTTGAAAAGAGAAAAAGCAAAGAGTCTGAGTGCAAAAATTGCAAGCAATGCGAATAGATATAACAATATATGGACGCGGTGGATCACAAACGATAAAATTACAACGACAAATGATGATGGAGAACGGTGGGATTGTGTGTAATCAGAATACATATCAGAGGATACCACAGACGACCACATGTCAAATCGAATTCTTCTTTCATGTCGTAATTTACCGATCACCAATTAGTACTGTTTGCCTCATCACACGAATATATATTACATTGTATAAATACACATATATAATATTATTATATATATATGTTTAAGTAAACGTGTTTAATCTCATTTGCATGTTACTAAAGTATCTCGCCTGTACTCGTCACAGAGTTCTATAAATGATTAAACTGTTATGATTGACTCTTTGATCGCATAAAGTATTTTTCAAACCTACCCGCAGATTAATTCTGCGATCGTAGCAACACAAAAACGTAAAATAAATGCACTAATTAGGAAATAGTTAACTGCAGCGTTATTAAAAGTAATAAAAATTTTAAATATCAAGTTTTTAATGACGACTCTAAATAAATTCGTTATTCATAAAAATTTAACAGAGAAAATTTATTTAGAGTTGTACACCTAAAATTGAAAGCTTGACATATCTAAAATTTGTGTTATTTTATAATTAGGTTATGTCTACTGGCACATTTACATTACGTGATGCGGCAACAAAATTCGGTGAATATTATTATAGGAAAATAAGCACCACTAAATTATACAAATAACCTATATTACCCTTCTAAGTAATCTTTAATCTTGGATATTACTCTCGTTGTTACATAGTGATAACAAATGAGACAAAACAATATCCAAAGATGACTTTTCACAGAATTTCCGCAAGCTGTACAAACGTTGTCAGAAGTATATTAGGAAAGATTACTCTAGGAAAGATTACTTTAAAGAGCAATATAAAGGTAATTTGTATATTAATTAAGTAGTGTTTATTTTCTCATGACTGAATTCACTGAACTTTATATTGCCACATCATGTATTACTGTAAATGTCACGAATTTAATTCATCGCAACGTGTTACTTGTTTGCGATTCTGTGTTTATCGTTGTTTAATTATCGAGATGCCACTTAACAAATTGAGTCTTTCTCACTACCAAATTGAGAAATTTTTCTATGTGTTAACGAACTTTGGAAGAAACAAGAAATACGTGGCAAAAAATACAATTGTCAATAAAACGGCTGCAAAGAGAGAAAAAAGCAAGAGCTAAAAAGCAAAAAAAAACAGGAAACGAAGAAGAAGACATTCAGTAGAATACGGTTTTAATTTTGCTTTATTACAGCTTTACATATATTTTATTGACATTTACAAATTTTATTAAAGACATTTACAAAACACGAGTTGTAAATAAATCGTATACGTAACGCGTGTGCATGCATTTGTTGCGTTAACGATGCGTGCATGGGCAATCACAGTAATCCCCAGCCAGCTGGACCGCGTGCCGGATTTCATCCTGTCTCCTGGACTGCGCCGCGGTTTCCTCCAACCAGGACACATTCACGTGCCTAACAGTGCGCGGAAAGACCACGTACTCCTTGCAAATGAAAAGAGCAATATTTCACGATAATGTCTCGTGTATTATCGGAATTAAAGTTCGTTCATTTATCCTTTTAAATCTTTTCAGAACTTTCATCTCCAATTCTTTTTTCTTCTTCAAATTAATTTTTTATGAATACTCTTTCTTTGCAAATACTCGTGAATTTTGAAATTATCTTATTGTAAATTTGTATAATATTTTTAATAATCTAAAAAATTTAGGGAGAGGACTATGGATGTGCTCATGCTGAAATATAAAATAAAAGAAAGGAGAGGGCTAAGTGGAAGAATAAAACTTAAAAATTCATCTGTGTAAAATCGTGGGACGGCAACGCAAATTTTCGTGACGTCCTCATGTCAAGCGTTCCGCTTGCACGCGCAAATATATGTTTTCCACCACTGCTAGTATAACGACGGAAAATTAACGGCGACGTGACGGCCGGTAATCGTCTCTGATGATTAATTGAGCAAATCTCCTAGACGGAAGCTTGCTATTAAGATAACGGAAAATGCTGAACGTCGGAGATAGCAATAATCGCAGTATTAACCGCGATTAATCCGATTTGGTCTCTTACCTTTTCCTCTGTTCCCGCCATGTGGATGTTAAATTTCCGCGCAGCCACGATTTTTCACCGATAAAAGTACTAAAACTGCCTGGCGGCCGTTAGGCAATGGATTAGCGAAGTGTTATCGCGAACGAAGTGTTATCGCGAGCGAAGGGATGTTAGGGAACGAGAAATATGCAACCCTCAGTAAAAATATTGCGACGAACTATTATATATCATAAAATTTTTATTCGCTACGTTTATAAATCTATTAATGAAATTTATGCTATTTTGCTAAAATATTCTCAGATTTTCACGTATAGGAGATGAGTATCTTTACCCCGAAATTTACCAAACAGATTTTTCTCGGAACTGTTTTACTCAAAATTAAATTTCTCGCCAGTCCCGAGCCGTCCCTTCGTCGCACCCTTCGCACAATCAAGTTTTATTACAAAATCTTGCAAGAATTAACACGTGTACGTTATGCCGTTTGAACTTACCCCAAAGACAGCCGAGGACGGAATTTCCGTGCAAGTATGGATGACATGGGTCGCCGTCGAGTCTTGTCCGTTCACCAGCGTAACTATCTTGGCGCCGAGTCTAACATATCAACGTTGTCAAGGAAAATTGTAGTCTGAGGACATCAGCATAGCTTTAAATTCGCCCTGGGAGATATATATTTCTCGTAAAAACGAGGAAAGTGGATCTAGAATCACGCTACGGAAACATCGTAGGGATGAACCGAACGATCCCTGCGGGAATAAAAGTCCTAAGTACACGAATTTGCACATCTCTAGTCATTGCAACTCATCGAGAATCTGATTTATAATGTACCAACTTCCCTACTAATATACGAGGTCGACGTTGTGTTACTTTGAAAATAGATTAGAAGATCGAGAGAGAGAGAGAGAGAGAGAGAGAGAGAGAGAGAGAGAGAGAGAGAGAGAGAGAGAGAGAGAGAGAAAGAACGAGAAAGAGAGAATGATAAAGATTTATGAAATTACCGAGGGCGAGCATGGTCATCACAAGATCATTGAACTTTAATGAGATCCCGAATGTAATGCGAGTGTAAAGATAACGTAATTATCGTAATTAAAAGCGACCCACGAATTATCGAAATATAATATATTATGAGAAAAAGGATACGTTTTAAGCATCCTTCGCGTGTCCCTCTCCCTGCTTGTGTCGAAACCAGGTGCGAGACCCGCTCGCACGTCTTGCAGTACATTACTGAATTTCTGGAAAAAGAATTGCAGTTAACAAAGTAAAAAAGAGCAAGGTAATGCAAGAGTAAAAATAATAATATGTGAAGCTGAAGTAATGCAAGATAAAGAAGAAAAAAGAGAAAAATTCATATAAAAAAGGTAAAAATAATATCAAATAAATTAATTTAGGTAGATATGTCAATGTAATAAGTATAAAATTTTTTATAACATTATAATACAATAGAATCGATCATTCGAACCTCGATTTTCCAATATTTCTCTTATTCGATGCATTATCCGTACTTTGTTTATTCGATATCGATTATTTTCTGATACGCGTGAAACTTCGGATGGCTATATGCATTTATGTCTGCGTTTACATGTCACATGCGCATATTATAATCTGAAAAACAAGTCATTTCTGTCTAATAAACATGTTTTGATAATTATTTAGATAAGCGCATGTTCATATCATAACGTTGCGTGGCTGAAACAAATTTCTTAACCTAAATAGTCACGAATTTTAACGATTAATATCTCTGTTCTGTAATATATCTGCCAAATTCTTTCTTTTATAAAAAAAAATTCGTCGAATAATTGTTTACCTTCATTGACTTTTTAATTGCGAGGGTCTCATCTAAATAATTATCCATGTTTTTTAAATAAAATAAAATATAATTCTGATTATTCGATTTTCACGATTATTCGATCTAATTCCCGCGGTCTCTATTAGATCGGACAATTGAGATTAATACGTAATTAATTATTATATAAGAAAATGTAACATATACAATTACATATATATACAATTTATTATATAATTACTTTCGTTATATTTATATTTATATAATTAGTATATAATATATAAATAATTGTATAAAAATAAATTTATTGTGCAAAGTAATATACATATAAAATATCCACAAAACTGAACTCAGTTAAATAAATGCAACAAGGACACATGCGCAACGAACTTATAGTGAGTACCAGTAGCTAGATAAGTGGCAATCACGTTAGATAACTTTCAAGAAGACAAATGGAGGAGACCGACTTTGGCGGCACGATGATTCAACATCACCAATGTAGATAACGAATTACGAATAGCGGAAATAGGTTTGTCAAAGATCGTTGATAGAACACGGTGGCGGTGATAGATTACGAGAAATCAGCGAGACAGACATACTCGTATTTTATCATTGGGTTTCTAAGGGCTTAAAAGAGAATAAAAAACTTTGCCAAAAATAACATTATCCGTTTCGATAAAAATTGCAGGTAATCGTTGCATATGAAAAGACACTTCTAATAAAAAAATCGGAAATGATAATATACAATAGTCTTTGCTTCTTTGAAGATAACTTCTTCCTCAAGAAAGGACATTTCAAGCAGTCGCGAACAGAGCTGTCACAAATCCTTTTTATTCTACAATACCATAATTTTTCCCCGATTTCTAATTTTGTAGTAATCTTGTCTTGTTCAAGCAAAACATTCTGCATGGGAAGCATAATTCCATGTTCACAAAGGGATTCTGCGGTCTGTAATATTTCGATTTCTTTATTTTTTCACAAGAAGAATTAAAGGAATTCAGCTACATCATGATTAATTAACAACGAAAAGATACGTTCCTTGAATGTACAGAGAAATTCAGTCGCCGAATTCGAGCGTACCGAATAGCGTTTACACATACGCAACAACTGGCTACGTAACATAAATAAATAAACGGTTTTCAAGCACAACCATAGAGCGGTATAAACAGAACGCGGAGATGTACGAGCTCTTGAATAACATTAATCGGGCAATGTGACCAATGTTATTCGAGCACAGAATTAATAAATCTAGAATTAATTAATCTAGTAGGTAAATACGAATCGAAAGAAGATACACAGTTTGTCTCGAAAGATTCTGAACTTTGTTTAAAAATCTAATCTTTTATACCATTTATTTAATATTTATTATTCAAAATACTTTGTCTGTTTAAAGTAATACAGTCTCTGTAAAACGATTGTGCAATTTCTAGAAATGTCTTTAATAAATCACTTTTAAAGTGAAGAAAACTATCTCAATTCAAATCTTCTTGTAAGAAATAAAAGGCTGGAATTTAGAAAATTTTGCAGAAGGCAAGAAGTAATTTCTATCAAAGAAAGAAATATATTACTTACGGTATCCTCGACGTCCGAATCGATGGAACTCGCATCGAACGAGGACTCGAAAGATCCTTCTGTTCTCGAATTCGATTTCGCTTCCTTTTTTAATTTTGTTAACGAAAGATTCTCCGTTTTTTCCTTAATCTCACGTTTCAATCTCTTCCTTTCCGACCGGACTTTGTCAGACGATCTTTCGTCGCACTCAGTTTTTTTGCGTTTTTTGAGGGTTCCTTCCAGAAGCGATACTTCCTTGACTTCCTCCTTGATGTTCTCCGGCAACTCAGTCTTGGAACTTGTTGATGGTTCGTCCCAGGAGCTGATTCTCAAGCTCTCAATCTTCTTCGGCGATGTGTTCTTCGCAGGATCGGACGGTATCTTCCTCGGAGAAGTCTTTACATTCGTTATCGTATTGAGCAAATGGCCGAAATCAATGGACTCGGGCTTCCTTTGGAAGAGAATACGCAGCTCGTCCAGGGTGGTGGCTGTCGACCAATCTTTGTCGTGGCGGATCCGTGTGACACGCGGAAACCGGATGCTGATGCCATCCGCAGTATGCACTCCCTGGTTCGTAAACTCGGCGCCTGTTATCTCCCATACCGGCTGCTTCTATTTATTCCCCCGACGCCGAAATAACGATTAGTGGTTACGACGGATTAAGGATGAAGCATATTAACTCTGTAGTATAACGAGCTTCGTAGTTTACGTTGGAAAAAGAAACTCAAATGAAAACGAAGGAGAACAGGGATAGATAAATTATTATCATTAATTAGTTAAGACGTTAAGTAATTACAGCAAATTTTTAGCTAAGAAATTGACCAATTTTAGTTGGTTATTCTTCTCATATTCAAGTATATTTGATGAATTTTTTAAGACTTGAAGTTTTTAAGGTTTACTATACCTAATTGCTTTGTAATTAAAAGAGGTCTTAGACCAGTATTCATAGTTTATTCTTATTTTAAGACTGTCTTAAGTAATACTTAATATTTTAAGATGCTAACTCGGCTCTGTGATTGGCTTATGACTTTTTAAGTCTATACTTAAGACAGTTTTAAATGTAAGAACCAACTGTGAATATAGCCTTAAGGATTGTCAGAATTGTTTCAGCAACGGGTTGATTACCCACATAGCATAAAATATGTATTCATGTGAATAAAATTTTTAAAAACATTTTAATAAAATATTTTACATGTTGATTGGTAAATTGATTGGTAAACTAATTGGACCTTACCTTGGGATCCTTCGCCACGAAATCCGGCACCATGGGTTTTTTGGCGTGCAACCAACTCGGTAGCTTCTCCATATCTTTGCCGATCTTCACCATGTCCAGCTGATCCTGTAGCATCGTTAGAGTGGCATCGTCATGCCCCGTGTGTACCTACGACAACAGAGTGGGGGAAGGGGGTGTGATCTTCCATTTTAATTCAAGTTAACATTTAAAATTCATTAAATATTTTACTTACTTTGGTAACGGTTAACCATTTGTCGCGCTTCTTGTCGTAGCAGCCCATTAAGAAGACCGACAGCATGCCGCCTATACAACGAATGAAAGAAAAGAAAAACACGTAGAAAATAGCAAGCTTCAAGATCGAGTCGGTGTGAAAGGTCGGCCGTTTCTCTATGAAATAAATTTCATTTTAGACACGTAAATTCCGCATTACTAAATTTAAACTTTTTAAGAGCTGCATCGAAGTAATAATGGTGATGGTTTAATCATTATGAAACAATGTTAAGCGGAGAAAGCAATTTTGCAATTATTGTAAAATTCTTTAATATAATTGATCTTGCACTTTTCCTTCACTAAAACTAAATATTAGGTTGAAGGAAAAGTTCTGCGGTATTTTATTAGCTCAAAATTGTATATTGTATATTTAAAAAATTAGCGATTATATCATTCGATAGAACAAAGTTACAGCTTTAAGAATCTGATTTATATTTCCATTTTGCGATTTGTTATTTTTTGCTCAGAATCGCGGCTCATACGAACCTTTGTTACCCGTGCCGTACCATGCACCAAGCACAACGAGATCTGCGCTATCAGCCATCGCACCACCGCACAGATAATCCTTTTTTACCTTCAACCAGTGTCTCTTGCCCGGCTCGTATTTGCTCTGGAAACGCAATTTTGAATAAACGCGAAATAAAACCCAAATGCCTGACCATCCGAAACAAATTTCACGAGAATAGCGTTATCTTTAAAAAAAATTACCGACTTTATCGCCAACAGTTACAAATAGATAAAGGAAGAAAAACATGTTTGAATAAATAATCAAGTAAATATTAAATATGTAATTGTATTACGTAATGATTATTCAGTTAATCGTATCAATAATATTATTAAAAGAATATAGCAATAATGTGGAAATCGATACGCACGTCGATGTCTTTCAAGACCAAACCTTCAAGACCCAATTTCAACACATGGACAATCCTTCCTGCTAAATCTTGCGGATCCTGAAACCAATCCGAATTGTAGATATCGCTGTAAGTAAATGGTAATTAACATGTTATTAAAATTTTGATTTCTTTACATGCACTTCGTAAACCTCTGATAACGTTATTCTGTTTGGTATCTCGGTCATTCTGTCCTTCAAAATGTTCCTGCGCTCCAGCATAGATCTTTAACGCGATAAAAAATAAAGACAAAAAATATAGTTTAACATGTAAGGTCATAATAATATTAGTTTACAGTCAAACATTATTTTTAATTAAGCAAAATATTTTTTATAAATTTTTAAATGTTGAAAGAAAAGTTAAATGTTATTTTACTAAAACTTTGTACGCAAATCCATCATAAAATGGCTAAAAATAGATATTAAAATAAAAATAATGCATTTTTAAAAGAATAAATAAAATATTTATAACTTCTGATCAAAATTTCAATAGGTTAACCTTTGCATTAAAAAAAATTTTTGGTTTCATCAAAATCATTTTAACGCATTAAACCTCAATTATTTCAGAAACCTGATGCTGATAAAATGTGATTCACATCGTTTTGAGTATCCAAAAATAAATTTAAAAAATCATCTCATCTGATTTATAAAATAATTTCAAAAATTAAACTAGTGTAATTATTATAAGATATTATTATTTATTTTTATGAAAACTCGATATTTACTTGTCAATAAGTATCTCGCCGTTGTAGTATAAGCAGTCGAAGACAAAAAGACACACATTGGCGTTTTTAAATTCGGCTTTCTGAAAACAAATTCGACACTGTATTATTAAAACGTCGTCTTAATATTCAATATTTAAAGTATTATTAAGAATATTTATACCTTAAAATACATATATTGTATTATTATACAAACTCATTATCAATTGTAAAATTCAAAATTGAATAACGTAAAAACAGACGCAAAAATATTACATTCAAAAGTTTTTAAAGAAATGAAGAAAAGATTTAAAACAAGAAGTTCATCGCTTTTACTTTGTGAATTCCTAAGGTGCCGAAAGGCAAAGGTTGTCCGGTCTCATTGTCGACCATGAGAACCTCAGAATCAAGGATTAGATCGTCACCGTCAGGAAACGCCTGCGCTATGTAATCCTTGAAGAGATTCACCTAAAAAAAAGTATATTACTCGATCGGTCAATTTTTAGAAAAATTAAATACAAAAAGTCGAAAACACGCTTTTGATTTCGTATTCTAATTGTTAAATTTCCGTAATAACAATAATTGAGGGAATGGACGAAATAAAGGCCTAATTACAAAATCTTGATTTTGAAAAAATTAAAAATAACTTGCTACTTTTTTATTATACATATACAACAAATGGGAACATTATGTTAAATGTATATTTATGTAATGCCTTTGAGAAGTTATATATTATAATATTTTTCTATTATGATCAATATTTAAAAAGTTATTTGCATTATAAAAAATGTACTTAGTCCCTGTTTCGAATATTAATCATAGTATTGTAGAAATCAATAGAAAGAAAAGACAATGAACTATATACATACATATATGAATGTTTATCTTCACATTCTTTTAAAAGAAGTACAAAATGAATATGGAATACACTTTTACTTTTATACTTATATAAAATAAATTAAAATAATGCATTCAATCATCCGATGAGCTCTCGTGAGATCTTTTAACATAAATGTGTAAACTTAAATGTTATACAGTAAACATATTATTGTCGTACTATTTTCAGTCTGCAGGTAAAAATTTCATTAAAATGATATAATCTATGGAAAAAGATATTCTATAATCTTCTACCATAGTTTATATCATTTTCATCACCACAGGATAATCGAAACAAGTTCATATTTAACTAATGTAAGCAACTCCTTGTGTATTTGCGTTAATCTCCAAAAAAGAGCCTGAGTGGAATTTGTGTGCCTTTATTCCGTCCATCCCCTCAATTAAATTTTTTCTTACGTTAGTATAATATGATTCTTTCTGTTTCTATAACAAGGCGTAAAACTTTTAAATTATAAAATGATGTTATTGATATATATATATATCTTCCAAATGGTTTAAGCGTTTCCACAAGTTATCGTCTCTACCTTGTGCGGCAGAACCGGCTTGAGGGATCTGCTGAAGTATCGAAAGTCATTTCCGCTTTTGTGCACCTGCACGCGCTCGCCGTCGTACTTCACCTCCGACAACATTCCGTTCGGGCACTTTCGCATCGCCATTTCCACAGACGTGCATGCCTCTGCCTTAATTAATTAATTAATTACATCTATCTTGTTGTTGCAGTATTTTGATTCATATAGTGTGTGTGTGTGTGTGTGTGTGTGTGTGTGTGTGTGTGTGTGTGTGTGTGTGTGTATGTTTATAGATAGATAGATGGATATAGATATTATTATTAAAACTAATAAAAGACTAAATAATTGCAGATTTATTTCGATACCAGCATTGGTAAAACCGGCGTCATCAATGAGATAGCCACTTTATTTCGACCTAAAGATGAGCCTGAAGCGCTTGATTTTTCTTCCAAATTCGACAAAAAACGTCGCACTACCGTTTCCAGATTTCGAGACATCTGAAAGGCCTTGTACGCATCCGCATGGACCGCCTCGAGACTGAATATGTATATATTACATATATTGTATATACATGTATATGTATTTTAATTATTATGAAAATAGGTGAGTGCAAAAATTCGTGCCCGGTTTATTATTTAAAATTCAAGCAACTGCGGTTTCGTTAAAAATATACAAACTTTAGATTTGAAAAAAGGATTTTAAAACTTAAAATTTCGACCTTTGGAAAGTCATTACATCTATTTTTCATGTTTCTGTAAATTTGATAATTTTTACATATAAAAATCGAATTGGATGAAATGAGAAATTTTTCTTCTCACTTTATGAGTCTGTCGCAACTCAAAAAAACAAATTTTTAAAGCTAAAACTTTGATCTATCGAGTATAATTGAAGGGATGCCAGTAGTTCCAAATCCTGAAAAGCTAGCCAAAAGTAAAAAAATAAAATTTCCATTTAGGGAAAATTTATATGTTGGGTTGGATAGATTACTTGACATTTTAAATGCTAAATAGCAAAGTCAAGACCAAGTCGACCATTTTTGGATTGGAGGAAAAGTTCTTACATGCAAATTTTGCTAAAATCGGGCGCTTTTGCACTTACCTGTATTTTAAAATTGACAAAAAAAAAAAGTAAAACGCACTCACATATGTTTCGGTCCGGCGTTAATCCTCAGATCATGTTTGATTAAACGCACGATCATCTTCAGATCGTTGGCGGTACATCTAAAATTTTTATCGAATAAACAAATAAATATAAAAACAAAACGATAAAAAACGATGGCATTTGACCGTTTAGCTGCTAACATTGTTTACATAATGTGTCTTTCGTATCGTAAAAATAAATGCAATTTACAAACAAATAAAATTTTGAAGGAAAAATGTTAAGAAGCAATATTAATAAACGTAAATAAATACGATAAACTCTAATCTATTAAAATTCCATGCGTTAAATTCTAAAATAAAACAATGATAAAATTTCATCATTTTATATTTATTAGATATGGAAACGATAAATCGACGTTAATTAGCAAAGTGGAGCGATAATAAAATTATATCACCACTTTATGCCAATTGGATATAGAAGCATCGAAATGGCACGAACGTAATCATAGTGCGTTTATACATTTGTTGCGTTGATAAAAATTCCGAGAAGACCTTCTCGCATGCCGTAGCTGGAAGGTTAACGAGAGAAGAATGACCGATCAATGAACTTACTTATCAAGAATAGATCGAAAATGCTGGATCTGCTCCTCCTCCTTAGTCAAAAACGATAGATTTTCCAAAAAGAGATCAACCTGTCCGATAAAACTCATTAATAAAGACATTATATCGTTAATAAAGACTTTGGCAAATTACTCCGCACGTGTTTTTATTTTTTTTATAAATCATACTAAAAAAAAATCGAAATTTTCACAAGCAAATGTTACATGTGACGTTTTTCATAATTACTGATTACAAATGACTGTGATGACGAAACATTGTATATGTGTTTCACATTTCTATTCAAGATGAACGAAAGCGTTGACCGACATAATTATTAAATAATCTATTTTTTTAATGAAAAAAAATTATGTGTACTACACAATCGATATATACTACATTAAATTTTAATTTATAATATTAATAAATTGCTTAATAAATCGTTCAATTACCATTATTGTCAATTTTATTGCCATCTTTGAAGCGTCCTTTCTACCAATTTTCGTGATCGAGTAAACTTTTATTAAGAAAGAATCGCTACATAAAAAAAATTTTAAACAAACAGATAGAAAGGTTTTTTTATGCATTAAACAGAGAATCTTGATTATTGTCTGATTTTACTAAAGAGAATGACTTATTTAACGATGAGTATCGATAGAAGCCTCGAAGCTGTTTTACGTCGCACTCGAAAGGACTGAAGATGCCAAAAAAGGATACAAAAAAAGTATAATATGTTTGTAAACAAAAAACGGTATAAAACAACGTTGATAATTTGCTGGACCGCGATAAGACACGAAGAATATGTCAAAAGTTATAAATATATAAAATCAATTATGCTTTTATCTCGAACAGACTATAAAGACATGAGACTCAAATCACTCAGCGTGTAATTGCATTTTTTCATATAAATTATATTGACAAATAAATTCGTCTTTTAACGCGAGAATGCTAAGAAACATTAATTTTCATTACTCTGACACTTTGTTATTTCAATTTCTTTTTAATTACTGAATTTTACTATTTTAATTTCTTTTTTTATTTATAGTTCACCGTTTTCTCACCGCGATTTGTCTTTGTTCTCGAAATTCGTAAAATTGTGTCGACTTACGTCTTGAATAGTCAATGCGCTCGCGGCACAAGGCGACGCGGCAGCGCTATTTTCAAAGAACACGCTGATTGTCTCGGCCACGTCACCTTGCTCCAGATGCACCAGCATCGCGTCCTCGTCCTGGAGCAGCAACCGCGCGAACAACTTTATCAGCTGCTTGCTTTGCAGATTGTAAATTCTCTTCACGGCGCCAGGCAGCAGCAGTTTGCACCAGAGCACGATGTCGCCCTTAAAACCGTCTACAAAAGGAACGAAATAAAAAAAATAATCTGCACAGAAATATTGTTGTTGACATTTTTCAACAAATTAATAATCATGACTACTGGCGAATCCAGAAATTTAAGGTGAGCCATTAGCGCCGCAAAATTTTTTTTAAGGTCAAATATAAAAAGATAGAATATTAAATAAAATTATTTAAATTATTACATTAAGAAAGTATTATTTAAAAAATGTATGATTCATAAAATATTTTATTCAAAGTTATATATAAAAATATATAATGAAATCTATATCTTTTATAAATAATGTAAATTTTTTAATATTTTTTATAGAGTATAAATATTTTAATATATCAAAATTGTGATTAAGCGCGTGCGTGTTTTAAAATATTAAAAATACACTGAAAAAAATGTTTGATTGCAGCAGCTAATTAAAAACATGTATATTCAGCCAATCTTCTTTTTTAGTGTACATATAAATTTTGCTGTAAATTTAAAAAAAAGAGACTCCAAAAAGAGAGGGCTATAATCTCCATGTCCCTCTCGTGAATCAAAAGTTTTTTTTTTCATCGAAATCGAAAATCTTCCACATTCGGTTGCCAACACTGAAAAGATTGGCTGCTGCAGCAAATTAGATGTAAAATAAGGTATAGCATGTTTAATTGAATGCAGCCAATTAAAAAAATGCTTTGCTATATTCAGTCAATCTTTTCTTTCAGTAAGATAAAAACATTCTTCTATATTTCAAGATCTTATATGAATAAAAATATTTTTTTATTTTTTGCTTCAAGACAGTATCACAGAAGAGAATGACACACGGAAGAAGTTAAGCGTTTCATTAAAAATATTAAAATACGAACGTTTGTAGAATAATCTCGTTTTCTTTAACATCCTACAAAGATTTTTTAATGAAAAGGGGCAAGAACGAAGCAATCTCTTTTTAAGATAAACAATATTTAAACAAAAATCAGAGCACCAGGAGTTTTTTATCGCTCAATTTTAAAATCAGTCTTCAATGATTAAAACGAATTGCTCGCTCGTGTGCACTCGATACATTTATCTGTGCATATAAATTTTCTATATTTACAAATGATATATAAAATTAATTTAAAAAAAAGTAAAATCTCAGTTGCTCCAATCAGCCCATCGCTCAGAAAAAAAAGATAAAAATTGCGCAGCAATCAGAAAAGTAATAAAAAAAAATTGCGAAATCGATTAATTTCGCCACCAACGTCTACTTTATCTCGAATATTTGCCTAATAAGTGGATTTGCGTATGATAATAATTTCGAAATCAATGACTAACCGCTTACTATTTCATAATTTGCAATTCGTCATAAGATCGTTGCTACTACGACGTTTGTGTTTATATTAATGCTATCTTCGATAAAACAATATAATAATACAGCAAAATTATTTTCAGTCAGTGTTTTAGTCAATGCGTAGCTCAATTAATGTGAGACGCAAGACTGCCGCCAAAGCAAAGACGTATGTGTAACAACTGCGTGTGCAATTGTAACAATATTCAATCGATACCAATGCAGAGTACACATGTAACCATGGCAGCTACCTTCTCCTCAATGAGGACAAACCGAGATCGAAGCATGGGAGAAGTACAGCCGCGTGACGCGCGCGTTTAGAATTCGCACCCGTCCACGGAATTGCTCATCATCGGCGAAAATAGAGCGGCCGCCGGCCAGCGGGATTTGAGCACAAAGTAAAACGATGGCTTTTAAGCCGTCACATGTGCGCGCCGCGGTTCCATTACCGCGTGCTATCGACGCGGATCCGACACGGATCCTCCGCGTTCTGCGACGTCTTTGAGATGCGCAGCGATAAATTCTTCCGTGGATTGCGATTCCGTCGCTCGCGCTTCACACACCGGGTCCCAATCGGGACAAGGTGTGATTGAGCACGCGATTCGTAAATAATGGTACCTAAGAATAGAGGGACTGACCAATTCGGGGTGGAGCACCGAATTTCTGACTGAACGGCTGTTCCGCCTAGCTAGAGACCCTATAAGAGGAGTCTGGCCATTGAAACTGTTTTGTAATAAAATGGCATTTATCATTATGGAACATTATTCTATTGCATTTCAACATCATCAGTTAATTAAATTTTGCAGGGCTCGGTAAAATATCTGATATAACTTATTTAAAATAAAAAATATAAAATAAGTAAATTCCAGAAATTTATTTAAAATATTAAAATCGTAGAAGTCAATAAAAAACTACAAAATGATTTACTTAAAATAAAAAGTATAAAATAGATTCCAAAAACTTTTAATTAAGAAATAGGACAGGAGGTACTATTTAAAATAATAAATACTAAATAACTTTTATTTCTTTTTATTTAAAGTACATATTTTAAATAACTTGATTTGAAATAGAACAGCAATGAAAATTTAATTTTATTAATTAAAAGATACATTTTTGTGGTGAAATAATAGCAAAATGTATTAAATTTCACTATTCAAATATTTGAATAGTACTAGCCGAATATTTACTTAATGTAAAAATATTTATTTTGTACAAAAAGTATTAATTTAATTACCTGTAAAACAGATTTTACTTGTTGTCTTCAATTATCATTTTTATTGACCTTTTACTGATTAAAAGATATATTCTTATTAATTGTTTGAGTAGAGGGGAGAGAGAAGGAGTACTAGCTAAATATTTACTGAATGTAAATATATTTATTTGGTTTATGACATCTTGAATCCAGGGAATGGAAAGTGACTTTTTAAAAGTAACAAGTTACGGTTACCGCTACTTGAAAAAGTAACTTCTCGTTACTTTTCCATTTTTTAAATGAATCTAAAAAATATACTTTTGCAATATTGTTTAAATGTTAATAAAAGCAATATACAATAATGACAGTAGCTATATGTTCTAATTTTTTTTTTAAACATTACTACATAATTCTGAAACATGTAAAATATGCGGCAAACTGAGATATCTATCCAATATATCACATAGAAATGTAAAATAATTCCAATCGAATCGTATCCAATCGCGTATGCCAAATAACGATAAAAGTAACTGTAAAACTCATCACTGTCACCAAAGAAAAAAAATGTAACTACGTTACTGTTACAGTTACTAAAAAAAAAGTAACGCAGTTGTCAGTAAAGTTATCTAAAAAGGAACTTGTAACTATATCTTCGTTACAAGTAACGAGTTACTTCCAGTTCCTACTAAAATCTTAAGACTGCATATAAATTTTAAATATAAGAATAGACTATAAGAGTCTATTCTTATATCCATCAGCCTGTAGGCCTAGTATAGAGACTAGTAGGACATGCCTCGTCTCACAAGCTCTCCTTATTTGATCCTCGCTTGAAATATGTCTCGCCGCCGAGACACGTTGTAATTAGAAAGCTCGACAATTGCAATTGCGTAGGCGCCGCCAGGTTGATCGATCGCACCGCAATCCGACACCCGTCATTATTGCTTATCGCCAATCATCAGCTCCGAAGCGCGCGCATTATCGCACGTATCGTTCATGATACGAGAGCCCGCTTTTTCCGTCGCAATTTTTCACTCCTTCTTTCTCTCTCACGCACTCGCGTGATGATTTTTTCGCCGCCACGATTGCGTCAGGTCGGAATATGATGTTGCGTGTATACGCCGAAGAGAGCGGAAGATAAATTAGTCCACGTCTCTTCTCCGCCATTTCGACCGTTGAAAAATTAAGTATGAAATGACACTTTCATTCATTAAAGTTACAACGTAAAAGAATCCTTGAAAGTGTCATGTAGATTATTTTTAATTAAACTATATATATATTTTATATAGAGTTTTTTAAATATCCTTTTTATAATTCGTTTTAAAAAATTATGTTATATTTACAATATTTTGCTATTTCGTGAATTAGTTTGTAATTATTTCATTGTAAAATATTCATTTTTTATAAACAATCCAAGTCAAAAGTTTTTGAAAAATATTTTAAAAAAATTGACATTTTTGGAATTATTTATTAAAATATCCATAACAATTTATTTTTCTAAATAATATTTTTTCTAGATTCAATAATTGTTATTAATGTCAATTTTTAAAGTATTCCAAGTTTTTATTCGAAAGTATATAAAACAAATATAATATTTTGCAATAAAATAATTACGAACTAATTATATACGAAAGAGCAAAAAATTGTAAACGTAATGTAAAACAAATTATAAAAAAATTATTTAAGAGAACAATGTTAAAATACTTATTAAAAATATATTTTATTAAAAAATAAACTATAAGACACTCTCAGCTTAAAAAGATTCCGAAAAGTTTAATTTTTAAAAAGTGTATTTTTAAATTTTCAGCCTGAAATATATTTTATTAGATAAAAGAAATTAGAATAACTTATCGACTTTCTGATGTTAAAATTTGAATAACGAATAATGCATATAAAAAGACCGCGGATGCAACGCTTTATAAATATTAATTTTATATATGATTTTTTATAAAAATGCGCATATTTTTCATAAATTAATATTTCTCGTATACTGTTAAAAAAAATATTGCAAGCTATTTATCTTTTGTTTATGAGATATTACTTCGTCATTCGAGTTGTACTAAATTCTACATAGCTTTATCTTAGTATTTATAGATATTTGTATATATAAATTCTTTTAATTTCTTAGAACACTTAACTTTATCGCTTGAAAATCTTAAAATATAATTTCTGAGAACTATATATCCACACTGAAGAAAGAATTTGGTTGCGGTAATAGAAATTTTGGTTGAAAATGAACGAACCAGAAAATTCTGATTATATGAATTCCGATTATCTCAAGAATTAAAATTATAATAGATTCGATCGGAAAATTCTGATTTGTCCATCATTGTTAATCAGAATTCCAATCAATGCAATCGGACTGTTTTATCTAGTGTACAAAGAAAAAATAATAGCACAAACCAAATCGAGTATATACAATTCCAAAATAATAAAACAAATCGAAATCCTCGTTACTCAATAAAAAAATTCACATAACACATGTAACAGCAAAAGCCTTCCTCCTCGCTTTCTCTCTGTCTCCCTCTTTCTTCTTGCCTAGCGTTATTGTCCGGAAATGTCGTAATATCGTCTCACGATATTATAACGGCATAATATCTATCACGAATGGATATCGTAATTGCGCCGAGTTGTGAAAAACGCGATCATTCAGCCTCGTCGACGGACAACGGCGATGAAGAATGCCGGGGCGGAATCGAGAGATAAAGAGCCCGCGGACTCTCGCGCGGGAAATAAAGGCGGTGGAAACGAAGAAGGAGGAGAAGATGAGAAGGAGGTAAGAGATAAAGGAGGACACAAGGGTGAGAGAGGAGACGATAGTCTGGAGCCAAGCTGGCTAACGCGAGAAGGGGCTCGCCGTCGTCGCAGCGTTCAACTGAACCATGTTTGCGGAGAGGAAGAGGCTCCCCTCGCGATTAGAGGTGGGGACGTCAGAGTGCTTATAAGACACGATGATCCCGCTGCAAGAGACCGAGAATCGATAGTTTGCAAAACCGTGGGGCAAGTGAGATCATTCAAGAAGCACGAAAAAGCGAAAAGAGGATAGAGAAAGAGAGAAAGAGATAGACATAGATATACAGAGATACGCGAAAATATCCAAATGAAAGTGGACTTGGCGATGACTTAAAGTAATCGCGATCATCCGCGAATCGGACGTATATATAAGGACAGACTTATATAAAGCGACGAATCTTTCTTTGAGGCTGTGCGTGCTGCGGTAAAGCCCGAGCGATCATCGAGCATCAGGGAGGTTTGCAGGAGTAGGAATTTTAGCGAAGACTGATATTGGGCTACGAAAGAATATCTCATCAACCCTTGCGACAACGATAGTGAGTATCCTTCGTGAAAATTGCTTTAATGAAATCGAATACGGGAAAGACGGTAAAGTATTTAAAAATTTAGCCAGATACAGATCTGAAAATATAATTCTGTTGAAATCATCAAAATATAATAATTATATGTAGGGCACTCAAACTAGTTGCTAAAATATAAAAACTTTTTGCATCATGGCTCATCATGTTTGAAATTAGATTTAAAAAATATTAAATTTTAATAAACAATGGTTTAAATAGTTCCAAGTAAATATTTATTAAATATAAACGTATATTTAAACATTAATTTAATTTAACCATCTTTTTTTATTAAGTAAATATTTATTTACTGTAAAAAATATGTATTAAAATTTGATAATTTTTTCTGTGTACTTAATTATATTGATGATCCAACAAAATTATTTTCAGATCTGTGTGTTTAAGTCTATAAGACTTAAAAAATTACTGAGCGCTTATTGGAGGGAGGATCCTGTTAGCCTACATTCCTGATTGTGCATTCCACTCACATAAATCGGTGTCTAATAATTTTTTATTATTACTTCATTAATGAGAATGTTTTATATTAAATTGGCCAATTAGCGATGTGCGTAATTGGAACCTCCCTTGGACCAATTAGGTCCAAGATGGCAGTCTAAACAGCCAATAGAAAAACGCAATAAGAAAGCAGCCAATAGGGAGGCGCAGTGATCCGCTCAGATAAAAAAAAGACGCTTATTAATAAGCGATTTTTGCGTGATTCAGGTACAGCACCCTAAGTGTATCACAACATTTTCGCGTGTCATTAGAAGCATGTAATAGAAGCATAGCCAGACATTTAACTCACGCCTTATTCTCTCTATGTGTGTTTCTTTTATTATATATCACGTTAGAGTAAGAAATTATTTTTAAACAATATCAAATCCGTGCGTATAAAAAAATCAGTAGATTTAACGTAATAATTGTAAGTACAGGTTTTCAGAATAAGCTTCACTTTTACAAACATCTATCAGTAACAACCCTAGTATACCAATCCAGAAAGTTCAAAAAGAATTCAAAAACAATTCCGTTGTGTCTTCAATTCTAGGAGGTTTATTTTCAGATTTTTTCTTGTCATTCATTTTCAGATGCAAAAAAGATTCTTTTCAGAACATTTGAGAAAAAGAATTTTTCCTACATAACGAAAATAAATTCGAAATTGAAGACATACGACTGAATTCTTTTTCAAATCTCTGTGCGATCGCCAAAATTGTCTTAAATAGAGCTTTAGTGCAAAGCGATTCGGATGTAAGCACGGAGTTCCTCACAGAACCTCGACGAGAGCTTTAGACGGTTTCGCGGCCTCTCTTTCTTTTCGTCCGGCCGCAGATAACCCCGGTAAAAATCTTCCACTTAGCGTGCCCAGGTCCCATTCACGCCCGCTTGGATGATTAATGGTTTCCTTGTATCCGATTCCGGATATCATATTTACTAACCGCCGCTCCGGGTCTCGCCCCATCGCCTCTGAGAAAAGCTCGCGCGGGAAAGAGAGAGGGCTAGGGGAAGGGAGGCAGAAACCGCGCGCGCGAAAAGAAGACGAGGCTCTCGCGAGGAAGAAGCGATAATACGAGAAGAGGATCGCAATGAAATGAGAAATAAAGTAATGCAAAAGGCGGGGAGTTTCGTGGCTTCGGGGTGGCAGCGGGGCGGGGGTGGCGACGAGATAGACCTCGTAGTGTTTGCGCGGAGGAGAGAAATGCGCCGCACCGCTTCGATATCCCCATTGATGGAATCGGCTAAAATATTCTGTATCGGTTCGCTCGCTCTCGCTCACTTCGCCCTCGTTTTCGCTTCATCTTCACCGCCGTCGTAACACGCGACCTACGACGTACGAGACCCCGTGATTCATTCTGGTTTATTCCTCTGTCTCGCGCGAGTCACGTCCTGCCTTTGCATTTTTTTATTCACCGGGTAAAACAACTCGCTAGAAACACAGGTGGGGAAGAAGAATGTATCGCGTAACAAATTACAATTTTGAATTGTGAAAAACAATTTTGCTGAAATACTTAAAAATTTAGCTACGTGGAAAGCTTGATAAGTCAGTGACTTTATAAAAGGATATTATGTTGGAAAATAAGTCGAATTTTGGTTTAAAAAAGTTGAAAAAAGTCAAACCTTTCATTAAACACGACAGATTTGATTTTATAATATATCTTTTTAATTAACTAAAATTGCAACACAATACAAAGAATTTATATCGGGTTGTGTTCGTAGTCACTATTTCGTTTACTTTTTTTTCTATTAAAGAAAAGAAATCAGTGTTGCAAAGAAAGAAAAAATCTCGGAAGTTTTTTAGATCTTTATTATTATTATTTTTTGTGATATCTTTAATGTTTTACAATGAATATTAGATTAACTGCTTAAACAAGGAAACAACTTTTGGAGTACCTTAAAAAACGAGTAAACGGCAAATTACTTTTGTTTTGTATCATGTTTTGTAATATCATGTAATTGAAGAAAGGTGTTATCGTATGTTTTATTTTCAATTTCGAAAGAGATGCATATTTCGCTCAAAAATAAATATGATATCCCTATCAAATCGCACTCTTACTTGTAAACTCGCATTTCCGGCCAAAACCGTGTATCTCACGATAAGAATTAATGACATGCAAATCAGCAAGTGGAATTTTTTATTTGACATTGTGTTGCGAATATGAGAGGAATTTTTCGAACATTTGCACCTCTGTATATAATTTATATGCAATATTATTTTTTACTTACATGTATCACATATACAACTATTTCGCAAGAATAATTTTGCAGCAATACATTTTCTATTTGCGTGTCCAAAATTATTCCAAGAAAAATTGCGTGAAAATTCTGTTTAATCCATACTTTGTGCATCTAATTACAATGTATTCATCACGTTACATTAAAGTAAGTATAAATTCTTTATAAATCATCTTCTCTGCGGGAAGATTCGTATTTAACACGAAAATGGTAAGAGAAATCGTTAATAAACATTTCCACGACTGGACACCTTCGTGAAAAAATTATAAGAATTATGATTAATAAAACACTCACCGTTCTTGGACAGATTATTCATTCTCCTCTATATATTATGAAAAAGACACAATAAGCAATAACGTGCGAACCTCCTCTCGTAATCATATCGCGAGAAAAAGAGGAACCGATTGATTTCGTAAAAGATGAAATTAAAGTTTTGAAAATTTGCCAATTTGCAATTTTTTGTTAGTTTACTGAGATCACCGAAATGTCTCCGATCTCGAAAATTATTGTAAATTTATTACAGAATGTACCGATTATTGCGTAGGTGAAAATGATTAATTCATCTACACATATTAATAATTGTTTAATCTCAATTAAATTTATTTGCTCTCGCTGTCCGGTCTCAATCATTCCTGTCGTTCGTCGATAATATTAATTATTATTTACTGATTATGTCATATTTCTCGAATAAATGTTGACATCTACAATGTATATATCGAGCGTTCCTATCGTAACATGATGGAGAAAGCGAAGAATTTCACTAAAATTTAGAATTTATATTTTAGCATATTCAAAGAATCTTTAGAAATTAAATTTAGAAATTAAATTTAGAAATAAAAATTTAGTCTCTATAATCTCTATATAGAATATTTAGAGAATATTCAGAAATCTCGATCTTCAAAGCTTCATTTTCAATACGCTAATATATATACCTATTGTACGAGTATAAGTGATACAATAACAATGCACATAAATATAGTACAATCTCTCATCGGAAACCTCTAGATTCCTTTAATTAATTTAACAGGTGTTCGTTAGAACGTTTCTACTGTACGACCTGTACGTATATCCTCTTGATCTTTTATAATGAGAAATGGAGATATAGGTACTTACCTCCGAGTGATCCTTTTGTCAACATCCTCTTAATAATCGCGGTCTTGTCGGTGTAGGCATCAACGTCGGCGACGTTGCTGCACACACGCCGAAATTCACGAAAGGAGTCATCCTTCGACGGGACTTTGTTCTTTTCCTGCTTATCCTTCTGCTTGTCTTTTTCTTTATCATCTGTTGCGATCCTTTTCTGATCTGAAGTCTTCTTCGCTGTTTCTCCCGAAGAATTATTAGAAGAAGCCGCTTTACGTGGCGTTGCAGCTTTCTTCGATGCCTTAGCCGGAACTGGGAGAAAGAATTAACGCATTAAATGTAATTAATTTGTTATTAATACAAAGCAATAATTTCATTTCCATGATTTTAAATTAAAATTATAAATAAATTTTAATATTTTTTTTTATATTAAAGTTTTTAATACGAAAAGTTTGGTTTAGCCATAATTGCTTCGTTTATTAATAGATACTAATTTAATTTTGCTCTTATTTTACTTCATGATTTTCGTGCATGTTTTATAATCTTTCCGTAAAAATTTGATATATATTTTTGAAATCTAAACACATTAAAAGAATTTTACATATTATTTACTACCAAAATAATATCAATCGTAATAAAATCGATAAAATCCTAATAAATTTTGTTTCAAAGATAAATGTTAATGGGTCAAATTTAATGACGAAATTTCTCAACAAATCTTCCTATGTACGTTGGAAATAGTATCCACCTTCGCAAAACGATTTCTAATTACAGGATGAAATTACGCAATGGAAATGGCGCAATATAACACGTTGTAATTTTCTATCTCAATAATATCGATGAACTTTTCCACCCTTGAGAATGGCAATCTCGTCAATGGCTGTCTCATAAGCGTCGAGCTCTTTGGAACTTTCCGTCGCAAAGCTCCAATCGTAAGGGAGAAAATCTATTAGAAGTCGCGAAAGTTTCGAGGAGGAAAGCCGGAAACCCTTTGAATGATTTCTCCATGCAACACCGGGCAACTTCACTTCGAAATGATGCGAAGAATATGATTGAACTACGTTCGAACGTTAATTCGTATCGAGAAATTTCTAGATGAAGTGACGGGATCTACAGATAATGAAGCTCAAGTCTTACACGTAAGACGTCTTAAAATGAAATGTTCTTTTAATCGTACATTCCTTCAATTCGAAATTAATTTTTTCTTAAAATAAGTAACAATAATTTATGAATTATACGCGATTGGTAAAAAAAACTTTTTACAAATTATATTAAATTTAGAAAGTTGACCGAAATTTTTATACTTCCAGTTAATTTTAATGAGATCTTGATTTGAGAACATATAAATATAGAAAGATATCAGGCTAAAAAAATGCGATACTAAACGAAAAGAAAGAACGGTTATAAACATAATTATTAGTTCAAACAAGATTATTTTCAGAATTGTATCTACAAAGAAAGAATAATTTTGCCGAAAGGTCTAATATTTCATCTAAAACCTAAAATTATTTTATTGGAAACTCAAATTGGTTGCTATTCAAAATCTGTTGCAACATTGTTCTCATCATTTTTTAATTTCCAAAATAATTATTTTGATTGTCCAATAAAATTATTTTCACGTCCGTATCCAGCAAAAATTTAAATCTCTTTCAGCAAAATCACTCTTTTCGTGTAGCTAAATTTTTAAATACTTCAACGAAACCGTTCTTTCTGTGATGAAATAAGTCATGTGGAGAAAAGAGGTGTTTTCTCTGGATAATTACAGGATTTTTCAAATGCCTCCAGCTTGTCCAGGATGACCTTCTTGTCGTCGTCGGACAATTGCTCCCAGCCCTTCACATCCTCCATGGGATCGTCGATCCTCTTTGTGCTGGCGCGCTGTTTCGCGAACGCTTCGAACAGACAGGTGACGTGGTGCCAGGCTGGCATCAGTTTGCCGTCCGAGAAGAAGCTCGCCACATACTTAGCGATCCGTATTTCGCCCTTCTCAATTGGGCATTTGCACCTTTTGCATTTCGCGCGGCCGGTTTTCGCGCGCTCCACAGCGAACGGTTTCTCTTCTCCTTGCTGCTGTTGATCCTCATCATCAGTCGACATGATATTCAACGTAATTGGGCGAATGAATTTAGGGAGAACGAATAACGACGAAGGAAACTCTATTCCTGAATAAAAGAATAACAAATAAAAAAATTATACGAATATTGAATCGGAATAAAATTTATTCGTTCGAATAGAATATTGAATTCAATTGGATAATTGTTGTATTAATCGGCTCGAATCAGTATGATTCGAGCCATTATAATTTATTGATATATACGGCAGAGAATTTATTTATGATATGAAAAAAGCTGTTTAATAATACACGAGAAAAATACATCAAATTAGAGAATAAGATTATCAATTTTTAATTTTTAAAATAATTTCTTCGAAAATATTTTAAAAATTAAATAGATATTAACAATCTATTTTAATGTAATGTATTTTTCTTTAAAAATAAAATCTCACACGCTATTTATATGTTCATAACTCTCTATAGTGTCATAGCAAAAGTTGCTTTCCCCTACACCGTTGCATACACAATTAAAGGCCTCTTTGTAAATTCATGTGTATTAATATAATAAATACTTCGTAAGCGTTCTCGCAAGGTTTCTACACGTGCTCCTCTCTCTCTCTCTCTCTCTCTCTCTCACACACACACACACACACACACACACACACACACACACACACACACACCCACCCCTCTCTTCTCTCCCTCTCCCTTTTCCCTAATTATTGTTTTACGCATTACAACATTCGAACCCGAGTAACTATGGGGTAACGCAGGGATCAATTACAAATCTATTGCGGATACACTGCCTCCCAGGTAGCTTTGTATTAATTTCGCATGCAAGCTAAGCAGCTCCTTCGTAAAGGTGGAGCGAACAAAGCGAGGGTGTAGTTGCGCAAGTCGTCATACTACAAGCTCGGAAATATCCGTGCACGTGCAATGGAGTATTAGGTAATAAACCCAACAGACGCGGGATTCTCTGTTGAGACACGTGGATATAGACGACAATCGTTTGCTTTCATAGTCCGTTCTTATTTAAAGTTTAAGTCTTAAATAATGTCTTAAAAGACGCTAATGCAGCCCTCTGATTGCCTCACAACAACTAAAAAGATCATACTTGAGACAGTCTCGCATGTTCCTAAAAATCGGCTACAAATACGGTCTAAGAGTGGTCCTTATCTGACGAAAACAAATAAAGTAGAGTTAACGCAGAAAATGATGCATATTTTATTTAATACATTTAATTTTATATTTAATTAATATATTTAATATATTTAACTAGTTTTGATTATATGTACGTATTCCAGTTTGATCTTTTCAATAAGACAACGTTAAATCTTGCTAATTATCAGAATGTAATAATCAAAATTGAATGTATTTATAAATAAAAGATATGCGTCGTTTCCTATGTTGACTTCTAGCGTTGACTCTTGACGCAGTTCGCAATGTCGAAAGCCTTCGTATAACAATTAGTAAACTGCAGTTATCAAGCTACCATTAGAGAGCAACTCAAGTACAATAATCCTTGGATTAGCATATAGGAACGCTTTAAATAGCATTTCTCTATCTCTCGTTAACGAGAATTCGAGATCGAGTGGGACGATCTCGCTGTGTTCTTATCTGTCGACAGATATTGGACAGTCCCGATCGTCCATCGAGGTCGATCGAGATCGAGGATTTGTTTACTCACAGAACTCTAAGAATTTCGTCAGACGCGAGATTTCGCGCGAGGATGAGACGAAAGAGGTGGAAGGAGGAGGAGGAAGAGAAGGAGAAATCTCCTCATCGAATCTCGATAATACTCTTCCTCTCCGTAATCGTGTGAGCCCCCCCACTTCTTCCACTCTGTGTTGCGATAAGGAGCGATCACAAGTGTCATCATCCGAGATGTACAGTAAAATACATATCATACACAAGTAATATAGTTACTTGTTTCAAATATTTCGAAAGTTCATTTATTCGCATCTTTTAAAATTCATCTCAAGCATTTTATTCAAAATATATCCTGAATCCTGAAGTATAATGCTTTAATACTGCAATAAAAATTATTAAATTAAAATAAATTTGATTTGTTTAGTATTGTATAAAATCGCTTTTTCGATCAGTTTTTATAATATTCTTGAAAAGAAAATAAATTATTGTTCTCTCTGAGTATGTTATAATGAGTTTTTCTAAAATTTATGATATTTTATAAAATGATTGTTAAGATTATATTATTGCGTTTATTAAAAATAACTATTATTTAAAAGAAAAAAAGTAAATTCAGTAATTACTTTTTTTTAGCAATAGACTGACGTTTTTACTGTGTGGAACCGAATGTTGTTAAACGTCCAATTATAAACATTCGATCATCAGTACTGAATTGTGATTGGATTCATATATATACGCGTTTTCTCGCGACCGTGCGATCTTAAAACGCAACCTCTGTCTTCCCACGCTCGAATGCCTAAATTTCCTAGACAGAATTCAGACTTCGGAAGAGAATGTGCGCGTCAAAGACGTTTGTTTTCATTGCATTGAGACTATCGGCAGCCTTATAATGCGCGTCATTTTCATCATCATTGTAATCAACGCGTCGCAGTTAAATAAATGAAATAAAATGTCGCGAGGCAGACAAGAAGTATCCAAATCGAATTCGAATAATCCTAGGATTACTATACCTGTTCTTTTTATTCAATTCAATTAAAATAGATATAAGATTCAATTTATTTATTTACAAAAAAGAATACATGTATATATCTTTTAAAAAGATAATCCGATAGTGGTTGGACTCCGACGGAGTAATAAACGGTTCTTTGAAATTAATCAGTATCTTTTAATTAATAAGTTAAGTGGATCTTACAAACTCAGCGTCAATAACTGTGTTACAAATGTTTGTATCAACTCGGGAGGGTTAATATAAGGTAAAAAATTAAAGTCAAAGAGAGATAAAAACAATTTTCTCTGTTTTGATAATTACACTAAGATAAAATTTGGCTACAATAATTTACTTCATCTATATTTCTCTCTCTCTTTCGTTGGAGAATTATTATTTAAGTCAAATATTATTTATTTTTCAACGAAAGAAATAAAGGTGAACTGAAAAATTATTATAGTCAAATAAACAATTGTGTTGCTCAGTGTAGGTAATTCGCTTTTGCACTGATCCATAACTTTTTGTTTATTTTTGTTTTCATAAATCCTTGTATTCATTCCGTACTCAAAGTTATTAAAGGAAGATTTATCGAAACAAAAACTTTGTATGAATTATTTTATATCCATGAGATACAATATCTCGTTTGGACAAAAAATATGTGATATAAAGTTTTTTCCTCCCTTGTAAAGCATTCATTTTCAACTATCTTATCCGAATACTTTCTTTCATATATATGGAATAACAAGGAACAGATTTGTGTACAAAAAGATGCGATTCCATGCAAAATACAAGCAAATTAACGTATATCAATTTGTATAATAATAAAATTACTGGCGCTGAGTCAGCAAAATCCATTTAATTTACATTAATTAAAAGACGCTGATTAATTTCAAAAACCGATTTAATTTACATTAATTAAAAGACATTGATTAATTTCGAAGAACCAAAATGACATATAAAGAACAAATAAATACCGAAAATCGCATTTACCTTTATAAAGATTATCGCTTTAATTAATTTTTTTAATGTTTTATTTGCTAAAGATAATAAAAAAAAGATTTCTCTGTTATTATTTTTGACTTTAATCTATTGAACCTTAAATAGAAATTATTCTTTTATTTTTAAAAAGCGATAATAATATTGAAGGACTCCTTATAATAAAATAATGTAAACAAATTTAACAACGGCTATTAGGAGTCAACGCAGTAAGAAGTGCGCAATAAATATGTACGATAATATTCGATAATATAAAAATATGTTTAATACTAAATCTTGAAGTAGTCAAATAAAATTCTATTTTTACAATATTTATTGCGCACTTTTTACTGCGTTGACTCCTAATAGCCGTTGTTAAATTTGTTTACATTATTCTTTTATTTTTTATTTGCGTTTCTACAAAAAAAATACATTTTTTTGTCACATAAATAACAAAAATATTTATTTATACTAGCTAAACAATTTAATTTGCAAAAATGAAAATGTAACCTCTTATTATTACAGCAAATTTTTTGTTCATAGTACAATATTTTTCCTACTGTTACTTAAACCATAAGTAAGGTTACCAATATTTTAAGTTTAAGAATACTATTATACTCTTTCTGAGATGATAAAACTTCTGCCATCAATTAAAATTTTATATTTATAAAATTATGTCAATAGGAATTGACAATAAAAAAAATTAGGTTCCAAAAATTTTATTTTATTGAATACTTAATATTTAACGCATAAAAAATTATAACCCCTTTTTTCCGCGCTCGGATCTTTTTTTTTAAGTACACATATGTACTTTTTTCTTCCGATTCAGAGGGTAACCCTAGCTGTAAGAAAAATTACAAGTCACAAATTGCGATTCGACGGAAGGAAAGATCTCACTGATTCGATTCGACAATGGAAGGGAAATTGAAAACCACTCGATGCAACATCATCTCACAATTCCGTTCACACGATATCAGGATTTCCTTGGATTCCACAAGTCGGAATTCCAAGTCCGGTTTAACGGCGCGGTCAAGGAAAATCATTTGTAAACAGTAAACGTACGTTTGCTGTTTAACGTTTACCGATGAGAAGAAACGAGGGTACACGCGAGGTGGGAGTCGCGAACAGTCCTTCTTCTTGTCCACGTCGTGTCAGACACCTACTACAGGGTGGTTAAGTGAGACGTGCCCGGAGGGCGGAAGGCGGCACATTGGTGCGGAGGAGGATACCTGCGCGGGTATAATAGAGGGTGCAACAGCCCTTCGTCGCTCACTCTACTACCGCGTGTCGTATCGTTGGCGAGATAGAGCGCGAGTTTTCATCGAGGTTCGATCAAAGTAAAAGTTACTTCCCGCGGTTCCAACTGAAGTCCTGGTAGGACCTCCACGCGCTTCCATCTACAACTTGCATCCCTCGGCTCGTTTGAATTAAACGGTATTGTAAAATGGGATAATTTTGGCCCGACTTTTGATAATGTCCAGGTAGCATCTCAAACTCAGGAT